GCCACAGTCTACATATGTGAGCACTACATGCACATGCTTATTATGTGTTTGATTGCCGTTGGCAGGCACCCTACCTGTACGATGCAAGTGGCATGTTGCACAACGGATCCATCACTTGCCAGTAAGTCACATGCACTGCTATCAGTAGGCTGGCAACCTGATCAGTATGAGACCATTTCTACATGGACATTGTGCATCTTCTTCTAAGCAGCTGGTCTGCAATACTTCACAGCATGACACACTCATATCTGCATTTGGTGTTGGAGGTATATTTTGTATAATCAATATCCGGAGGCTCCACTGCAGCAAATTGATCATCTCTTAAACCAAAATCACTGTTGTGGCGGTGGTGGCGGTGGTGGTGGTGGTGGTGGTGGCGGCGGCGGCGGTGGTGCTGGTGCTGGTGTTGGTGGTGGTGGTGGTGGCGGTGGTGGTGGTGGTGGTGGTGGTGGCGGTGGTGGTGGTGGTGGTGGTGGCGGCGGCGGTGGTGCTGGTGTTGGTGGTGAGTTTGGACAAGAGGGGTATACTGGTGCATGTACCACGGCCATTGCGCAATATTACAACATACCCATTCCTGTGGCTCGCACCGTCTGTTACAGGGCTGACCGTCCTCTGGTCACAGAGAATGAGAAGTTCGATGTGAACTTGAACGTGCCCCATTACATCCTCTTTGCCTGGAACTTCAACGGAAGTGGTAAGACCCCGCAGACACTTAACCAGGGAGTCGTATAATACCGCCTCCCTGTACGCAACACAGTGGTGCAAAGTTTGCTGATGGAGACCCGATGAGTTGTGCTGCATTCCCGGTATGCGAACTGTGCGAGTAAATACTTTTGTATCTTTGGAGGGATGCAGGTCATTGGCCGAACAGATCCACTCTCTGTAGAAACGGTGTGTTTTCGTCCTGCTGCTGAGCTTTGGACAAAAATTGTGCCTAGGATAGCAGGAATGGGTGTGCCGATTCAATTGTTTCTCTCTGGGATAACAGAGTGACATAATTACCAGGCGGTGATGTAATACTGGCGCCTAGCCCGAATAGGGCACGGGGGCACGTGAACCCCCCCCCCCACCCCCTTGAAAAATTCGACCTAAGTTCAGCAGCATGCAGACCATTAGTGACATGCACCAGCTATCCTACACATATGGGGCCGTGCACCCCCCCCCCCCCTAAAAGGGGGAGCAGCTATGCCCCTTTTGAATGGATGTGTGTGACCATAGCCAGCTGTTCTACTTCTAAATCATTCACTTTGCAAACTGCCAGTGCAACAGAATAGTATGCTGGTCACCATATTCACACATTGCTCTGGTATGCATTACTTACCATTATTTACCAGAGGGCACTTTGCTTATTGTGCCCACAAGCATTGCTCCCACAAGTATCTGCCTTCACGATGGCCACTGTGTTTCATTTATTATTAATTTTGTACCTGGCTGTGTTGCTGTATCGGTGTCTCTCTGTGCTTCAACTGACAGCTCCGGCAAATGGCCCGTTGATGCACATGCACCAAGCCATGCCAGTAATCAGCAACCACACCTTGTCCGCACACACCATCTTCTTCAACAACATTACCGAAAAATCAGTGAGTTCATAGAGTTATTTCTACAAGCTTAGCTCCGCTGCAATGCCAAAACGAGAGATGACATAGCCCTCATAGTGAACTTGCTATCGTTGAGGGTGATGCGATGTGTGAGAGAATTCCAGATGCCCTCGATAAGTTCCAATACGGCATCTTCCTAATCCTGTACACTGCACACTGTGGCATTGAGCAGTCTCGGCGCAAGACGAGGGCCGCTTGATTTGTGATAATCTTAAAATTCGCCTCTTTACTCTGCTGCATACGTCTATTGTTCTTCTGAACTAACTTGATGTGTGTAGGTTGACTTGTCGACCTGCGGTAAGACCAAGGGGTGCAGCCGTGCCCCGGCTGGGTGCCAGTCTGCCGAGGAATGCTACTATGTGTTCACGCAGCAAGTCAGTCAGCACGATTCCAGCATGGTCGAGTTTGAGCTGACTGGATATGTACATGGCTGGGTGGCCATGGGTTACAACTTCAACTACACCATGGTACGTTGCTGTACCTTGTCCTTGTCAGTGCTTATTCGTTATCAGAACATGCCTTTAAACAAAATTCTGAAAAATGTCTCCAAAGTCTTCACCTGAATGTTCAATTTACTTCTGCATCAGTTGTCAGATGATTACCTAAGAGCTTTTTAAGCCAGTGGATACAGAAAATCAGAAGCATGCCGGTGCTCCATAGCTTGTGTGTGTGTTACGAGTAGATGAGATTCTTGACACAAGAGGCTGCGCTGGGCAGCAATGAGTGCACTCAATGATGGCCGAGAACACTCGATTGCACCCGACCTACTCAATGTCATGTTTTACCACAGCGTCGCACTGTGACGCTGAATTTCATTAATTTAACTGTGCTGCATCACCGAGTCGTGCTGTGCTGTGGTCTGGCTAAATGGAAGCGCTCCACCTGCCGGCCATATTGATTTCATGACTATTCCAAACACCCACAGTTGAACAGCCCATTCCAATGCAACTTATAAGTGTAGATTTCGGCACATGAACGGGAAACTACATGTAGGTGGTGCGTAAGCCTCCCAATTGAACTAGATGACACTGCCCTTCTCAGGTCCGTGTTGTAATAAAATGTAGGGCGTTCTCCAAATTCTTGACTATTGTTGGGAGGAGACTGTCATTCTTTGTTGCCCTTGCTTGTTGCAGTCCTGGCTACATGTAACTTTAAGAGAGTTGCCACAACTTTCTCTTGACTTGAACATGTAAGATAATCACAGCCATCACTGTCGCCCGGCATTAATGATCATCATTTTCTTCTCCTTGTCATTTTCTAGAATGGTACAGATGTTGTCGGCTGCCAGATTACGCCAGAAATGGACCGTGTCGCCGTCAAGAAGCTCCACAACGTCAACCACACGAACCTTGTCGATGGCAAAGACACCGTAAGTACAATGGAGCTTGGCGACACCGCAGGATAGATGAATGTCAAAGTGCTACAGTCCAAGTGCCTTGGTCAAGAGCTTGGCATGCATTGGTGGCTAATGGAATCCTATGTCAAAGAGAAAATCACCCTACATTCTCTATTATAAAGCGCTGTGCTTACTTGAGTATATTTGTTCAACACCCATCAACCCCATGCTTATACATCTAATGCCAGTGTCCTGCTCATGTTCTGCTTCCGCCTTGCAGCAACACGGCCTCATGCGTCCCGAGGGTCGGTTCGTAGATGAGCGCATCCACTGCCGGTATGTGCTTCCCTGCGTGTCTTCTTGCATGCTGGGCTAGTTGCCATCATTACTATGGTAACCAATGCCCCATGTGCTGTAGAAAGCAGGGAGTAGTAGTACAATACAATAATTGCACTTCTCCCTGATAGAAAGCATAGTATACTTTGAAGGCCCTGTGCTGACCATGCTGGGTAGGAATGACCCTATATCCCCATGCTGGGTAGGAATGACCCTAAATCCCCATGCTGGGTAGGAATGACCCTATATCCCCATGCTGGGTAGGAATGACCCTATATCCCCATGCCCCTGTGCTGACCATGCTGGCCATGCTGGGTAGGAATGACCCTATATCCCCATGCCCCTGTGCTGACCATGCTGGGTAGAAATGACCCTATATCCCCATGCCCCTGTGCTGACCATGCTGGGTAGGAATGACCCTATATCCCCATGCTCCACAGTGACCAGTACTAGTTCACAATGCCGGGAAAGCTCCTCTTCGTGGCCGGTTGAGCACTTTCAAAAGTCAACGGCAGCTCGGCTGTGTAATCGGACGCTATGCTAAAACAAGGCCGTCGTGTAACCCTATGCTCAGTATTGTCTGCTTCACATTATGTTCTGATGTTCTTAGGTGGGCACGGTCGATCAAGCCAATCGAAGGCGATGCGTTCAGCAGGGACCTGAGCCTGAGCAGCTACATCATTCTTGCTGGAAACGTCAATGCAACAGGTGAGAACGCAAAAATGCCACGCCGGGCACAGTAGGAGCGTGTGTCACCACTTTCAGCTGCTGTGCAGCGCACACACAATGCCGCACCTCGTACCCAGACATGCATTTCTGACACTAGAGTATAACATCGCAGTGACATGTTTAAAATTTCATCATTTTTAAATGATTCTAGCTTGATCTTCTGATTGTCTCCATTGTGGATTGTAGCTCCAGCAAACGAAGCCCTTGGTCACATGCATAGTTATCCACCTATGATCCTGCCCGACATGCATACCGCCATGGATCATACATTCAACTACAATGTGAGCGCGGACAGTCCGGACAGCCCGCTGGACACGAGTGCGCTGTACGAGCATGCGGAACGGGCCGAGGAGCCCGCTCCAGTACAAACGCCGCTGGTAAGCAATGCGTGACTTGCATGTGTGTACACAAGTGTGATTATTTGCATGTGCATGTGTGCATGTGTGTTTGCCGGCGAAAATGAACTGGAGTAAAATCAGAGAAAGCGCATGCTAAGTTAGCTGCTCTCAAAGAGCAATGTGTGTCACTTGTGTTGGGACGTGCAATGGCATTGGCCAGTCAGAACTGAGAACTCGAGGCACATTTTGGTGTCTCCTGCAACCCCATTCCCCATGATTATACGTGTATGTTGGCATGCCCCCCCCCCCCCCTCCACTTCATCTCACGCAAACATAGCCAATCAGTACAAATTCTTCAAGGTTTCTTGATCAATGTGCGTGCGCATACAGGCGATTGACCTGAGTGGCTGTGGAAAGACAAAGGCGTGCAGCCGTGCTCCGGCCGGCTGTGAGTCGGCCGACGACTGTATCTACGTGTTCACAATGTCCGCCGACAACGCGGGGGATACGGTGACGTTTGAGCTGTCTGCCGTGGCAGCCGGGTGGATTGCCGTGGGCTTTAACGTTAACTATAGCATGGTAAGTGAGAGTGTGCTGCTTCGTCATGTACTAGTAAGTAAGTCAGGAAAGTTCGCACGTCCGCGTTACCACTGGCTTACAATTGTGTTGAGAAACACAACCAGCTTAGAGAAGTACTAGTACTAACGTGACAGTCGACTCCTGATATAACGAACACCATTGTGCAGGAGAATTATATCTTTATAGCCAAAGTTCGTGATAACAGAAATGCACTCACTCCATACAAGCAGCAAGTCATGAATGGCAAGTGGCCCATGACAGTATGAATGCACTTGGTTTAATACATGCGGCCCTATAATATTTGGTTTGTCATAAACAAAAGCTGTTCGCTATAAAGGGTCATTTTCCAAGGGTTCAAACAGGGACATGGACAACTCGCTATATCACGAAAATTGCTACTACCGTAAAGTACCGCCAGAGCGCCCCGCCATCTCATCCTTTCGTGGTCGTGTTGTGGAGGTGGTCTGCTGTCTGTAGGTCATGCGACATGAACCTTGTACACACATTGCACGTTTTGCAGTCAATCCGTACCTTCAAGAGGACACAAGCTCCACACAAAAACCTGCCAAGTGTGACCTTAGTACACTAAGATTCTCACATCGTACACACTTCTTTGCACTCTGCCATACGATTTTCATTTATCTGGCTGTAAAATCAAGGTGGGGCGCTCTCGCGAGACGGGGCGCTCTGGCGGTACTTTACGGTATATGCGAGTTCGTTATAAACGGAGTACTTCAAGGAAATAACTAACTTCAATTCACTTTATCATGACGTGCCAACTGCCAACTGCTCTATTTTGCTACCTCATACGCATGCATAGGCTGTGACAAAGTAGTGATAATCCTCCCTTTGTTGCACGTGCAATCATCGGGCCTTCGTTTATTGGGTACAGCTACTTGTAGTGTTGATGATCTAACATTAACAAGATAGCATTTCATTTCCCCTACAGAATGGAACAGACGTCCATGCTTGTCAGCTCACGCCAGATAATGAAAAGGTGGTGGTCAAGAAGGGCCACAACGCCAACAGTACTAACTACCCGGACAACCCGGATAACATTGTGAGTAATGCCAGTCGCCAGTTGCCAGTGACACGGTTGTGCATGTCCTTGAACACATCACGTGTGGTGTACTGTGGTATTGCTGGTGTGTACGTATGAGCATGGCCTGACATGGGACTACGTGAGAAACCGATAATGAGTGTCTTTTATGAAGACCTGCTTTAGTGATAGAGTGAATAGAGATTATTCTTGCTGCTATCTACCGAAGAAGTGTCGGTATATCCAATCTCCACTGTACAATGAAAACTATGTACATTCTGCACATTTGTGTTACCATGATGCCAGGGTTTCGGACTGACAAACACTGCCGGTGCCTACGCCAACGAGCATATTTCTTGCAGGTGAGGCCACTGACGTTGAATATTCACAATGTGCACTGTACTATTGGCTTGCTGTCGATATGTATATAAGTATGTAGGCACATGTATCTGTACATAAAGGATCACGACAGACCGATAGTAGATCCGATACCTCTGTACGACCTGATTTTCAAAGACCGTTTACATGCACCAGCAGTTCTGCATAAGGGCTGCACCGGAAGCAGTGGCCATCCGTGTTGCACGACCAGCGACTGGCTTTTAGTGTACCAAGTGGCACATCTGACCTGCATACAGCGACCGCAGGTGCTGCCCTGACTAGCATGCTTGACTGCAACAGGGCGTGAGTGCGCTCAGAAGCGAGCGCATGCAGTCAACGCCGACAACGGAAGTCGTTATCTTTATTTTACTTCACCATGGGTACAGGCATTGCCGCCTTCTTGACTGACAAGTCACAGTGCAGGGTGTGCTGCATGCACTAGAGTTACAGCCTTACAGGTGTGAAAAACCGCGGGTGCTTTGTCCGCATGCAAGTTGTACTGTACGGCTGGACAGCTGCAATCATACACGCGTATATGAAGTGCATCTAAAACATTGCTCTGTGCCCAACACTTGAGTATACAGAGCTATGTGCGCACGGCGCGGTATGCTACGAATGTCTGGGTCCTACTATGGGACCTTGTTCTAATGTTAAAGACCACTCACTGCCTTTAAAGACCGCTTTTTGCTTGCACAATGGGGCAGTCATTTGAACCAGGTTACTGGTGAACAGCACTTACATATCTGTGAGCTGCTTCTATCTCAACCTTTGCACTGCGTAGCAGGGGGTGTCTTGCTGCTTTTGCATAAGAATGGGAAATCCATCAATTATCTCTGTGACTTGTGCATACGTTTCACATATTTCTTCTTCAGCTTCACTCGCTCGGTGAAACCAATTGCTAACGACCCTACCAGCATGGACTTGAGTCAGCCACACACGTTCATTTTCGCATTGAACGTCAACGGAACAGGTGAGACATATACAGGGTACAGCTTTTCATGCGTTGGTGGCCACAACGTTGGACCGGTAATAACCAGACCAACCGAACCAGTTCCGGCGGCCATGCACAGACAATCAATCTCAGTTGCTACGTGATGTACGCATCATACTGACCTGCCCCTCCATTACTATTAGGCGAGATGTGTGTGTGTGTGTGTGTGTGTGTGTGTGTGTGTGTGTGTCTGTGTGCACGCGTGCATGTGCAAACACGCATATGCGAGGCCACGCAGATTTCTGGGAGGGGGTGGATTGCAAGCCTGTGTTGATGACCTGTTATCATTCTAAACCCGCTACGGCAGGGAAATCTCAACTACACTCAAACGCCTCTTATCCGGACGCCTCAGATACGGGCACGTCTCTCTACCGGGCACCTTTAGCTTGAGTTCCTATAGCACAAATACTTCGAATTTGGGGGTTTTGAACTTTTTCCGTATTCTGAAGTGCTTATTTTTCACTGCCAACCTATGTAATCCACACATTTTTACCAATGGGTTCCTTTTGTATCCTGAACATGTGCAATACGTTCCAAATACACTTCTTCAAAAAGTGATATGATACATGGTAGATGAGTTATTCTGAGATACGGGCAAATCTGAGATACGGGCAGTACCCGGTCCCAAGGTGCCCGGATAAGAGACGTCCGAGTGTACTGTTCAATCCTATGTGCTCTGGCTCCTCAAGTGTTACGGTAACCTCTGCTCACCTGACTTCTCCTGACCTCTGTGTATTTACAGCCGCAGCAACCATGCCACTGGAGCATAAGCATAACCACTACGAGCCACTGGCTCTCCCAGCCCAGCACACGGCTCTGGAGCGTACATTCAACTACAACGCTACGCAAGTGGAGAAACGTCACCAGCGCCGTCACCCCAGCAGGCCTATCGCAGTGGACGTTGTCTAACCGCAGCACCACCACCACCAACAACAACAACAATCAGAGCTACTTTGTCAAGCCCACTCCCTGTCTTAGTTTTAGTCAATGTGTAGCAACTAGCCAATATCACTAGTCATCACCCTCTCTGCACAGAAGGTTGCATCTGCAACCTCCCTGATATATTTGTGGCACAGATTTACTCTCTCTCTCCTCTGAACTGAAACAGTGCTTACCCATTGCACGTGGCACGGTACTTCGTCGTTTGAACCATCAAAAATAGCACTTTTGTTCTTGGTACATCCCATTTTCAGTTTGTTCATTCCACGCTGCCATCTTTGGATGCAGTGAGGCTACAGTTTCGACTCTGGCCATCGTGAAATTGAAGTTGTATTGATACTGGATCAATTCACTGTGTTCTACGACTGTCAGTGAAGAACGCAGTATGTCCTTTTATGAGAGCTGGCAGGGGGCTTCTTGGACCAAATAATTGGCGACTATCGTAAATTTGTCGGCTCGGGTGAACGAATGGAGCACACATGCACGCACACGCACACGCACACACACACACACACACACACCTTGACCTTGACAAACAGCTGCCGTTAAACGGCTAAGCTGCCCTCGTGAGGAGGGGAACAAAGGGGTAGCATCACGGCGTCGCGGCAGAACATCCGGCCTCATGCCGCTGCAGATCCTGCTGTCTGCGATATCTCTCGCCGCACGCACAGCAGAACTTGAACTCAAGACGCTCCCTCGCTGTTGGTCGCTTGCCACGCTCGCAATTGTGCCGTTTAAATCCAGCAGCAGATCAAATCAAAAGCACCGGTTACATGACGGGCAGTGGAATGGGCAACAATGTCGGTGTTGAAGCACTAGGCGAGGTGCAGGATCGACAGTGTCTGAAGGCTGTTGGGAGGAACCTGCGAGAGGGCACTTATGTACCTTCAGCCCACCAGCACTCTTGAACCATCTACCACAACGCTGACACGACTTTGCACCAGGCTGTTGGCTGACAGGAACTTCCTGTCACACACACACACATACACACACATACACACACTGTACTGTACTGTACTTGTTGCTCACTGCCAGAACTGGTCACGTGAGTCCCCCCGGAAGAGGGGAGAGAGACTCAAAAGGAATCTTGGAAAGATGACTCAATTGGTTATTGAACCGCCCAACGGCCGACACCCCCTGAAATCCCCAAAACTCTGGGTGGACTTGAAAATGATCCCACTTATGGGCTCACCACACCTCAGTAAGTGGGTGAGGACAAGGTGCAGAAAAAGGATTGACGGCATCAGGTATCCGTCCCGGGATCCAACTGCAGTTGCCCCTGCCCCCAGTGAAGGTAATATGTGCTACTAATGTGAGTGGCTAAGGGGCCGTCCAAGGTTACCAATAATATTTTCAAAACGAAATGTTTTCGTTTGTGGGTGGGTGGGTTTGATGGAGTTTCGTTTTGAAAACAATCATTGAATGCTGATGGAGAATGCCCTGTTACTTCTGGGTGTCTAAAATTTACATCAATATTTTATTGGAATTCGTTTTACCTGCAGAAAAGGTGGGTGGGTGGGTGGGGGCTGAAAAATACTAAAACTTTTCGTTTTGTAAAAACAATCGGTAACCCCGGACGGCCCCTAAATCAGAGTGGATCTGATAAAAGCTTCACTAGCACCATTGATTACACAAGAGTTAATCTAGCCAGAGTCAGTCCATGGTTAACAGGTATGTATACTTCAAATAGAAAGTATATGAACCCTGGAACCAACAAAGGTGGCAGGTACAACATTACACCTTCAAGCAGCCGAGCCTGTTGGCAACAGACCCAACACAATCAGGCATAAGTGTACCTACCAACCGAACTAGCTGGCACACACACATACACACACACACACACACACACACACACACACACACACACATACATACGCGCACACACACACACACACACACACACACACACACACACACACACACACACACACACACACACACACGCCAACACTAAACCAGCCAAAGCAGAACTTTATTAAACCAAAGGTATGTTCAGAGTACTCTGGTGAAGAGCTACAGTACGTCAGACTGCTTGGTTAAGAATCGGGACATTTACGAAGCAGAGGTCAAAAATCAACAGCACGTGGGCTAAAACATCATTAAATTTTATAAATCCAGATAAAGGACTGGACTACTGCATGTGCATTCACTTTACTGAATAGAAATAAAGTTATAAAAGTAACAAAACACATAGAAACACATGTGGACGATGACAAGATCACAAATGAGAACATAAATGTCAGAACAAGAATCAAACAGACGAATGGTGTGCGGTCATTTCCGCCTAGGCTGTTGTAGCCCCTGTGTGTCCTCCGATAACATTAACTAACGTCAGAACGTGTGCTGAGTTGGCTTGTCAATGCCCACGATATGGACGAGCATGCTGAAGCATTGATGGGTGCAAGGACTCTGCCTGGCACTTTCCGGGTACAGGTGAAGCGAATAGAGAACAAGAACTGAGAGCGGATGAGGGAGATTGCCGATAGGGACAAAACCGGGAGATTGAAAAGATTCTTTAGGAACTTTGAATGATGCTGTATTAAAAAATGGCTGCAAATTGGTGCAGATATGCTCAAAGCAAAGAGCAGTCCATTCACTAGAAGAGTATCAAGATAGTTTGGTCATTTGAAGATCAGGACAAGAAGGTGTTGGACTGTTGCTCGCTGGCCGTGATAGATATTTCAGCCGAAGGGCGGGGAGAGAGATCAACGAAACCTCCACAGTCATGTGGAGATGGTCATTGGTTATTGGCGACACAGTACTGCTCTGGTCGCTTCAAACTGCCGCTTTGCCTCAGGATCATCGCCAAAGTCACGGCGGCGTTTAGCAAGAATGGCTGCCACCGGCTTCTTGCCTGGGTCATTGTTCGTTGCCAGGTCTGGCTCAAAAGCACGTTGAGCAAGATCACAGCCCCAAACGACAACGGTGTGAAAGTAGTTAGGAACCTCAAACGCCTCTTGGCGCTTGCGTTTGGGCATACCGGAGTGGTTTGCGCCCTCTATCCACACCATCTCTACCTTGGTGGGTATGGCCTTAATGGCCTTCTTCATCACCGTCTGATGGCACATGGGGTCCTTGGTGCCGCTGGCAAACAGGACGGGCGAGGCGACAGTCGGGAACGCCGTTGTTCTCAGGTCCGTGCAGCTTGCGTCCTTGTGCAGTGGGTACGACAGGCAGATAGCGCCGGCGATCTTCTCCTTCAGATCCTCAGCTGACGCCAGCTCCAGCACCACCCGTGCACCCATAGACCGACCTGAGGCAGCGAGACACAGACGTGTTTGTTCCCACACAGCCTCCATCCACTCAGATATATACTCAGGTCTATTGACACCAGTACGTAGATGTGTTATTGATGTTTAAAGTCAAAAGTGAGCCCAAGCAAGCGTGCACAGTCACTGACCGAAAGGGGGGGGGGGGGGGGGGGTCCATTATTGAATGTCATGTACGCCATGTACTTCAAGTGTTGTCGAATATTCATGACAGCTCCACTTGCAATCCACTCATGGCGATAACATTGAACCGATGAGGAGGCACGTGGATTTACTACCTACATAATGTGTCTCAATGGTTCGGGCAAGCATTGCCAGACACACCTGTATACGTTAGACATGTACATCATTCACATGACAAGGTCGCCTATTGGGTACGATCATCGATCACACGCAAGAGCTGTTCAGTACACACAACAGCGCCCTGTGATAGCACAACCAATGTCAACCATAGTTTAAAAAATATTCAAAACAGCAGAAAGGCGGCCACAACAATCATGCCCGGCACCTCTCGACCCACACCCATGACTGATTCTTGTTTGGACACTTTCTCATGATTACAAGCAAGTATCCAAGGCAACGGGTCCATAACCGTGGATCTGCTCATCGTGTGAAATACTTTTATACCGTATTATCTCTAATATAAGCACGGTCCTTTATTTTTTCAATGTGCCTCCGCCCTGTGCTATTAATATAATGGAGACGTTCCTTTATTGGAGACTGTTCCATTATTATTTCAACCTCATTTCAGAGGCCTGTTGCCATGCCAAATTCATGTCAGACACACACATTTCAGGGTTTTTTTTCACCGGTACAGATAATGAATTTACACAGTGTGCTTATAATGGAGACTGAGCACTTTATTTTTTGAATGCCGCCCCAAGGTGTTCTATTATTGGAGACGTGCTATTATTGGAGACTGTGCTTATATTAGAGATAATACGGTAAGTCAGTGGCCCAAAAGTAGTAACTCCATAAAGGCAAGATGCCAACCACTGCATGCCATAGCGGCAAGGTATGGTAGAGGCAACAGGAATTGCACACAAAACAGCAATTGAGCACGACCTACCTCCCACAATTATTTTCTCCACACCACAATCCTGCTGCAGGAACCATTCCTGCATACACCAACACACATACATACACACAGCACACAAAATAATACTGCTGTAAATACAGGTCATTTTCTCCGGCTGCTCATCTCCTACCAGGTATTGGACGCTGTCACCCCACACTTCACGTCCACACACACACACACACACACACACACACACACACACACACACACACACACACACACATACACGCACGCACACGTACATACGCACACGTACGCACACACTAACACAAACACACACTAATAGCCTACAGTCAACTTCGCTAATAACGACAACGGATATAACGACATTTCGTGAATAACGACAGAATTTCCATGCCCAGAGCAAAGTCCCGTCTAACTGTAATACATATAATGAGACTTCGAGTATAAGGACACTTTTCTGATGCCCCGCCGAGTGTCGTTATACGCAAAGTTGACTGTACTCCGGAAAATACGGTAGCCATACAAAATGTTGTGCCAAGTGCATGGTGAATAGCAGTTCAGTGTGCCAGCACTGAGAAACATGCAACGTGCAGCGCCGTGCAATGCCCAACACTACACACACACTACACGAAACACATCTGCCGCCAGTACTCACAAATGGCCATCGTGTTCGACACCCACACACGCAATGCTTACCAAGACTTTCCTGTAGATTTCGGCGCGCTTGTCGACAAGAGGTGCCTTGTAGGTGAAGCGTACACTGTACATTCCCTGTCTGGCAAATTCCATGGAGAGTAGTGTGATCTGCTCCTCGTCCAGGTCCCCTCCAGCCCCATGGGTCAAGATAACACCGGTCTTGCTAGTGTTCTTCTTACAGATGGGTGAAACAAGGACGGCGCGTACCGTCTTCTCGTTACCAATGTCGATTGTCTGTGTGCGCAGATTCGTACAGCACATGGAAAGAGGATGCACCAGAGTCACCACCACATCCCACAGACAGACAGACACACACACACACACACACACACACACACAAACACACATACGCATGCACATACACACGCGCACACACACACACACACACACACACACACACACAAACACACATACGCATGCACATACACACACACACACACACACACACACATACACACACACCGATCATCTTCATTCTTCAGTATATTTTCGAACTGAAGTTCAGTTCAAAACAATCATCTGCAGGTCAAGCCGAACCATCTTCGATTCGAATCAATGCTGCAGACCATAGTCCATACTGGCATACAGACTGAATACAGAGAGTGCTACGTACTCGAAGGGTACACATGAACTACAGGTCCACCGGAACTGGTCCGGTTGGTCAGCCCATCGCCGGACCAACTTTTGGCCACTAGCGTGTGTCTGGTGCTCAGGAGGTCAAGTGTACCAGCCACATCATGCCCAAAGTATGAAAGGCTACTGCACTGCATGGCCGCGCCAATCAAAAACTGCTGCCGGCGGTCCCGAACTATGATCGTTAGTGCATGAAATCCAACCTGGTGGATGTAACACTGCTTACATTATAGTGCAGACACGACCCCATCATGCCACATACATGTACAGTGTGTACAGGCATGTGCACTGGGCTGTACAATGTATTTTTTCTCTCTACAAAATCCACATATCTCCAGACACTGGGGTGAATGATGGAGTGTGGTGGTGGGGCCCATTAAGGGACCATCGCAAAAGTTCGCAGAAGCCCCTGAAACGAAGAGCATACGTTTGGGGGGGAGGGAGTCAGTGCGAAAATCGCAAACCGGGCTTCAATTCAAAAAAGTATTGACGACATAATTATAGGAGCTGTAGGATTAGCATGCCATCACAGCCGGCGTAGATCGCTTGAATGTGAAAGCAATATACACCAATCAACGTTCATTGTAATGCTCAAAGGATACAACTGCATAGCTCTAGCTGTTCTCGTTCTTAGATCACCCACTGCAAGGTGATATCATCGTTGCATTTATAAAGTGCTGTACATTGTTACACACTGATACAACAATGCTTGTGTAGTATTATTATAATAATTATTATGTGTGAGCATCCAAGTGAAAAAATGAAGCCCATATTGTGACTGTCGTTTCGTTTGAGGGGGGAGGGAGGGGGGTCAGGCCCGAAACTCACGGTCTTCGTTTCGGGGGCTTCTGCGAACTTTTGCGATGGTCCCTAAGCTCCGCCGACCAAAGGTCTCAGCTTCATAGCTCCATGGACGCACCATAATAAGCATAACAAGCATGATTTTGTTTTACGAGGCTGCATTTCACGCTGCCGCCCTTTGCAACCTGCCCAGGCCGCGGGGTGGCTGATGGAAAATTCAACTCTCAGTCTCAGGCATGACTCCCTATTGAAGTTTGTACAGAAATGGTAGTTTCCACTAATTCCAGGTTTCGTTTGCATGCCATTATTATGTGACGGTATGTGCGATTGCGTGAGCCAGCATGTAATTCACTCATACCGTAGGCGCTATGTCTTTTGTTGCAACACACCGCAAACTTCAAAGGTCGCTGTGTGTGAGCTCATTGTAAATGCCATCTTCAATAGAAATTTAATGGCTCCAACTTTCAATGATTTCGAGTGCCAAATTTGAGCCGCTGTGACAGTATGTCAATAAACGGACTTGGCCTCAATAAAATAATAGGATGTATAAATCGGACTGCTGCAGGTCTCTGGAAGACACAACATTCCCAAACTAACTAACTTGAAGCTATAGTCACTAAGTATGGTCAACGCAGTGTGGATTTGATTGGCCCTGCTCAGCAGCCATGAACCGGCTCGAGAAGCAATGAGCCTAGTCGTCATGCCGGCTGAGAAACAAATTTCTTGCCACTTGAAATCATACCTTCTGCTCATCAACGGGAAATACTGGAGCATCATCCTCTGCCGCTGCTGCCGCACTTGGTTTTGGTGACTTCGGCATGGTACAGATAAAATGTCCTCAGCAGACACTCGCACAGAAACTGAACTTCGAGTCGAAGCCGGGAAGGACGAACAGAGAACAGAAAAAGAGCACCAACACTCAACACTGCACTCCAACTTTCTGCAATTTTTCAGTCCAAGAGAAATTTCGTTCACGGGTAGTGGCACGGACGGTTCACGGAGCCTATCAAAACAAGTGCATGGAATCAGTGTGAAGCAGCAACCAGATCAACGACTCGAACGAGTAGGCGAGTGTCGTCTGTTGATCGCGGATTTGGGAAGGGTGGAGGTAGCATGCATTGCATAGGGCATGCATGATGACTAGTGACATGCTAACGTTTCAAACCAATCAGAGTTTCCCACCAAAAACAGTCCTTGCAAAACTTTTTTTCCAAAACCAGGTTTCCCCATACGTACATACGCACTCGTACTTGTCTACCGTATACTCAGTATGTCTGTCCATGGCTGCAGCAGTGCGGTGAGGAAGAATACCAGAAGATTGTGCTCGCTGACGGTAGTTGGGAGGAAGAGCGTTCTCACCGATCTGCTGCCAGAAAATGATACAAAGGGCCTTTTGGCAAGGTGATACACAGATAGAGTCCAGCAATCAAGGGGAGCTGCTGCACACGTACCGGTACACACATAGACATGCCACACATAGACCTGTACCGGCAATGTTCTGTGCAGGCTTATAAGTATACATTACAAGTCATCATTACGGTAACCTTTTCACTTCACAAGACGTGGTGGATGTGGACAAAACGCTAAGAAAAAATCACCACCGCGAATGTCTGTAGATAAACAACGTACTTCACTTCTCAGATTATAAAGTCAAGGTTGGGAACACTATCAAATTAAAACAAAGCACTACTCGCACGAGTCCAAAATTTGCCGCCTAAGTACGAAAGACACGAACAACAACAAGAGGATCACATTGAACACAGTGAACCGATACCAACTGTATGAAATTCAGAATAAATATTATAAAAAAACGACACTTGACGTACATTGGTGTCCAGTGTTCCACGTTGAAAACAAATAGCCAGATGCTACTATGTATACTTCGATGTGGCTCACTTCAGCATAGGAACCTTCAAGGAATAACCACACAGATTGGACCAGTCCGTTTGGGGCAATATCAGCAGTTGCACAACTCTGGCCGCTCGTTTCACGGCGCAGCGTTGATGCGCAGCCATACGTTATGCCGCAAGTCCAACACTGCTCTTGGCCAGTATGATGTTGGTCCAGTCTCGGCCAGTAGCATTTGACAGCATGCTTGGCAGAAGAGTGTAGATGCTTGGCACGGGAATCATGAGCGGACACCCAACTTGGAAATGGACATAGCTCTCGTATTCAACACACACCGCAACATTGGCATTGGAGAAGACCGTTGCGTCACAGAAACTAGCAATCTTGACTTCTAAGTTCTAGAGCTGGGCATCATCATCCATAACTTGATGCGCTTGCTTCATCAGGACTCAGCCAATAAAACGAAAGCAGTCACTGAGGATTTTCCAGACACCGTCCTCCGAGAGCAGAACGAACTGCTGGGAGAAGCAGTGCGTCTTTCCATCGCCGTCGTACTTCACATGGCCCTCTGTGCTCACCAATACTTGTGTACTACCATTGCACGCAGCAGCTGCAGTAGAGGACAAAGCAAAGTGCAAGAGGAAGTGAGTGAGCACCCTTGACAGGCTCACCAGATCATCATCACAGAACACAAACAAGAGAGTAAGAGAAGTTTTAGTGTATGGTGTACGCATAAGTAAAGTCCCATGCACTGCAAGCCGCAACGAGAAGCCGGTCTATGTAGCGGACCAGTCAGGGTTCGCAGCCAACCAAGCACACAAAATTCCAAACTTTTTCCAAACATTTTCCAAACCAATTTCAAGAATTTCCAAACCCAATCGTGCAGGAAAAATAAATTATAAATCTCTTCTGCACGACTGTCTTCTCCACTACGAGTACAACCAGGGAGTAGTAAAATCCTCCCTGGTACTACCATCAACAAATTCACCAAGGTGCATTGCGATGATATCGCCTTCAGCAGCTAGAGCCCCTGAAAATAGCAGGGGAATTCATACGACGAGAGTTCCCCTCCGTAAGTTCAAATCCGCCTCCAGAGGGGGTTCCAATGAAACATTTACATAGCTGGTGTCCATCTCAGCGCAAAAGACGGCTTCATCCTCGCCAGCAAACTCATCTGAGTGCGAAAGGACCTCGCCATCCTGCTGTCCCGACTTCAAAGAATCAAAGTGGAGCCAAGAATCAAAGTGGAGCGCGAGCGCCAGTAACAAAAAAACGGCCAAATAAAAGTCATCACCGGCCGAGCTTGAGCTGCACTGAAAGGCGTGGGCCATCCCCTGATCATAGGTGCCAAACATTTTTAGTATAATTACTCAATCAATAAATTTGTACAAGTTGTAAAAAAAAAAAAAATGACTGTACGAGACTCGTACATGCAGTGAACACCACGCATCGCCAGCGCGTCTTCTATCGCGGCACTCAAAACCGCCACTTGCTTGCAGTACTGCCAGCATGCAGTGCAGCACATCTGCGGCCAAAAAATCGAAATTCAAAACTTTTTCCAAACTTTTTCAAAAGGAGCGCCTTTTCAAAACTTTTTCCAGACCTGGAAAATTGAATTATAAAATCCAAACTTTTTCCAGACTTCCAAACTTCGCTGCGAACCCTGAGCGGTGCATGTGTGATTCAACCGTACCTGCAACAGGTTGACAATCCAGGGTGTGTAACGTATGCTCGCTGGACGGCACTCTCTGCAACAGCTGCATGACCTGAGCAAGGCCATGCCCACACCAGCCATTCCACAGAAACTGGGACGCATCGGAGTACAGCGGTGCCATCACCTGTGCAGAGGGGGCAGGCATCAAGAACATGCACAGATATCTACAATACCAGAGTGCTCGAGCTCAGTCCTCTGTACTAGCCACGTAACAATGAATCTATCCATGCCGACATGCGACTTGTAGGTAGCTATTGGGTAGAGCCCTTGCCAGGCTAGAATATACCTTGAAAATCAGGCTTGTGTTCAAACAGGCTTCTCATATATGAGACAAGCTTTAATACAAGACACTACGGTACTCACATGTCGCCGCTTGTCAATGGACTCATAGTACAGCTGAACAAACTCCTCTCCGGCACGTGATGCAACCTCAACAACAGGAATAATCTAGGCGCACAGACCAGCACAGACCAGCACGAGAATATGACACTCTCAGAAACGGACATATAAGCCTACAGAAGTGCAACACTGTCCACAACGACCTTGTAGAGAAAACACTTTTCTTCCAACAGCCTTGATCCTATGAACACTATATCTACTAGCTAATGCAGAGAGGCTTATTGTCACACACACACACACACACACACACACACACACACACACACACACACACACACACACACACACACACACACACACACACACACACACACACACACACACACACACACACACACACACACACACACACACACACACACACACACACACACACACACACACACACACACACACACACACACACACACACACACACACACACACACACACACACACACACACACACACACACACACACACACACACACACACACACACACACACACACACACACACACACACACACACACACACACACACACACACACACACACAACATCATGGCTTTCCTCAAGCAATGTGGATGAACACAGGTGTCAAAGTCTGAACATACAAGTACAATAGTATAGGGTACTGTAGGCAAAGATAAAATTTTAAATAGAAACAAAGAAAACGGCAGGGCACAAGTTATGCGTTAGAGTCCACCAACTAAATCAGATTTCGAACAATCAGACGTGCACAAGGTAGCACCAGACTGACAAGGAGTACTGAGACATTCCACGGTTAGGAAGTGAGCTTGAGCACTGCTCGATAGCGCAACATAACTTTTACCCCACCGTTTCCCTCGTTCCCATTTAATATTTGCGTTGGCTCACCAGCTGAGTACTATTAAAGATGAAATAAATTGTACAGTCAGACCTCGCTTATCCGGTCCTCTTTTATCCGGATCCCTCACCATCCGGAAGAAAATCGTTGGTTACTGATTTACAGCATATGTCATGCATGCATACAGTATGTGTGTTTGATTATCCGGTTCCCTCGCCTATCCGGATATTTTTGTGTCCAACGGATGTGTGCGGTTAACCGAGGTCTGACTGTACATAGCTCGACAGCTGACATGCCAAAGATGTTCACCAGATTGACAATCATCTCACACCATTAACTATACACACCGTATGGACACACTTGCCGAAGATGCAGGTGAACTAGACGAACACCGACACAAGCAAAGGGCGTATGTTTTTTTAAGAGATTCAGAAATCAGATCACCTAAAACGCACGGTGTTGTGGTGCTGGTTGCAGGGTGGTATCATCAAGCCTAGACTATTCTTAAAGTAAACTCCCAAGACTAAAGTGTGTAACTCTGCAAATGGGGTAAGCGAAAACGCGATCAAGTGTTCCAGATACGTTTCGTACCATGAACCGAAGGCCAGCATGTGCGCAATCCGGATATCTTTCATGATCATGCTGATGACTTCTTTCAAAAAACACAGCCAGAGGTTGAAAACTTATTATTTTCTTTCATGACCTCACGAGTCTGAACTGTATACAGCAGGGAGTCGTACATGTACTACCATGTGTGAAAAAAGCCAGTATCAAGAGTACATACTAGTAATGCCTGATGGCTATGCACTCTTGCATAAGTTGAAGAGTACCTTCAGATGTGTGGAGAGCGGTTAGAGTTTTGCGGGCTCCTGTGTTTTCTTTTTTAATTTCTAGACGTGGCATGCATTGATTTTGAGCTACCCTTTCATGGCAACGAGTGGAGGTAGGGCAGGTTCCGGCATTGGTCAGTATTACCAGTGAAGTGGCACTTCTGTCTGCAAAACGAGCTGCAGTTGTCGAGAGAGAAATAGTCTTTGCATTCAATGTACTCCTGGAAAGAAATCTAGATGCCGGAATCGGCAAAATCAGTTGGCTGATCCCGTACAGTGCAGTTCAAACCCAGCGGGCGTGGTTACCGCACCCTCCACCGTACCTGAGCCAGTTACAGTATCGCAACCCTTAGCTAGTGTTAGCACTGCTACTACTCTTGCCACCACCAGTAGCCAGCAAAGTAGCCTGAGCCATGACTCGCCAGTAGCCACGGGCATGAGTACAACCCGAACCGTCTCTGATGGGGCCGGGAACTCAGCTCAGTCTGCTGGCACGAGCCCACGCGTGGCCGTCGCAAGTGCACTCAACCCAATACGCCAAGATCTGCCAGCGCCTCAGCGGAAAGCAACGACGACGATGTGAATACGGCTGGATCTACGCCTAGTGGTGGAGTCGGAACTCCGATTTCTGACAGCAGCGTGAACCCAGCTCTGGCTGATGACACCTCTGGTAAGTTAGCCTTGCTGAGGAGGTGCGACTTCTGGTAGGCCTCAGCGATACTCAGGTGGATGACGATGGTGAGGCATCCAGCCAGGCCCCGAGTTACCACCCTTCCCAATGGCCCCTGGTGTAGGGTTCACGCTGGGGCGCATGGATGCAGCTGCCACCAGCCAAGCACTGCGCTCGGCATACGACGAAGCAGTGCACTATATCCCAAACACATTCGACTTTCCAAGTGGCGCGGCTGGGAGGGCTTTCATCAACCTCCTTAGTCAGTGCCTGGAGTGGTTTGGAAACTACGAGCCTTTCTCAGGGCAATCATTATAGAGATTGCAATGGTATTTCAACAACTGGTACAGGTCTACTCTCCATATAACGTAATCTCTGGGACCACGCGAAAATTATGTTATATCGAGAGTTATCTTATGTAGAAACCCGTGTGTAAAATACAATATGTACCTCAAAATGAAGGGTATTTCAAGGCGGGTTCACCCATGCAAACATGCACACACTGTACCACCATCGACATCAGATACAATCAATGCTGCAGAATACTGTACTAGTATATGCACAATAGGATTAAACCGGTAGCAAAGCAGTAAGCGACCACCGTGATCAATCAAGGTTTTAATAAGACACTAAAAAAGAAAGAACATGGATGCAATCAACAGACTTATGTTCACAACAGAAGTAAAGGCAGCAAAGCAGTCAGCGGCCACATCTTAGAAAGGCAACACGACACTAAAGCCACGGTGCTGTCGTAACATGCACAGCACACTGTACATAAAGCCACGAATGAAAACAGTTCTCAAGCAAGTTCCAAAAAACAAGAATCGCACAGCTTTCCATCTTCATCTTTACTCTGACACATATGGTGATAGTGTCGCGAACAATTGCGGCACTGACGCAGAATGAGTTGCTCACTCACAAGAGGGCAAGCAAAACAAGCAGATCTGGAACACGCGGAATCGGACCCGGACTCGCTACTGCTGCAGTTGTTGTCGCTGCTGCCGCTGCTGGTGCTGATTGCATCTGTCACTTGAATGGTTTCAACTCCACTGCCGTCAGCCATTGACTCAGTGCTGTTTCTATTGCCAGCCTTGCTGCTGCTGCCGCTGCTGCTGGTTGCATCACTAACGATTTCAACCTCACTGTCCTCAACCATTGACTCAGTGCTGCTTCTGTTGCCAGCCTTGCTGCTGCTGCCGCTGCTGCTGCTGGTTGCATCACTAACGATTTCAACCTCACTGTCCTCAGCCATTGACTCAGTGCTGCTGTCATGTTGTGGTGGTGGCCCTGGTGGGTGCTGCTGCTGGATGCAGCTTCAACAAACTGAGCTTGAACCTCAGCACGTTGCGGCTTGAAGAAGTCGGTGATGTTCTTCTGCTTCTTGGCAGTGGCTGCAGTCAGAAGGAAGTCATCAATGTTAGCCAGACTCTTTTGAATGGCAGGAGGAACCGATCGTGAATTCATGATGAAGGCTGTCAGAGTAGAGAGGCTACCATACGCTTCCGCGAAGGTTGGTGGTGGGACAGAAGGTAAATCCTCATCACTATCATCACTTTGTTCATTCTCTGCTGGCTTGGCTGCTACATCTGCCACAATGCTCTCCACAGTTACCTCCTCCTCCGTGGCAGCTTCATCGTCGGCACAGACGAAATCACTCACAGTGGTGGTGGTGTCGATCTGCAGCTTCTCCGTAGCGTCACTCCACAACGCAGACAGTTCGGATTCAGCGAGGTCCAACTCATCCTCCACTGGTCTAGCACCCTCAGCAATCTGGGGTTGAAAGCGTGCATGCCTCCAACAATTGCTGATCGTCTTTGCCGCAACAGCTTCCCACGACGCAGCTGTCAGCAGAGCAGCATCCTTCAGGTCGAAGAAGCCACCAGGGTTTGCCAAGTCCAGCTTATTCGAGTCGAATGCTGCAATCAGCTTCTGGATGACTCTGCGGCGATACTGGGCCTTGAAGCTGCGTATAATGCCCTGATCAAGTGGCTGAGTGACGCTTGTGGAGTTGGGTGGTAGGAATGCTACCTTCATGTTGGACAATGTCAAGTCCCGCACACCAGCAACATGAGCCGAGCAGTTGTCCATGAACATGATGATGTTGCGTTTCTGTCGAGCCATATCTGCGTTGACGGAGAGCAGCCATTCTTTGAAGAGCTCGCCAGTCATCCAAGCGTTTCTGTTGGACTTATACGTAACAGGCAGCGATTGGACATTCTTGAAGCAGCGAGGCTTAGCATAATGCCCAATCATGAGCGGAGTGAGCTTGTCACTGCCATCGAGATTACAGGCAAAGAGCAATGAAACCCGTTCCTTCTTCTTCTTACCTCCTCTACACTTCTCGCCACGAAACGCTAGCGTCTTGTGCGGTAGGAGTCGGTAGAAGAGTGCCGACTCATCGGCGTTGAAGACATCCTTCGGCGCATATCCCTCGAGTAAGCCAGGAAGAACCTGGTCTTGCCAGTCGTGAATATCATCGGAACGAGCCGTGTGTTCACCTTCTCCAGCCTTCGTTCTTAGCGATAGCTGATGGCGCTTCTTGAACTTATCGCAGAATCCGCTGCTGGCGGAAAACTCTTCATCAGATATTCCGAAATGCTCGGCGAACTCTCTGGCTTTGGTTCGGATGGTGTCGTCGAAAACATCAACTCCGGCTGTCCTTGCCTTTACAACCCACTGGAACAGGGCGTCGTCCAGCTGAGGCCACTTGGAATGAGCAATCCGCTTCACCTTGCCGGAGCGTTGACCGGTTTCCCAACTTTTCCGACAAGAATCCTTGTTCTTCAAGATGGTATAAATTGTGCTGGTAGGTTTTCCAGTCGCCCTCGAAATGTCACGGACTGACAACTTCCTTCTTTCATGATCATCAATAATTTTTATTTTCTCCTTCAAACTGATCGATACTCGTTGCTTGGACATGGCGGAACAGTTCACAACAAGCTTGCAATTGCAAGGAAAACAAATGAGTGACCGGCTCGCGCGCAGGCGCTAGCGCTACTGTTGTTTTGTGGCTGCGCTTGTAGCTTTTTGTTGCACATGTGGCTGCGCGTGTAGCTCTTTGAGTCTTTGTCGTATGTGCTGTTGCGTTTGTGTCTCTGTGTCGTACATGCTGCTGCCCCGTGGTGAACGCTGTTGCGCTGTCTTTGAATGCTCTGTACATGCGGCTGCACCGTCTTCTGTCCCCTCCGTATGCACTCTTTCTCGTCTTGTCCCCGTTGTACACGCATTTTCTCGTCTTGTCTCCGTTCGTCGGACCGGTTGCAGTCTTGTCTCCGTTCGTCGGACCGGTTGCCGTCTTGTCTCCGTCGTATTTAATCGTCTGCCGTCTTTGTCTCCCTTTTCGTTCTGGACTGGTTGTATCCCACACGGGCACCAATTTCGCGTCCACCGCCTCACTTTTCCTGACGTCTTCAAAATACGTTCCCTTGTCTTGTCTCGGTGTCAGTAGTCTCGTAGATCGTTGTCTCATGACAGCGCCAGAGGAGAAAAGTTCGTCCCAGTCGTAACAACACTACAGTATCACGCATGTGAATCTACGTTATATCGAGAGTGGGCACGTCTGGGACTGCGCTGCAGGTGCGTTATGTCGAGGTTTACGTTATGTAGAATTACGTTGTGCAGAACAAAATTTGTATGGGAGTGATGCTGTGTCGGCGGGGGATTTGATTTTTTTACGTACTAGCGAGGTTTACGTACAAGTGAGAGTTGTCATATCGAGAGCAGACCTGTACTTGTAACTTCAGAAGCCACATCAAGTGGCAGTCTCATCGTACTCCAAGTCTCTCCGGCGGCGACTTGACTTCTGGAATGAGAACGATCTTCCCCAACTTCTGAGTGAACGCCGCACCAGTCAGCGTCAAATACAACAGTACCACGAGCAACCCCCCCCCCCCCCCCCCCCCCACACACACACAGGCAGAACAAGGATCCTATTTTTCTCATGTAAACAGGGCCATAGAAAGGGTATCCAGAGTTGCACACTCTTGGGGGGTTATATACTTTCGGAGGCATGTCAATGCCACGGGACTATCAAACTTGTATGCTACGAAAATGTCATAGTTTGCACCCTAAATGGACTTTCACATGCAATTTGAGCTCTGGTTACAGTCAGTAGTAGTTCAACACAACACAAAAGAATGGAAACAATTGTAGGCAGAGGCATTACCAAGGAAATGGGCTGAAACCTCAACGTAATAATTATTATATGGAACACAAGAATTGCAGCTCACCAAATAAAATTCCACTACCGATATGAATTCCTAATCAGCTGATTCAAAAGAAAAGTTCAAGACGGTAACAATGACTTTCCTACACAAACTTACCGATTCTAAAGCGGCCATCCTAATGGCGAATAGCTATGTGCCCAGCTACCGGAAGCGTTCCCAGAGACTCCACATGTAGATGTTGCTGTGCTTTTTATCACGACACGGACATGAAACTACTTGAAAGCAAACAGAAAATCTATTTCACAACACACAGTGCAGTTCAAAAGTGAAAAGTAACATAGTTCAAAAAACGTTTTGACGAAAAACGGCAAGACTGCCAAGAGGTTGAAAACTTATTACTTTTCTTTTATTACGTCACGAGTTTGGACTGTATACAGGGAGCCCTACACATACCGGTATGTGGTATGCGTAGGGCTCCCTGGACTGTATACAGCAGGAAGTCGTACTAAACTTACTAAAGCCAGTAAAGGCTAAAGCCAGTATCAAGAGTACATAATAAATGTCTGACTAAAATTAATGGTACATAGCCTCTTGCCAGTACTGTAAACATGACTGCATTGACTGTTGTGTATACCGGTAAGTAAGAGAGCAAGTCAATGCTCATACTTCAGCTATTCCCTATCCTTTTCTTCCGATTGCATTTCTATTTAAAATAATTATTACTATCACTGAAGTCGCACCAACCTCTTCTTCATATTACTATCCTGTTTTTGCTTTTCTCTCTTTTACTGTATCCTTTTTTTCTTCTGTTCTTTTGATGCTGCTGCCTTATGACACATACCGGTATGGCGCTCCTACGACCAGAAGGGTTATGGGTTGGTTATACATACATGTACATACATACTGTATACTACAAGTACACAGGCCGCTGTCAATGGAAGAAATGCTCCGATATGCTTCAAGAAGTACACGCATATGTACACCTACTCAGACACAAGAGTCTTACCGTAAAGAACAGTGTTCCCCATTGCAACTAGAAACCGGTTAGCAGGGCCGTAGTCTTGCGACTGTATGAGCCATATCCCTGGACTGTGCCCCTGGTTCGGTCTTTTTTTATTAGAACTTTAAAAATAGTAAGGCCATGTCAACCGCTTCGATATGTGTAGGGCCCCCCTATTGCCGGCATTGGATATCAGTGGTATAACCAGAGCTAATAGGCTGTATAATTTTGTAATGAGGTGGTACGATTGACCCCACGACTGCGGTACATTCATGGATAAGTGACCACAGTTTATTATCACTATCAGTGGCTGTGTGGCTCATCTAGGTACATCTACCTTTGAAAGTATACTTATGAAATGGGCTACACATCTGCTGGCAATATTACTGTACACAGATGGTACAATCCAGTAGGTAGACCACCACAGGAGACAGTGGTCAACACGTGAGTAACCACAGTACATGTATCAGGGTCCTGTTGCACTTCAAAGGAGACAAAGATGAACGAAATATCTCTACAAGAAGTCGACGTGGAGACAGAAATTGAACAACGAAAAAAGAGGAGAGTGAACATAGTACTCGTGTCGTCACACTAACATTGTAGCAGTTGTGGATTCTTGTTTTCCATGACAAACGTTTTTCAAGTGACTTTCAGGCAAATTACTTGAAGTTTTAAAAAGTACACAAGAAAAATGCCCGTGCACAAACAGACAACGTAACGGATAGGGTTACTCTTCCAATGTGAAAACATAAAAAGGGTCTCAAGTGGTTTGAATGAAAGGTTGGTAGGTAGAGTCCTGTCTTAATTTTGTTACATTGAAAATAACTCGGTGAAACAATATGTGAACACGAGATGGAGTGATATCTCCAAAAGCCTCGGATTGAAGACATCGGACATCCACTAAAAAGGCACTGTCGGAAACAAGCAAGGGATGCCTGTTAGCGGCATTGGTTACTTGAGTTGGTTAGAGCATGAGGGAGTTGGTAATTTTAAGATTCCGGTAAGCACTTACTGGTATCGTGTGAGGTATACGGTCAGTAGGATTGTTTTGGTAGGGTTGTTTCTGCAAGGGGCATAAATAGAGGACTGTAGCTATGTGAGGCTTTGAGACTTGCCATATGAGAAGCTAGTCGAAGGCTTCTTGAACTATAGGGCGGCCTAGCTCGTGTTGAGCTCTCCTGTAGAACTCCGCCACCGTCGAATGAGCATGGATACAGCTAGGGTCAAAGTCGATCACTCTCAGCGTGTCGAGGCTGCGCGCTCGGGACAGTGCCACGTACGCTTGGCCACATTCGAACACGCGCGCAAGGGAAATCTCCACACAGTCAAGTGACATTCCCTGCATGCCAGAGTAGAAAGCAAAACGAACAAACAAAGTTCTTGTCAGAGATATTTTGATGTGATTAAGAAAATGCAGGTGGATTGCATCAAATGGCCCACACCACATTTTGGTGGAGACGAAGAAATTCTATGCCGCAACGTCGAACACTTTAGGAAAGCCACATGTGTACGTACCCATGCAGTAAAACATAACAGAAAAGCTGACGGGATCGATTTTCTAAATGTAGTGATAGATTCAGAGGAAACAGGGGGCCTGGTCTTCCCTTTTCAAAACTTCCACCATCTTGCGATAGCAGTAATGCTGCTACAGCTGTCCTCTACGTATACACGTTTTAGCGGCTGCGTGGTCGTCGTCCATAGATGTGTTACTCCGTACGGCTACGGTGTGTACGTTTCAGTGGGCTGTGCCCGACACTGAAGTGCACTTCAAAAATAATGCAATGTGTTCTGGATTTTAATCATTTTATCGCTTCTGCCATGCCTTACCTGACTCTTATGGATTGAGATTGCCCAAGCTAACTGCAGTGGCAGTTGACAACGTACCAGCATGTTACCTGTGCTACCAAACACCCATTTCTCCCTGCCTATCACCTTCCGAGAGCCATTCATGAACTGAACTGTAGGCAGCCCTGAAAGCCAGAGCACACAGACCAGAAAGAATCATTCCATCAGCAAAGCATCAACTTCAAAGCAAAGAATGCAACATGAACAATTCTAAATCATACTTGACCAAGGATCGTCATCCCTGGAAAGTAACAGTGTCAATGCGTACAGTGCAGTGATGGGGAATGGCATATGGAAATGGATAAGGGTACAAAAAATGCAGGGTGCATATGTGTGTGCCACAGGTCATATATGCGAACACTGCAGTACCTCTGCTCATAAGCCCACCACTGCCGGGCACCACCTCCTCAACATCATTCTATGCCTTGGATCATATCGAAAACAATCGCCCTAAAGGCTCTTTTAACAAGTGGAAGGTCTTAGCCTTCGGCATTCGGGGTAATACATTATAGTTGAAACGAGCAGGAAAATGCAAACTGATAACTTCATTTTTCGTTCAGGACCAAGGTTACCACAAGGATACTCATACTCCGAGGAAAACAATATAATCATACACGTGCGCATACCTGAGGCTGGATCAAATGATGTGACTATGCCACGGGCCCCATTCACCAGGCCACTCGACATGCAGATGTTCTTCGTGAGCATCACCTGGGCTCCGACCTTCAGTGAGAGTTGGCTCGGGGTCGGACACATCTGGTTCAAACGACTCGCCGCTTCTGGCGGAGAGTCCATAGACGTGAATAGGCAAGACTTGCTGGTCAGAGCCTCGAGCTGCGATGCATTGATCTGTGAGACTGCATCACGATGTGTACAGAGTCGAGTAGCCTTCACACCATTCGACTCGATGGTCTGGGAGCTCGTGGCCTGCAAGCGTTTGGTTGTGCTTGCCGTGCACCTGCACAAGATCAGCATGTGACAAGCGGCAACAAAGAAAATTCTTCAAAAACAAATTCTACAAAGGTATTTAGAGCACAAGGTGGGTGAAGAGGAAGTCTAAATATTTACTCAGCATACAAAGGATACAACGGTACGTGATTGTATGTACATGTGCAAGAAAATTGGGGTGCTCTCGATAGCAGACTTGTCTATAGCAAGGGCATCAGGCAGGCAGACATATGTACCACGGGCGGTTCGTTCAACCCTTGAAGTTGAAGCACCTGGTGTCTGAGGAATTTATTTCAACTTCCAGTCTTGTCCACAGGAACCATTCAATCATAGGCTGGGATATGCCGATATACCCCCCCCCCCCCCCCCGCCCCCTTGAGTGTAGATTTGGTAAGCATTTTCACAGGGACACCCCAGACTTTTCAGATGAACGTTAGCAAAGATTACTGACTGCAGCAAGACATACCTGCCCTGTCTGATTTCTCCAAGCATGGCAACAAACTCTGGGTCGGACTGTCTGAATACCTCCTTCAGCTCAACGTTAACCTGGATACAGCGTCTCCACGACTTTGCCTACAGTGAAACAGCCAGGAAACACACACACACACACACACACACACACACACACACACACACACACACACACACACATGCACACACACACACACACACACACACACACACACACACACACACACACACACACACACACACACACACACACACACACACAAACAGAGAACTAGGAGCAATGTCGTAGCAAGATGCACAAAAAAAGGCAGAAGACTGAATGACTGAATAGACTAAGCTAAACACACCCTGCTCAAGATATGTGTGTTTGGAAAATGGAGAGTAAAAGGGAATATGAGCATTACCCGAGATACACGTACCATTGCGCCCACATCTACGTTGTACATTATGAGCTTGTCCCTTAAGTGACGGCACATGTCATTGTGGGCATACTTACATCAAAACAAAACTGGGTTTTCTTGCTAGCAGCCGTCACAGGTGGCAGTTGAAAGAAATCGCCGGTCAAGATTAGCTGTATGCCACCAAACGGCTTCTTGCTTCCACGTACGGCTCTCGCAACGTATTCCAGGTGATCGAAGAACTCGCCATCCACCATGGAAACTTCATCGATGATGAGATACGAACATCGTCGCCACTTGCCGGCTGGAACATCTCGTGATGCCCTGGCAACATTCTCCTCGGGAGTTCCCGGCACAGTTCCTATGCCAGCAAATGAGTGCAATGTCACTCCTCCAATGTGGCAAGCTGCAACACCGGTACTTGCAGTGACGAACGTTGATTCCGGTGGCAACGTTGAGATGATGCGGCGTAGCAGGAACGACTTTCCCGTACCCGCTCCACCGGTCAAGAAGATACTCTTACCGGAGCGTACCAGCTGGAGCACTTGTTGCTGTTGCTTTGTCAGAGACATGGTGCGCTGGATCAGACTACGCTGTGCTCCCTTGCCACCACCAATACTCGTTCCAGGTACACTGTGAGAGCTGCCAGTTCTCAAGCATGGCTGTTTAGGGTTCTCCTTTCCAACCGGGCTGAGTGGCTTGCGCTTGGCAAACACCGAGCGTGACGGGACACGCTGAGGCGTGGTGGACTGCTTACTGGCCAATACCTTTTCAGCCCTGTCCACGTCCACTTCTGTCAGCGGGCTGATGTTCTCCAGAGAGGAGGGTGCTAGAGGTACACGCCTTGGCTGTCCCGCTGCCGCCGCTGCTTGTGGCGTACTGACCTGCGAGCCAGTCAGCTTGATCATCATTGTTCTGAGAAAACTGGACAAATGGCCAGGCGGACAATTGCTTAGGAATAGTCGCGCCTTGGGTTCGGCCAGAACAATTGTGGATCGGCCTTCTTTAAGGAATCGTTTGTGCAGCTGCACCTGGCCGATTTTGAGGCGATAAGCTGTTTCTTTGTTGTCCGGTTGACTGATGCGCAGAACGATGGCCGATGAAGATGCCCGACACAAGCTGAGCTTGGCCGATTTGTGCGCCTCCCGCCTGCCAACTTCGCCATTAGGCAGAAGGAACTCCTTGTTGAGAGTGCATTCCACTTCAGTCACCTCCATTCCGGAATGATTCTGTTCTTACCTTGATGTTGTTATTTTCCTCTCGAGTGTCGTTGATGAAAGGCTGAACGTTTCGTAGCAATACCTGGAGGTATGCTTGCTCAGGGCTTCCACTAATGAGAGTGGATTGATCTTGTCCGTATTTGAAGAATAAAATTAACTTCTACATATCTACCATACAGCCATGGTGTGCTGCTACAGAAAGGATCAGAGAGAACGCTGCACTGAACAGCCTCTTTTTCTTTCTGATTCACCTCTGATTTCTTCTTCTTCTTTCGGGTACGACGGTCATCTTGCCTGGGAGATCGTCGTCATCTTCTTCCCAAGTGATTTTGAATTTTGAAAAGCTTTGCCATGGTACCATGACGTCACACATATGCTGCATGTGTTGACATGTCACATGATCTCGGTTTTTGGATCTTCTGTTTCACAAGAACAACCTGCCAAGCTGCAAAAAAGTAAAAGGCAGGGAGGATTATGAAGTCTTGAAGACAAGTAAGTAGTTCCAAGGGTCAGCCGTTTTTCTTCCTCCCACACACTTGGTAATGAACCCTCGTAGGACCCGTAGTTATCGACGTGCCTCGGGACTGAAGCGATGTAAACTGCCGTAGACAGTGTAGTGAGTGGACTAGTGTATGCATACATCTCAGCCAGCCAATCTCGTATCCTGACGTTTCTGAGATCGACTCATCTGCTGTTGCTGACTACTAATATGGAGGAGGAGTGGTGATTTGTGTCGCAGCTGCGAGCATGGATCCCGACTTCAGTCTTGATGTAAGCTTTCGCACGCCCTGTCCCACAGTACGACCAGTACACTGTCTGCAGTGCAGTTGGCTGTGTGATTTTGTGATCATGGTGATTTGTTGTTCAGACAATCCAGAGTTACTGACTACACTACTAACACACAGTGACTTGTGCTGGACTCTACCCTTACCAGCCTATTCTCCCTCAGTGTGATACTCAGGATTACGCTGTAAAGGAATACAATGAAATTGAATGTTGAAATACAAATTCATATACCGGTACATGTACAGTCAACTTCGCTTATAACGACACTCGGCGGGGCATCAGAAAAGTGTCCTTATTCGTGAAGTGCCGTTATACCCGAAGTCTCATTATATGTATTACAGTTGGATGGGACTTTGCTCTGGGCATGGAAATCCTGTCGTTATTCGCGAAGTTGACTGTATATCCACAGTCGTTATTCGCGAATTGTCGTTATATCCGCAGTCGTTACAAGCGAAGTTGACTGTAGTACAGTACTGCTCAATGCAATCCAGTCGCATCACTCAAGTACGCACCGGGCGTTGCGCAGCCATAGCCCTGCGAACACTGAGCAGCGAAATGATGCAAGGCCCAAATTTGAGTGACGCGACTGGATTTCATTGAGCAGGACTGTACAAGCACTACTGTTTGAGCCACTGTCGCTCACAATCAACCTCATGAGTAATCGCTGTATGTGTGTATGTGTATGTGTGTGTGTGTGTGTGTGTGTGTGTGTGTGGTGTGTGTATGTGTGTGTGTGTGCGTGCCCGTGTGCTTGTGTGTGTGTTGTGTGCGCGCGCGCATGCACGCTCACGTGTGCCTGTGTGTGCTTCTCTTGTACAGCCGGTTGCTCTGTTGATGCGGTGTGCGCCATTTCTGTCCAGAGCACAGGAACTTCTCAGCCATGTTACAGAAAATGGTATGTCATGGGTTACAGGGACGTACCAACCGAGCTGGCTGGTCAGGCTTTAGCTAGATGCGCTTTCAGTTAACAAATCCTAATTAGAGAATAAGAGTTGCATGCTCTGGCTTTTGACTCTGTATTTAGTAATCTATTGATTGCATTTATTTGCCCTTTCCATGTAAAGCGCTGCTTTTTTTTTGGTTTTGAAGCACACAATGCGTGGGCTGTCAGAAATTCACATTGTGTGTGAGTGTGCTTGTATTGTTTTACACGATTATTCCTATATCCATACATCTTCACAACACTCTTCGAACGGTCTCTGGGCTACACAAATCACTGAAAGAAAAAGAGACATAAATCATTCGAATTTTCGGGCAAGGCCCATCTTCATGAATTCCTACAACGCCCTATTGTCGTGCCCCCCCCCCCCTCCCCCCCGGTCCTTGCAGTGGATCTCTCTCTCATACCTAAAATTTCAATGGCTGCACAAGGACTGACACATATCATCCGATAAGGAACTGCTTTTCTGTACCAAATATTTCTGAATAGTTCTGGTCGCAAATAACAATGGTATTTTGGTCTCACACCTAAAATCTCTGAATGTGTCCCTACTTACTGGTTACTGCCCTGCTGGTTTTTGCGTAGGTTGGGCAGACCTGGCAGGTGACTTCTCATCGCTGTGGCAGCACTTAGGGAGCGCGGCACACTTTGTACATGGCCTATATGACACAGACATCAGCGCAGCTGCCATTGCTAAGGTGAGATGCAGGCGCGTGCATGTTACGATGGTTTGTTTTGGCAAACTTTTTTTAGGTACAGTGAAACCTGTCTAAACCTACCGCACAAGGGCCCCACAAAATATTGTCGCTGTGTACAGGTGGTCTCCTTATCTAGGGTAATATTAGTGAAAATGATACTTGTTGGTCCCGGCTTTAGTGGTCATCTGGGATAGGCAGTCGCCTTAACAGGTTGCACTGTAAATCGGTTTGGTTGAATCTGGAATTCTGGATCCACACCAATTGAATGGATCATTTTGTAAAGTGGATTGGTGAGATTCAAGTGGACCCAGATATGATGAAGCAAACATGCAATTATTGAGGTGATCTGGTCAATATGGATCCTATTCCTTCGAACATGCCGTTTACTTTCCTTGGGAATACGGTATGTGTAAATGTCAAATTTGGTAGAATATTCCATTTGTCACTGTGTCCTGTGCTATTGTTGTGTTCTAGGTGGCAGCTGCTTTGCTCTGGCTGGAAGAGCTGAGTATGAAGAATCCAGCTGAACTGCTTGCAGCATTTCATCAGTGAGTTGGTTGGAATCTCCCTCTTGGCATGTGTACTACTCGGTGTATCGGTTAGTGTGGCCTTTTTGGTGTATTTTTACGGCACCCGATATTTGTGGCAGCTGCATTGACTGGCAAGGGGAGACAACTAGTCTAGAGGTACACAGCCAAGCGGACATATCTTTCTTCAGCTGGCACGTATGCCGGAGTATATCTGTGTAGTTGAGGGCACAAAGCGGAGTTGCCATTGAGAGCATCTGTCTCAGACTCTGTGTGTATGTTTGTGTGTTATCCCTGTGTATGATAGGTTCTTCAACACGTTTGTGTCGCTGAGGTCATGGTTGAAGACGGCATTGATGCCACCCGGCGGTCTCAGTCAGCTGCTGCATGACAATATCACCTTGGAACTGGCCATGTATTCATTTGGTGTAAGTGTGGGTATTGTTAATAGCTTGAACACCCTCGCTGATGTGTTTGTTTGCAGCTGCTGGTGGTCTCTCTTTGTCTCTCTGTCAGTCTGTCTCTGTCCTCTCTCTGTCCCCCCCCCCTCTCTCTCTCTCTCTCTCTCTCTCTCTCTCTCTCTCTCTCTCTCTCTCTCTCTCTCTCTCTCTCTCCGTCTCTCTTCTTTCTTTCGTAATAATGTTTACGGTTCATGGGAGATTCAGTCAGACCGACTGTTCCACATCCGCAGGGACTCCACAAGAAAACAAGGATCCTTACTCTCCTCTATATGATTTCCGTCGTTTTTTTCTTCTGCAGGAGCTGTTTATTTTCATCATTCCACTCATCAATGTCGATAAGCTGAAGACAGTTGCGCGCGTGGCAGCTCGTTTCCTTCGTATGTGGCTGCTGGCTTCGGTTCGTCACTTTGTTTCCCTGGCTCGGCAAGCCAAAGCTAGTGCTCTGTCCCGGGGACGGCAACTGCGTGGGAATCAAGCAAGTGAGGATGAAGTCGACGGTCCTTCAGTTTGTGTGTCCTGCCGTCAAGTGCCACCGGTGGCGTACCTTGCCAATTGTTCACATACGTTCTGCTTCCGATGTGTGAGGGTGAGTACTACATGTAGTACTCTGATTTGATTGGGATTTTGTTGTACATTGCATGTACCTGTACTGCACATCAGTGTGCCACTGTGGGATGGTTGTCTTGATATATCAACATGCTTTCTGGGCCCTTGCTTTTTGCCCTTGAGTGTTACGTTTGGCATTGTTTTGGATTCTGCTTCTTGTCTTCTTGGCGTGTGTGTATGTGGGTGTGCTGGTGTCATTCGTATTCTGCCACAGACGTTGTCAAGTGTTCGCGAGGATTTCCAGTGTCCGTGTTGTCAACAGGCGGTGCAGTACCTGCAACCAGCCGCTGCTGAGGACCCATAAGCACGGTTTTCATTGGCCCTCTCCACTCCGCAATGATGTAGCAGTGATCAGGCAAGCAGGAGTCACAAACACCGGATTGCTTCCCCCCTGCTGTAATATTGACATGGTTAGTCTGTGCAACAGAAGTTCTTGTCAGCTTTGGCACATCGTACTTTCTGCTACTGTGACTCGGTAAGCATAGCCAGCATTGCTTTTGTCGCCCTTCAGGTGTCGTCCTGATCTTGAAAACTCCTTCCTAGGCAGTGGAGTTATTGCCTTCTAGCTACCAGTGCCAGTGCTGACTGTTGAGCTGTATGCTTCTAGGCGTGTCTGCATAGCTCACCGGAGTTGAAGCCTAATTGAATACCTTGCCGAACCAAACTTCAAGTCCCATTTTTTATTACTGCTCTTGATGTGTACTTGAGTGCTTGAGCTGATTGGATCCACAGCAGCTATGACTTGTCACACATTGCCTTGATGTGCTGGAGGTGAGTCCAATTGTTGTTGTTGTGGCTCATGCTGTATCTGGCCTTTGTCCAGTTATCTCGGTCTCGGAACTGGTCACACCCCTTACCTAGATTCTGTCTGATTAAATCACCTACACACGTCATCACTATTACTTGAGATTAGCAATGTTCACAATTTATTACGGAGCCAGCCGGCCTGGCTTCCCTTTGTTTTACCTTGCGTAGGGCTATCACACCTCATTTTCGTAGGGTACATTTTATTCAATGTCCACCACTTTCTTAGTGTTCATTTTTTTCTACTCAAATTATCGCCAATGGGGGCATTGCAGGCGCCGGACTCAAATTTATCATGTCAAACTTTTTCGTAGCCACAACTAGGTCATGTGTTTATTCCTCTTAAGTACTCAACAGTCGAGACAACACTCTGTGTGCTTGGCATGATATCACTGAGTGGCGTGGCCATTGCAGCTGGTAGTCCAGGCCGCGCTGACCAGTTACCAGTCCCCTCATTGCATCTAAGTATGTTCTTTGAATTGAAAATTGCACCGACATCATTGCAGTCGAATTTAAGGCAATGTTCGCCATTCGCCCAGTTGCACCACGATTCTGTACATGAAGAAGTACTTTATTGTAAGCAAAGAGAAATGGCTACACAATGGTTGAAGATAGGCACAACCCCACTACCATGGCCATCTTGTGGCACTGCAACAAGGCTGCTGTAGCATGTAGTTCTGGTATTGTTATGTTTAACTGATTATATTAAAACTGATGGCGACGGTGTGGACTCTCCATGCTTGCGAACGCGATCCAGCTCATCTCTTTTAGGAACACTTCAAGCACGAGAGACTGCCCCCCCCCCCCCCCCCCCCCCCCCCGGTCAACCATTCTTGAGCCGACACCGCACCACCGTGCAGGGCTCCCTGGGTCTACCATCCTCTGCAGTAACGCACACTTGCCAGTGCCAATACATGTACCGGTAACTGCACGTGCTCAAAGAGAATATTCTTCTTCCAATGGTGTTCAATGGACGGTGTCACATATTGCAAGCAAGGTACAATCAATATAGCATGTGCCCAGACACCTGCAAGGAGCACCCTGGAGTTCATGCTGAAATTTTGAGAAACGAAAATAAGTCAAAATATATGGAGCCAGTCAAGTCAAGTCGGCAGGAAGAAGGCGTGTGATCTCATGTTGACAGCACCCATTCTGAAAAATAACACTGCTATTAAAAGTTTTCAATAAAATGGGAATTTCTATGAATAAAATACCTAGCGTATGATGCGGTGGTGACCAAAAATAGCCATTGACGCGCTGTAGTGAATGTGTCTCGACTCCTTTGTTCCACTTGGCCTCCAGCTCACTTAGGATTCTTTGGTTGTATCAGCTGACTCTGCATCAGCTTGGGCTGGAACATGTGGCACTACAGCGCTAGACCCTAGGGATGAAGCCTTGGTCCAGTTAGTGTGATGGGCTGGGCGCATGACAGCAGGTATACAGCAAACGCCAATTCACTGCTAAGTTTGCTGCTCACGGCGGCTTGGGCAACGCACAGCATGCACGGCCTGTCGCAGTGTGCGTGTCTGTGTGTGATGCCATGGGCTACTACACCGGGAATCACTCGTCCATGTACCGGTACTGTTGCAACTCGCTGCGCACAACCTGAACACTTCCTGAATCATGCTCATCATCAGCTCCCTGCACAGAATGATACGAGTACACGTAGGAATAAGCACAGGTGACACACACACACACACACACACACACACACACACACACACACACCAACCAGTAGAGTACATTTCTAGCCCAGTCCTTGTAACGGTATTGCGGTCACCAATGAGAAAGCAAAGTAGAGGTCAACAACACACAGTGCAGAATTATCCTCGAGTGCAGGACTGGCATTTTGTCGTGCGTACAGTGTACCTACTCATAGTAATCGGTTGCAATGCGTGATTTACGATGCCATCTTGCAAATAATCATGGCGTGATGTCGTGAATGGTTCTTGCATTGCGATACGTAACAGATCACAGGCACATCTGATGTGCATCACGCCATCATCACCACCAGCAGTATACAGTGTACCGGTATGTGTACGAGTACTGCAGATACCAATACCATGCATGCATGCTGCAGCTTTGTAGTGCAACCATGTACGATATGTACAGGCGTGCGAGTCTTACATTCCATTGGGTATACTCTCTTTCTTCATCCTCATCATAGCTGGCGGCAGCCTCTATCGTCATTGCCTTCTTACCAGCGGGACCGAACCCAAACGGAAGGAACTTCAACGCCTGCCACAATCAGAAAGCAACGGTCAAATTGATTAAAACCAAAACCGTGCATCCAGTTAGTCTAGTGGCCACTTTGTATGTTGAATCTGAGTTGGTGTCCTCAGCGCATTATGTAGAAATAACGATTCGTAGCAAATTGCTGTTTAGAACTCCACAAGGTACTGTAGTCTCTCTTTTTTTTTTTAAATATAATCCTCCCGAGTCTGATTTCCTGCTCAAAACAGTCCGTGCTCCAAACTGCTGGCAAGACTGCAAGATCATCACACATACCGTGTTGTGCGGTGATGAATCACACATACCCTAGCTTTGAGCCTGGCCTTCTTTGCCGCAGAGCTCTCCTCGATCAGTGGAGTCCGTGCTGTGATGGTTTTCACAGGTAGAGGCGCCCGGCCGGTGTTGGAGAGCTCGTCCTTCGTTCGCTTCTCCACCAAGTCGATAACGTAGCACGGCAGGACTTGGTCCGCGCACGGCACAACGTACTGGAAACCGTCCGGGCTGATGACGGAGTCCGCTCTGCCACGATGTGCTGTTGGGCAATACAGCATATGTATGTATCAACGTGCAGGCATAACAAACATAGAACAGTGTTTTGCAACAGCGCTGCCTCGTCAAGATCTGATGAGTACTGGGATGCTAGCAATCATATTGTCAATAACCATCATTGTATACCGTGTATTACGCACTGACAAGCAATAGGACAAGACAGAAAAGGGATGCAGGTGAGATCTAGTCAAGCGGCCATCTTGTGTCAGCAATCACCTGCTTTGCAAGACCACGGCCAGTATTCTCTGCCACCAAGTCACTGTGTGCGATGTACTTCGAAGTACAAAGACAGACCTGGTTTCAGAGACCACCTGTGTTCATGGACCCCAACATGGAAGTCTCACAAGTAGTGCCTAAAACCGGGGTTCATTCGTACAATGCTACAGTCATCACAAGCATGCGTGTATATGCATCTTCGTGTCTATTTCGACAGTCCATATCAGGCTTCGGGTTCTGGTCTACTGGACACACGCTTACACTGCACATCACTCTTCTTCTTCGACTGCGTCCCCAGGTGGTACGAGTGACCGAGAAGGACGGCGCAGACAATCACCCTCAAGCGACTGCTGTACCTGTATAGTGACAGGCATATGGCATCAAAACATCAACATAAGCTGACCACGTAGACCGTTCTTCAACACCTGGACATACCATTGCAGTCATGCACACATTGTCTTCCACAAAATTTGGAATTTCAAAAGTTTTGAATTGATTTTGTTAGAGTGTGAGACGAAAGGGAGCGGAAGACTTTTTAAGAGGAAAGATTGTACAAGCTGATCCCAGAGGGATACTTTTCTAAGCACTCGCAGACTACATTGCAGCCATTTCTTTGTTGCATACGTCATCAACTTTTCACCAAAACGTTTCGGGCATGACGTCAGCAGCAAAGAGACCATACTTCGAGTGTGTGCGTGGAGGTATCCTATTGGGTAATGATCCCAGGGGAAATTAATTGAGTTTAAAAGCACAAGTACAAGCACTGGAGATAGTGCCGGCAGCTAAACTAGCTTTGTGTGCTCTGGGTGGCAGTCATGAGTCGTGTAGTCAAGTGTCAAGTCAAGTCGGCGGAAAAGCGCGAGCATGGGGAGCAAACCCTTTCCTAGCTAAAATGGCTTCTTTAAAAAAATTAATGTTCCAATGTTCTTACCCCAAGGAGAGCTCGATGGATGGCGATGTGTAAATGCCAACACCCAGGTACGAGCCATGCTGAACCGTGACACCAGGCTTCGTTCCGGGCACCACTAGACCTTGTTTCACTGCAGATTGTCACGCCGATCAGAGAGCGACACCAATACAATAACCGCAGCGCATTTAAAAAGTTGAGAACCAGCGGGGAAACGCAAAGATGAAGAGTAGACGGAAACCATGGTAATACCTCCACAGTTGGCACTGTCACTGACCTGCAGTGCTGTTCACAAAGCACCGGCACAATGCCAGTTGCAACCATTGAGTAGCAACAAAGTACGTGTTTTACTACTCCCTGGTTGTGAGGGAATTGTACTTGTAGTAGTTACAGTACTCATGCGGTCAGTGGCTTACCGGTAGCTCGAGTAGGAAGTCACCATCTCACGCTTATAGCTTACCAATGTTGGGCAGATTCCTCTCGTTTGTTCCATGGAATGCCATTACTGGTTCACACTGGAAGTTGTCTATTTTCCTGCGCACCGAGTGCCAGTATGCCGTACGCATCTTGTTCCAGCAGCTTTCAAAGCGCCGCGCCAGATCATCCTTAAGGATATTCTCCACCTGCACAGCAAGCGGTTTGACATCAGAAAGTTCAAATTATTATGAAAATCATTGTTCATGGCTGGTGCATATGTTCCGATCCACCTGGTTGTATCTAATGCCAGTGTGCATGTTCAGGGTATGCATTCCACCAGCTACTGCGACTACTTTTGTGGACATTGAAATCCGTTGAGAAATCAAGTGGCCACTGAGCGCTGGCCTTGCAGCCGCGAGCACTGCTTGATAAACATTCACGGTACATGTAAGTTATGTTCACACTAAGAAGCCAGACAGCCGAGTTACCTTCAGAATTCTCAGGTGATTCGGCATTGCCGCGAGAATGTCTTTCATCGGGCCGACAAAGTGTGCTGGGTTATACATGTCACATGAGACGGCAGGACACTTTGCCGGCAGTCCTCCCATAGCAGTGCTGCCCTCGTGTACAAGCAATGCCGTGGATGCCTCAAACTCATCTGCACCCACAGTCTCCTCTTTGGCGGTAGCTGGTTCAGCCAATTCACACGACTGCATTTGCCAGGGAAGTATGAGCCGCTGTTGCCATTTCTTCTCCTGTGAGAACCAAACAGCATAAATTGTGGGTGGCAATGACTAAAGATGAATATTGACTTGGCATATTATGGAGTAGCTAGTGCAGTTTCAAGCCTACCAGAGCAGCTCTCTCTCTCTCTCTCTCTCTCTCTCTCTCTCTCTCTCTCTCTCTCTCTCTCTCTCTCTCTCTCTCTCTCTCTCTCACACACACACACACACACACACACACACACACACACACACACACACACACACACACACACCTTGACCTTGACCTTTGACGCCCATCGCCGGAGGCGATGATAGCAATGCTACGGCAGAAGCCATAGCAACTTGTGCTGGGATTACACCATTCAACAGCTTGCAAGGCTGAAGAATTGACCGTCACTATTCAGCCTGGTCTACACCATACAGCTATTTGGAGTGACATTTTCTGGCCAGTGAATCCCTTTTTTGGTCTTTTTCATTTTTTTTCTTTCACACACACACACACACACACACACACACACACACACACACACACACACACACACACACACACTCTCTCTCTCTCTCTCATTATTTCTCTCTCCCTGTCATACACATGTGCCAGGACACTACTGGGGAAGTTGGCTCAATTCTTGCTGAGCAAACACATGCTGAGATTCACTGACCATGCTCATTGTACATGTACATGTACTTACGTCAGCGGCCTTGGCCCAGGCTGTAGCTTGCTCACTTTCTCGCACACTTCGCAACTCAGCAACTGACTCCACGAGAAAAGTAGCCCGCCATATCAAATCATAGATCATCACTGTGCCAACATGGGAAACTGCAGTCGCTAGTACTTGATCGTAGATGTAATCAGCATCTGTCATTGCCAGATATTTGGTCTTGGACACTTCGAGTTCAAAGATGGGAACACAGCCAGGGTACTCCTCCGGTATGCTGTTAAATACCCAAGAAACATGCATAACCGTGAGTAACAAAATTGGCTAACCGCAGCCTCATGCCCATTCTCAACTCTGGCTGCCAGGTTTCCCTACCCGGGATGATTCTAATGGGGCAATAGTTCTGTGACACATAGAAAGTGTGCAGCTACATGTCCTAAATGCTGTAGTTCGAAGTAATACACGACACTAGAGATTGACATGCTTGCAAAGTACATGTATGCGGTCCTGGAGAGGAGTTGAAAAGGTGAAGTGAAACTACACATGCTGAATACCTGCATCTTCAAGGTTAGTAAGAACGGACACTTTCCCCTTTAGCCCAGTCCCAAACATAACAGACAGTGTAAATATCGGCCATAAGAGGCTATACTGCAATAAGAGATTGCATGTCTTTATAGCCGGGCCAGATCTCAGGCCCTACTAAACCCGGCATTGTACAGCATATGCTTGAATCAAGCCCATGGGCCAACTGCCTGTCTAAAAGGCTGGTTTAGTGCACCCCCGGCCCGGGCCAGGGTTGGCCACTTGAGACGAACTTGACTGCACTGTAACCATGATTACCGCCAGTGTGCTCCATCTCTCACAAGCCGTGCCCGACCATTGTTTCTCTGCTGGGAAACCGGGACTATCGTATGGGCCTGCAACGCTGAACCGCACTACAAGTCCCGATACGTTACGAGCAGCTGTACCTATACCATGCTAGTGTGAAGTGGGTAGCCCAGGATTCTTCTCTGACCAGAGATCTCTTATCTGTCTCACCCCACAGCCATTAGGAGCACAGGAGCCAATAAGGGGGCAACGCGACGCGATGCTCTGGTGGTACAGTCTGTAGTTGACTATATACATGTACTGGCACTGTTATGATGACGTCTGGGCTGTCCATCAAAATTATGAGCTACCGTATATTCTCTGTTGTGTACCATACACTCAAAAGTTCCAAGAACTGAGACCGACCAGTATTGATTTACATGGCACGAACGATTACAGAGGATGCAAGATAGAAAAAGGAAACATAAGAAATTACATGACTGTGTTGAAGCAAGAGAGAAGAAGAACTACCTAGAAACCAGGTAAGACAAACCGTCAAAAGCACTAGCGCCAAAAAGACAACAACTGTCAAAGCACTAGCGCCAAAATGTAGCCAGATCGATACTCGATCGCGCCCGAGTACAGTTCGTACAGTCCGAGTAGCCAAATTAGTACCTCACGACGTCACTAAACTAAACACAAAAAAATACGCCGTGCGTGCACTCAAGAAATTCAAACTACGAGTGCGAAGCGAAATAAAGGAACGTAACTACGTCGTCAAATAGTGCAGCAGAGCAGTCTACTGACGAATCCAACATGGATATTACGACATCTGGGCACTTGCCTAACACAACGATCAAGGATACTGCACAGCAAGTTACGTAGACACAGGTAAGACAGGTCAAATACAAATCAATAAATTCAATGCTCAAGAAAGAATTCAAACAAATCAAGCATAGCATAGCTTAGCATAGAAGCACCTAGCCAGGGAATCAAGTAGGAGTTACAGTCATGACGAGATCTGACACACATTCACTGAAGACCTTTCCCACGACAACGCCATTCACAACATTCTCCCCACCAAAGGGCTTCAGTCAACTGAATCACAAATTAAGCCGAGTATCCAGGGCCACCTTGTGAGACTGTCGGTCCAACTCACAATCTTCTGATTCGGCACTCTCGATTCGTCGACAACAACTGACAACAACTTCGCGGCAAGACACACAGACGGATACTCACGAAAACCGAACAGGATACCGATGAGATCTGGTAACAGTGACGGACCAGGATCGACCATGTTGCTCAGCGACGCTGCTCCGGTACACACAGCCGGCAAGTTGAAGACGGCTCGTGTCTTCGTTACCGTAGCGTCGTGGCGGAATACTCTGCGACGTGGCATGTAGTAACCAGCACTCTCTGGGTGTGGCTCTTTCTCGATGGCGTCCAACGCCAAATAGTCGTTGATCAGGACTTCATCATATGCTGTCCGCTGACCTTTGCGCTCCAACTGCTTCAGTAGCGCTTGCGCCGCTGCCATCGCTTGGTTGAGGTTGTCTGGGGGGCGCTTTTCCGATTGCCACAGCAATCCTACCTGGTAGAATGTACCGCAACGATCAATCGGGAAGTCGGGTAACATCTTGGTAACTTCGGGAAATTCTTCCATTTTCCACCGGAAGTCTAGCTCGACACAGCTGACACTGGCGGCCGGTGGCTGAGCAGCGCACATAGCTGGACCCGACAACTCGACCGCGACAGTCAGACACTCTGCCGACGCGAATTGTTGCTCTTCACCCCTGATCTGTTTCGTCGTCTTCGTCTTCCGACCATGGGCGGTTTGATAGGCCATACCATCTTCGGCGAACGCTTTCATGTCCTTGGTATAACACTTTTTCTCAATCAGGAACGCCTTCATGTCCGCACCGACAGACTCCAGCAGCACTTGCCGTACTATGGATGCAAACAGTCCCGTCTCGTCCACCTGGCTGACCCCACTGCGGGTCGATGTACTGCGGGTCGATGACTCGGGCATTGCGAGTTTCGCCCACTTCTCTGTTTCTCGTGTTGTCCGTACCACAAACTGGTAAAAACTCTCATCGCTCTTTTGCACCATGGACACCAATGCCTGCCATGCCTTGTCTGCTGTCTTTCCATGGGCCGTTAGCAGCTCACGCTTGGCGTCCGCAAACGTGCTGCATCCATAGCATGCGTTCTCCAGCTTGCTGCCAGCAACAGCAACGCGCAACCTGATCAGATACTGATCCTCACTGAACTCGTTTTGTGCCGCCACGTCCTCGAATAACTCGAGGTAGGACTCTACCGTTTGTTTGCCATCAAACTTCGGCATCTTGATGGCTGGCTTCCTCGTGATGGCACTGCTATCCAGGATACTGCTGTCGTCTCTAGAGGGTCTGGACTGTGTGATTTGCTCTAACTCTGTGACCCTCTGCCGCAGCTCCGCATTGTCTCTACTCCCTTTTCTTTCCTTTGCTCGAGCGTCGCGCTCTCTCTGCGTCCGCTCTCTCTCCTCATGTTTCCGAATCCGCTCCTCTACATATTCACGCAGGCTTTCTCCAGTGTAGCCATACGCTTGACCGTTCGCGATCAGATTCGCTTCGATCTGCTCCATGGGTCTCGGATCCTGGCGTGGTCGCCAAAGTTCTCTATTATAAGCGCCGTGCTTATATTTTTTCAACACCCCTCTACCCCGTGCTTATATTGGAGACCGCGCTAATATTGGAGACCGTGCTTATATTTTTTCAACCAATACATCCATACAGGGCAAGAAGAAATACATGCTAGATATCATGCATGCCGCATTGATTTCCACCAAGACCGTGCTAATAATAGAGACCGTGCTTATAATGTTTCGAAAGGTGCTCACAGTGTGCTAGTATTAGAGACTGTGCTAGTAATGGAGACCTGTGCTTATAATAGAGAATATACGGTATATAGTTCATTGGAGCGTAGGCACAGTTGTTGTTTTTCCAGAGTTCTGCTTGTGATTGTATTCTTCTGAATGGTCATCGAAGTAAATCTGAGTATGGTTCAAGACAGTTAGTTGCCTTTCGAGAGTATCTCTGGGTTTATGAGCCACAGGGTGCATTGTGTCCATGGGCAAGTCATCATCATCATTGCAACAATGTGTCATTTATGTCACTATTATGCATGTGCCACTACGTATATAGTAGTTATGGTGACTTACAAGAAAAGAATTGCTCCATACTCAATGTTTTCTCCATCCCTGTTCAGATACAGCTGAGCACGCAAGGAACGCCGGTCGTCGCTGCAAAACGTAAGACCGTCTCCAAGGATTGCTTGCAGAACTTCAGCTTCTTCCTGCTGAAGCCGGGCGCATTCCTCCGAGTCCAAATCGTCCACAAAGGAGACATCCTCGGGCCCCTGCAGTGCATACACGCACGTGCATGTGTATTGAAGAAGCATGGACACAGAATTCACATGGTTTGGAGTGAAGCACTCTTACGCGGGGGGGGGGGGGGGGCAGCGTGTACTGAGGACAGGATGTATGCATGAGAACCAGTATAACCCAACTCGGCATGGAGCGTCAGAAGGTACACTCGGGGTACTAGGGTGGTACTGTCCGGCATCCTTCGGAAATACCCCCAATGGCGCTCTCCCCTGAAAAGCCAAAGCATTACACCGTATACATTAGCTGGGGCAAAACGAGGTGGCACAACGTTACGGTGGATGCCGCAGTGACCGTAGCATGTCCGGCATCCCTGCCAAATACATGTGTGATGCTGTGCAATGAAACATGGAATCTGGCTGTCTCGGGTGAGGAGTTGCAGTCACGGTTTGCTGCAACTTCCGCACACGTATGCATAGCAGCTGCAGGTCACCCGATCCCATTGATTTACCCATGACTCTTCGGTGAAGACTTACTCGTGCAGTGGAGATAGGATATAACAACACTCCTTCGGGAGAAAACAATAATTATAATGTCACTATATTTGATCTGTCACTAAACCCGATCTTCACATGTAGTATATCAAAATGACAGAAATGTATTGCAGATGTGCATGTGCATAATATTATGCATCTGGATTGCAAATGTGCATGACTGCTCATGGGTCTGGCATGCATAGTTCACGCCAAAAGCCATGCGCGGCAACTGCACTGCGGCATACATATCGTACTTCTGCTCTGCAGTGTAGCGGGTGTGCAGCACGTGTGGAGCGAACCACAGGTCTGCACACGCAACACAGCCATATTCCATGCATACCAGTCCGCCTGATGCAAGCGGAAGTGTATGGGAACGGAAAGTCGTTATACTCGATGCATTTTCTGGTCTTCGGGCACCAAAAAAGTGACAGTAAATTCGATCTGTCGATATTTTCGCGGTTGTTACCCGCTCTAAAATGTACGGAAAGGACTTGCTAAACGACTAGGGCAACAGAATTTTGTTGCTAAACCGTCAATTTGTCGTAACATGCAAGGTCGACTCGTTACTCATTATATCCAATCTCCGGCCCCTCTACTGACCACCGGCAGCACATCACGGCACTATTATATAATCAGCACCATCACTGATGCTGACCAGTGTGGCACTCTCTCATGTACAGACTGTCAGTGCTGCTCAATGAAATCCGGTCGCGTCACTCAAGTAATAGTTTGCGTCTTGCACCATTTCTCAGCCCAGTGCTTGCAGGTCTAGGGCTGCGCAAAGCGCGGCGCATACCGTTGCGTGACTCGATCGGATTTCATTGAGCGGTACTGCACATGTACTGCCATTCTGTACTACGGCCGGGCAGTGTTCGGCCATGACCATGTACCAGTGCATGCAGCACTGCAGCAGTGACGTAGCCTGGCCTGAGACTTACCTCAGTATCCGCACTGTGAAGCAATTCATCCAGGTCATCCTGGAATGTAGCAGATTCTTGATGAAAGAACCCGGGTGGTGCTGCATGTGCACTTGCACTTGCACCTACAGCCGCAGCACAGACAGAATCATTATCGCCATCGTCACATGTCTCCTCCTGCCCACCGCCAAATAATAGGTCGACTGCTTCAACGAGCTGCTGGGCGTTTTCCAGTTCCACTTCGGATGGCTGTCGACTATACACGTGGTGCGCTGGGTGGACTTCAGTAGCACCTGATGCATTGGCTGACGACTCCGCAACCGGTACAGCTATTTCCTCCTCGGTATACGCGGTAGGGGTGCCGATATGGTCAGGTATTTCCGAGACACACTCCCCAACATTTGTATCTGTCAATGAAGAATTGATATCGAGAGTTGCAAATGATTTCGCAGCTTCTTCACTCACTGCTTCAGGACCATTTTTGCCCGCTGCACTGGTATCAGCCATTTCAGATTGGTCTATATGATCTACGACTACGTGTCGTCTACTGCCTTGGCTGCTGACCCGATGATGGAACAGCTACCCCAAATCGCGAAGGAGGAAGGAGCTATGCGAGCCCACAAGGGCATACTAGTAGTAGTGAGTAGTCGAAATAAAACTGAATAAGAAGAGAGTGTAGCATTTGCACCAGCAGGAACTACAATGTTTGTGTTCATCACGTGCCTAAAGCTGATGCCCGACTGTGTGCAGACGAAGTGATGCACGGCGGACGGTCGTGCGGGTACATGATGTCATAGTCAACTAGATACGATATCGATGTCGTCATACCGGTGATCATGATTTTCGTGATTGCATTGATTGATTTGTGTGTGTAAACTATGCTGTGGTAATAGTACAGTACAGTGGTATGCTGCATATACATGCAGGCAGTATTTTCCAAATCCAAAGAAGTAAATTCAACAAGCTGAGCTGAGAGAAAGGCAAACGTTGAACTACTTCTGGTTGTTGTGAAATTATCGACCATCTACTGGCATTGTACTTGTTTACTCTTCCGAGTACGATTCGTTACTGCAAAAGCTGCCTTGGGTCAGCTCTTTGGAGCCCAACAATGGTGGATTGAACGCTGATTGTATTCACTCTTCACGAAGTTGTAATAACTGACGTGTGTTCGCTCCCAAGATGTTGTTTGGCCAATGGGGGAGTTTGCCATCTTATGTGATAAACTCTGTCTTGGGAGATTACCTGGAAAATATCAGTGCCGACCAGTGGTCCATGGGAATTGTGAAAGGTCAGTTCTATTGCCCTGTTTCCCTGTTCTCAGTCTACATATTTCATTGAAATCTCTTTGCTGGTTTCATTGCGCTTGCCTGTAGTGAGTAGAGAAGTTCGATCGGCATGGTCATAAGGGGCTGCAATGGATCAATGACGGCATTTTGTTTGTCCCACCACCAGTGAGATTAGTGACTGTAGCTGCTACTAGCAACAGTATTGTAGCAACATCGATTTTAGAGGTGTGCACATTTATACTCACCCTGTACCATTGCTGCATCCGTATTGTTCTACTGTCACCCTCGTATCGTTATTGCACTATTGGATACATGGGAACGGGACACTTTTGAATCCCAACAAATTCAGAGCTTCCAGATTGAGTCTGTCTGTGGTAGGGAGATCTTTCTCCAGGTTGGACTGCCAGTAGGGAGATCGCCTGCCCTCAACGTGTAGGGGTAAAATGGGCATGCTATCCTATGCGATCACATCTGCCCTCATGTAGGGGTAAAAATGGGCATATTATGTTGTTAGCACGTTTGATCATGCATACGAACAGAATGTCAGTCACGCCAACGAGAGCACCACTGTACATGCATGATAACCACACTTGACACACAACCCGTGCCAAGTAGGACGGTTTTCAATTCTAGTCGGGAGATAGGGAGATGTTTTATTGTTTACAAAAAAAACATCAAAAAAACCAGGAGATCTCCCGCCTGATGGGGAGATTTGGCACCTCTGCTAATTTCTACAGTGCCAGCGCTAGGTTGTGTTGAGTGGTGAACCAGCGCTGGTTTACATTCAGTAGCACAATATTGCCAACCATACGAACTTAGAAGTTGCGATTTCGGCGATATTAGTGATGGAAGTTGGTTGTTCCAATGAGGAACACACGCTTCTTGCCAAACCTGACACTTAACTGACTCGCGACTGCCATCCGGAGCACACGAGGAGCACGTCGCACCTTCCGCTCGGTAAACCTGTAATAAAGCACCACTCCCTGCTCAATACCCAGTGTTTCAGGGAATTCACCCCTTATCAGTTGAGCTTGAGTAGGCTGAGGAAGATTGTGCCTGAAAAAAGCACCACTTATAGTGCTCTTCAGGCCAAACCATCACCAGGGATACAAACTTACAGAGACGCTTCGTTTCCAGCGCGACAAATACCTTGTGAGGCCCCAGGTAGCAGCATGAGTCAGAGTCGCTCATGGAGTTGTGCTAAACAGACGTTGAGAGCCAGTAGCTATTCACAACGCTGTCGCCTCCAACAACTAGTCGCACGCCTGCGTGAGGGACAACAATACGAACTTAGACGAACTTCTAAGTTCGTATTGTTGTCCCTCACACGGACGTGCGACTAGTTGTTGGAGGGTACTGATTTTCTGGCACAAGCTAACTTTCGGACCTGACTTGTGTGTAGTGGAGATGTCATTTTCATGTCGATGTACATGCTACGCGCTTCATGTGTGAACCGCATTGGTACTTATTTCGGGCAGTATGTTCATCGGGCTGAACTTGACTTCAACAGAGTCAAGAGGATGAAGGGGGTATTTATGTAGGGCAGGTGCTTATTTACAGACCTTTACGGTACTTTCAAAGAGCTGAAGTTGGTGCTGGAGTTGCTCATGTCTCTTTCTCTGAACCCACCCTTTGGCATTGTGTTTTGTTCATGTGTATCTGCTCCAGGGTTTATTGAATTGCATAATATCCCGTTTCGAAAAGATGCACTTCGCCAGCTCCAGCTACCAGTCGAGATCAAAGATGGTATGTTGCCCGCTTTAAAAGATTGTTTGTGCTCTCGCCGTGTGCTAAGTAAAAGGCAGTGTCCGCTCTGAGAGACTAGGCCAGCCAGGCACATGTCTACCTGGCGTGACCCATTCAGCCAGGTCGCAACCAGGTGCACGATACCTGGTGTGGCCCGTTTAGCCACATCACAACTGGGTGCACGTTTGTTCTTGGTGTTGCCCGTTCAATCAGGTCGCAACCGGGTGCACATATGTATGCTAGTACCGGGCGTGGCCCATTGAGCCACGTCGCAACCAGGTACATGTGTGCCTAGTGTGCAAAAGCTAGCACTACGACAGAGTCAGCATGCATGGACGGGGAAATAAACCGTTGAAGCAAGCAGAGGTCGCTGACCTGCGCTGCAACTTGCAGTGTGTGTCACTGTACTGGATTCTCCTGCTGATTCTCCTACATCAGTACATGAATGCACGGTACAAAACAGCTCTCTGCTTGTACAGTCCTAACCGTGTCACAAGTGACAAGTGACAGGGCATTTTCTCTCAAGTGGGTCCAAGTACCCCCCCCCCCCCCCCCCCCACTGGGTCGCTGACCGGGCTGACCCAGCCCATGAGTAGACACTGTACTGAGCAGTACAATGGCTAATGCTATAATTTATTTGACCAATGAAATTGTGAGTGATACCTTAGCCCCTTGGTTTGTGGATGCTGCCTGCCCAGGCCGGCAGGGATTCTGTGTGTCTATTTGTGTGCTTCTCAGCATTGTGCAGCATAGTGATGATGTGGTGTCTATATGTCTGGTGTGTGTTTGCCTTTTCCAAACAGGGTATGTTGGTTGCCTGCGTTTGCGATTACCGTACCAATCCAACGGCGGTGTGTTTTCCGTGGAAGGAGACGACGTCTACGTGCTGATTGGACCTTCCACTAGAACGCAGGTGGGACGTGTGTGTAGTATTGTGGAATGCATCCATGTGCACTACCTGTACTGTAGAGATGTGCACAGACTCTGTATCGCTGTACATGCATTGCCTCTATCTGTGCCATTGTCATCATTGAAAAGAGAACGCATGAAAAGCACGTGCACACTTGCAAGATAATCACTCATCAGCGCCAGGGCCGAGATGTGAATCGGCTGTGAGAGTAATATCAACCGGTGCTTCTCTGTGGTGTGCCGGCTCCTGTGTGTTATGCACTGCTATAGGGTACTGGTGCTGAACAGAATGCAGCTACGGCCGGGAAGTTCCAGGCATTGGATGCTTGGGAAGCACAGCGACTGGTAAGCGTGCACACGGCGGCGAGTTAACACATTGGCGATCCCCTTGTGTATATCATAGCTGGATGAACATTGCAGGACGTGTACCTGGATGGGAGTGTTTTAACTTTTTAGACAACGTATTCGAAGTGTAGATCGGCCTAGCAGCGGAAAGGCTTAGAAGACGCATGGGGATGTTGTTGTGGATTTGACTCCTATGCAGTGTAGCCCATACAACATCTCCTGAAGGATGTTTTTTGAACTTATTTCATTTATTTGGCCTGTGCATCGGTGATATGCTGGTGAGGATATCAGATCCCTGTAATGCCATACGAATCCGAGCCTAATGGTGTCATCATTGCTTGGAGAACACTATTCCATTGCAACTCTTGCTGCTACTTGAGAACGGGTTTATTCACAACACTAGTCGTGTGAAACCATGAAGTGAGAACCAAAGAAAAAGGCAACTCAAATTTTGGAAATAAATAGATTGCAATTGCAACTCTTGCTAGTACTATTCTGTTCAATCGCCTTGTAGAATCTGATCCTGGTCCCGGTTGACTGTAATTCTGTATGCGTTTTATGCCTATGAATTGTGCTCATGTTTGATGGTTGCAGAATACAAAGGAAGATGCCCCAAAGTCTATGGCCTATTCGATGGTTTCAGCAATACTGGACAAAGTTCAGGTAAATGTATTTATAGGCCTGAATCTCTTCAGAATGGTGTCTTTTTGTTTGTTTTTCGTGTATCATGTATGTCGGTGTGATGCTCTCGCTTTATCCGCAGAGTTAGATTCCTGTTACTGTGTGTATGTTTGCTAAGTGGGATTGTGCTTCTGTAGCTACTGAGCATAGGTATAACTTACGTATGCGATAGCAACATACTGCTGTGCTCTATTTATAATATTGTCTTGTCTATTGGTGTCTGGTGTCTGGTCTATGTTCACAGTTTCTTGCCACCAACGTTCATATTCGGTATGAGGACAGTATCACAATTCCCGGCCAGACGTTTGCTGTCGGCATCACCATTGACAAACTCTCTGCACAAAATGCTGGCGATGAGTGGGTGAGTGTGCATCGAATGAGATATTCACTTGTGCTATGTTGGTGTTTTAAGTTTACCTGATGTAGTGGTGTGCTGTCTACCCAGTTGCTTCATGGACAAGCCAGCCAGCTCTTTCTCGCTTGCTCTCTCTCTCTCTCTCTCTCTCTCTCTCTCTCTCTCTCTCTCTCTCTCTCTCTCTCTCTCTCTCTCTCTCTCTCTCTCTCTCTCTCTCTCTCTCTCTCTCTCTCTCTCTCAACTTATCGTTCTCTCAGACAGACTCTTCATTCTTTGAGTCCGAAGATAACTTATGCCGATGTTTAAGAAGTGTGTTGGCATATTAAATTATTAATAGTTTAGCAGCATGTTGAAGTTGCCATGTACATGTACTTGCCCTCGGAGAAGTAGCCAGTACTGACCCAGCCGACAAGGTATCCTTTGTTTTGGACTGTCATCGGCTGGTTGTGAAGCCAGGCATCTAATCAAGATTCTGGCTCAGTGCAACACTACATTATACATTGCATTCACAATGGAGTGAACCAGGATATCCTGGTTTATTGGTCTACATGCATTTTTGGCCTGACAAAAGGTTGCAAAGAACCAAAAATGGTGGTGAATCACCCAGATATGGATAAAGTATGTACACATGGTAGTACTTTCATGACTTTTGACATCAGTCATCTGGATAACGTCTTTTGGTTTGGGCAGAGATCCCGTCTAGCTCTCCATGTCATGATCAGAGGGAGATTTCTTCTTCATCCTCATACCCCTATGGCTTTGTTCTTTGCTCACCAGAAACCCGAGGGCGTCACGACCGATGCCGATTTAGCTTGCAAGGTACTCGAGCTTGAGAAGTTTAGGGTGCATTGGGACGTTCACGCCACCATCCCGGAAGACGAGTCAACGGATGACTTCATGGTAAGTTCATGGCTGTGCAAGCAAGCAATTGGAAGTTGTTTTTTGCTGTGCATGTGCACGCTCATAGAATCCAGACATCGTTGAGGGCTGTTTCTGGAATTCAGTGGATATGTTCTTGTCACCGTTGTATTTTCTTTTCTTTTTAAGCACTTTTTACTGTGACTAACTCATTAGGTGGAGAGGATTGAAGGGGAAATTGACTGTAACTATTTGCATTGCTATCAACTTCTCTTGGTTCTGTGTGCACCTGGGGAAATTTATGAGTTTGTTCTAATTATTGATGTCAAGAAACATAGTACGGTGTGTATGGTGTTCCGCGAACTAATGAGGACATTGCTTCTTGGGTTTTTGCTTGTTTCCAGTTAGTTGATACATGTAATGTTTGCTTAGCACTTGAGCATGCGTGTGTGTGTGCGTGCGTGCGTGTGTGCATGTGTGTGTGCATGTGTGTGTGTGCATGTGTGTGCATGTGTGTGTGTGTGTGTGTGTGTGTGTGTGTGTGTATGTGCGTGTGTACGTGCGTGTGTACGTGCGTGCACGTGCATACATTTGACTGTGTGCGTGTTCGCTGGTATTCTCTTTTGTGTTGCATGTATGACAGAAACGCATGAAGACTGCTAGCCAAGAGGTGAGCATTGCTGGTGATCGCGCCTAACCTTTTATTTTCTGCACCTGTAGTCTACGAAATTGAATAGGCTGAGATGCATAGACCTTCATGGGTGTGAGCTTTATGCCCATTTTGCGCGGCCGTATGAGCCAGTTTGTGCATGTGTATATGTATGCACATGCACATTTGCAAAATTGATGGTGGAATGGTGTAAATAAAATTAATGTCATTTTTTTCCCCTGTGGGATGTCTTTATTCGAAATCCTAGTTTCCCGTCATGCCTGCCAGCCGGTGACATGGTGTGCTGCTGTTTGTACTGTGGTGTTGTTCTCGACTCCTATGTCTTCACAGTGCCACTCGTACATTGTCAAGCCATTCAGCGGCTCTGTACGTTTCACTCGGAACAAGTCGACCGCACCACTGCGTTCGCTGGACACACCGCGTGTTCAGTTAGATGCCGAGCTGGAGCACATTGACATGCAGATGAATCGTGCACAGTTCCGCCAATGTACGGTGCTAGCCGAGACAACCCAGCAGCATATCATTGCACAGCAGCGACGGAAACATCGACCTGTCTGTCCTGTCAGTGAAAAGTAAGCTTATGCAGGGTTGTGCGGCGCAATGTTTTGAGACCTACGCTGATAGCAGGGAGCATGTACGATTATAGATCTACTGTGCTAACAAATGTGACGATGCATGCGTTGACCACTTTGCATGCAATGAACTGTGCCACCGACGCCTACGATCAACTGGGTACTGACTTTTCCGAGTGAGAGTTCTGCTGAGAGAAGTTGTGCGGTGCATGCAGTGTCCATGCTTATGTGCACACACGACATGCATAATTTATTATGAGTGTCCTGGAAACCAAGTGTCAAGTTGGTCAACTTTCACTTGCCACTACTGTCTTTAGAATCCTAATAGTTGATGACTGCAGACAGTGGAATGGGAAAATTAGTAAGCCACTGCACCTTGACACGCCGTGTCCTCCTGCAGTCGTCAATCACAGTGCTTTTGAAATAGGTGCACTTCTGACAGGTACTTGTTTGATCAGTGTTGGCTTGTTTCTATTCGCAACGTATATTGTATGCTGCCTCTGTCGCTGCTGCTGCTGCTGCTGTTTGCAATGTACAGCTGCAGGGCATGGTGGAGATATGCTATCTTTGGCGGTGTACTTGGCCTTCACGAGCATCTGCGTCACTCCAGCCGTACGTTTGTCCTGAACTGCCTGCACGAGAACGTCATCTATGCCCGTCTCTACAGGAAATGGGCCCAGGATACTGACTCCATTGCGTGCGACGAAATGGTATGCAGTGTATTGTGTTGGATTTTGAATACATGTACTTCTGCTAGGGCGACACAGTGTACTACGGTCATATGGTTGTGATCACTCACCATGCTCACTGCACATTGCCCCGAATCGCACTTTGCTTACCTGTTGGCTTGATTTGCACCAGGGAGTAGTAAAATACCAGTATTTTGCCACTTGCACTTGACAATAGAAGCAGCTTGCCATATGTGCAGTTACATTGAGCCACGGTGTTTGTTTGTTTTTGTGAATCCTTCCCAGAAGCATAATACCAAAAGATACTTCTGACACTTCTGACACGTCTGCCTCATGAGCTCTCTTTTGAAGCTTTTGAGATACATCGCTTGTTCAATGTGTTCACTGCTTCTTGCTCTTAGTCATACCATCTGTGCTCTGTTTCGGTTATCGATAATCGTTGTGTTGTTGTGTCCAGGAGGATATGGCTGCGATCGAGCGAGAGCGCCCGGTGGAAGAGCTGTTGCTGTTGAGATCCGCGGTGCGACGTAGTCTGAAACGAGACAAGGTACTTTAGCTCAGCACCAGTTCTCGGACCACTTCTTTCACCGGCTGCATGCAGCACTGAGTGTAAACTGATACTTCAGTATTGGATTTTATCCCATGGTCTACAATAATGATGCAGGTGCCCGGTTAGCTCAGTTGGTAGAGCATCAGACTTTTAATCTGAGGGTCAAGGGTTCAAGTCCCTTATCGGGCGTCTTCAATTTTTTCTTCTTTTATCAGGTCGATCTGGAATTGTTTTTTTCCCCAGCACACGTATATGTTCACCATGCCCCGGTCTATCTGTATCCTTCTCATGCAGTTCTGTTTCGTCTTTTGGTGTAAATTTCCTGTGCCGTTTGCAAACAGGTCGAGACAAGTGAGGAGATTGCTCCAGCACCTCCGAGAAAGGTTCAGGGCTGGCTTTCCGGATGGAGCGGCTGGTCGTCTGCTGTGGACGCAGCGGGTGAAGAATCGAATGCCATTGAGGGTCTGGCAGGTACGTGCTGATCTGACTGCATTCATGCATAAACTGTACACCACACGTGGACAGTGGAACCAACATGGCTGTCGTCATGTGACCTATTGATGACATGCATGGATTGTTGACTGGAGGAACCAACTAGGCTGCCCCCGTATGGTCATTTGGGAGATGTGCTACAGCTCTATAGGCTGAGCGTAACAGGTACTTCGTGGGTGGGGGAAAACGGCTGGACAGTGTTTTTTTCTGGATTTCTGCCTGTCTGTCTGTCTGTCTGTCTGTCTGTCTGTCTGTCTGTCTGTCTGTCTGTCTGTCTGTCTGTCTGCCTGTCTGCCTGCCTGCCTGCCTGTCTGCCTGCCTGCCCGCCCGCCTGCCTGCCTGCCTGCCTGCCTGCCTGCCTGAGTATCTGTGTCTTGTGTCTGTGTAATGTTGTCCTTCACAGAGGAAGAGGACGACTTGTTGAAGGCTATCCAGTCGTTGAAAAGCGACGAGTCGATGCTGACACGAGATAACCTGTTCCTGCGTGTCCACTGTCGCATGCAAGGCGCTTCAGTCGAGCTTTTCTCTTCTGTACCAAGCAGACGGAGGACATCGAACAGCACTGGTGATGCTGGAGATGCTGATGGCGATCACAAGTCTATGTCGGTACAGTTCCAGTTGTCTGGTGTGAACCTCGACCTGGACTTTAGTCCTCGTAACCAGGCCAGCAAGATGCACTTGTCACTTGAAACTCTGCATCTCTATGACCATCTGCACAAGGACTCTCTCTTCCCCGTCTTGATTGCACCACAGACCAAGGTATGTGCACGTGTGACAAGGCAGAGTTCGGGACCGCACCGGATGGGATTTTACCTGGGGGGGGGGGGGGGGGGGGGGAGGCTGTGCCCAAGAATGACGCAATAAAAAAATCCGCCGTGGGTGAACCCATCGCAGCTCAAGATAGGAGTTGCACACTCTTGGATATGTACTCTTGGTGCTATGTATACAACGTGAGTAAGCGGTCTTGCTTATAGGAGCAAAGTACACAGCGTGAGTCGGCAGTTTCATTTGAGCTAGTGCATCGCTGTGCCACGACTTTACCAAGGCATCTCAACTGATTATGTGATTGCATAACCTATATAGAACCCATTCAACTGGCATGTCACCCAATTATCTGAAACCAAGAAATTTTATGGAAATGGAAAAATATGAACGTGCCCATCAGTAGTTACAGGGCAACAGATCAGATAGGGTTGAAACGTTTTCTTAACGTTTTCTTGTGGCATTCATCAGGAAGCAATCCCCACGGTAGGATACAACTGAAACAGAATCAAAATATCCAATTAGATAAAGAAACAGTAAGTGCAGTACATAACGGAAATGAAGTCATAATAATAATAATAATGACAGTTCGCATATCACTCATTGCATGAGGTCAACACATCTGTTGACAATTCTGAGCCAAGCAGCTCTATCAGAAGCAGATTGCACAGCATCCAGAAGCGATACACATTACACTTAGCGCTAAGTGCAATGGTGAAGACAGTAGAAAGTGACGGAGAGGAAATTAGAACAAGGGGATAGAAAGGAAGCAAAGAGATGACATGTGATGAATGTTCAGAACATGAGTTCTGCAGGCTATTGAATGGAGCCTCTAAAACGTGAAGTCGATGAACACTACTTGCATAACACGAAATACTGCAGGAGTAATCACGGCACTATGGAAAGACATTTTAAGGTGGCTCTACCCCGAAGAGGGAACAAAAAAAAGGTAAATCGATCTGAACTGTGTGTTTTCGGATGGCCAGACACCTTTTTGTAAAGAACTGGTCTGGGCTTTTTCAAGGATAGGTCTATTAATTGGTTCCCGAGCTATGGGGGTGTTTTTGTGCCTATGTTTTTGGCAAAAATTCAATAATTTCTCACTGAAGGTGTCAAATTCCAGCTGGTAAGACTTCGAAAATCCTGAAAGTGGGTATGGAGGGGCCGACAATAGTGTCTCCTTTGGGAAATGTCCACTACACATGGCCAGATCACTGTGAGGGGCCAAGGTAGCCCACAATGTTATTTGGCAAAACGCGTATTTCAGCAGACCGGGCTTTAGACTTGCTCGAATAGCGGAGAATCGAGACAATAACATGATCCATTTCATGGTCAATATCTGCTCTTCAAGGCCCTAGGAAGGCTCTACAAACAAGAATTTTGATGTTTACCATCTCGTTTCTCCATGAGAAACAACATTTGTGACGGATTTTGCATATTCAAATTGAAAGTCAGATTCAGCATTGTTGCCAAAATGAGTTTATGACTTCATTCAAGCTTCACTATGACTATGTAGGGCGAGAAGCATTTACTATAGGCCAATCCCAGATAATAGAGAGGTTCCGGAGTACGATTTTTCGTGCTAAAATCCGTAGAGGCGCAACGGATTTTTTATACGTCGTTTTCGAGCAGTGAAATGTTCCGGAGTACGGAACTAATGTGTTTGCCGTCATTTCCTAGGTTACGATCGCAAACACGTCACATTCCCGCGCTATGCCTTTTTTTTGAAAAATTGTACCGAAATCAAATCTTCCCGCCGAAAATTGATGTTTCTCGTACCAAATTTGTACGCGAAAAATCTTTCTGCACCCGATGACGCAAAATCTCCATACGAAACATGGTTCGTATAAAAGCCAGTCCACACGGATTTTCCGTGCCGAAAAATCGTATGGAGCACGCCTCGAAAAAAATCCGTAGAGCGCATACGGATTTTGGCACGGAAAATCGTACCCGGAACCTCTCTAATAGAACACGCCACAGTCTCCACTGAATTGTGTTATTTACATATTTGCTTGTATATTGTGAGTATGTACATATGTGTATATCAATGTACAACTCAATGGCCTATGATGCAGTCAGTGAGCATCTTGCGTTGCTTGGTTATTGCTGGATGAGACCGCTTGCAGCCACTGCTGGTACTGTGGATCGGGCAGATCATATCCATTCTCACGCCTCCGGCGGTACAACGCCAATGTTTGGGCAGATAACTGCGGCATGGCACGACTGGTAGTTGTTGGTACTGGGGGCGAGGCAGCAGCTCCTGCAGCTGCTGCTGAAGCACTGGCGTGGTCTAGAGTAGCCTGTGAAACAGGGTTGCTGGTGTTGGGTCTTTCAGACCCTAGATGATCTGCTATGCGCTTCGCAATAGCAGAACTCTTTGTCACTCGCACACACCCATCGATAAGAACACCATGGCATCAACAGTCTCTGGATTGAGCGAGCTACGAAGCGTGTTCACCAGAATGCCACACGCAGAAAACACTCGCTCTGACGGAATAGACGTGGCAGTCAAGCAGAGGATCTTCTTGGCGAGGACACTGAGACTTGGAAACCGGTCAGTAGTCAGCTTCCACCAAGCAAGAGAATGTGCTGAATTGGGGGCCTACTGCTCTGCAGAGAACATTGCCAATTCGTGTTCGGCAGGAGCAGACAAGCACACACACACACACACACACGCACACTTACCAAGCGCAAATATACATTGCACGGCTGTCAGCAACATTTTTTTTATGCCGCTTGCTCTCGAGATGATCCGGGGGGCCTACTGCTCTGCAGAGAACATTGCCAATTCGTGTTCGGCAGGAGCAGACAAGCACACACACACACACACGCACACTTACCAAGAGCAAATATACATTGCACGGCTGTCAGCAACATTTTGTTTATGCCGCTTGCTCTCGAGATGATCCGGGGGGCCTACTGCTCTGCAGAGAACATTGCCAATTCGTGTTCGGCAGGAGCAGACAAGCACACACACACACACACGCACACTTACCAAGAGCAAATATACATTGCACGGCTGTCAGCAACATTTTGTTTATGCCGCTTGCTCTCGAGATGATCCGCGAAAGGCCGAAGCCCGACCATTGTCATTGAGCAACTCTTGCAAGAAAAATACATCTTCAGACCTTTTCCATTAGCAAGGTCCTTCTGGAATTGTTGTATGCTGCCTGAGAAACCTGCAGGTGCAGCCAGGCCAGCTGTGATGTTGCATACGACAGGCAGCACGAGGAAAGACATCGTGTAGGTCTGCCGTCTAAGAATGGCCGTTGCTTCCTGCACGGGCTGCATGATTTTGACAAACAGGCCGGTCAGCTTCCATTGCCTGTCATCCAGCATGAGATGCCAGTACTTATGCTGGTTCGAGTCTTCGAATACGGCACACAATGCTACTTTTAGCTTCAGCAGATGCTGCAACATGAAGAAGGAGGCGTTCCAGCAGGTGGGAACGTCCTGAATCGGTTTGAGGGGGTTGTCGCCCAATTGCCACTGACGGTACACCAGCTTCTCCATTGCTTGATTGGAATGCTTGAAGTGACCAACTAACCGTCACCCAGCAGCAAGCAACTTCTGTACATCACGGCAATTGTCACCTTGGGTTTGCGACTTTTCGTTTCTTGTGCGAATGTTCGGAAAATCACTTTGTAATAGGGCTGAAACGGTAGTGGATTTTCACCTATCGATTACCCTTTAGCTTAACGATCGATTAATCGATTTTAATCGTTAGCAAACAGTGATACCCTTAATACCCTTAATACCCTTAACAATAATAACGGATACAATTACACTAGACACTCTAGATACTAGATACTCGGTACTCTAGATACTAGATACTCTAACAATTTTATCAAACATTATGATAATTACCACATCAAATGCTGCGGAGACCTATCCAGAATCGGCAATATGCTGGCCCTGGCCTGGAGATCTGCAACTATAATCAGCTTCTACTTTGCAACACTAACGGATTAGTCCCCTTTGTCGATTGATGGATCAATCGGTAGATTCGGCTCTGTTTTTCTTTCCTTTCTTTCTTGTTTTGAATTGTACGTTGAACTCATTGGATTTCTTTGTATTCTGTATCTCGTTATCGTTATCGTTAGATTTCCCTCTAGCCCTCTCGCTTAGGATGAGCTTTCTTTTTTATGGCAGCTTAAGCGAAGGCTATATACCTGCTTTATGCAGGTTGATGCCAACGCGAACAAGCAAAATAATAATAATAATAATAATAGCAAACAGTGTCAGAATTTTGTGCAAAAATACTCTGTTTCCAAAAGCTAGGCCTTCATAATACCAAAATTTTGCATTAGTGACAGGGTAGGTCAGAACCATTGCAGTTATAAAGTCAATTTAACCTCAGAATATGCACCATGCCCCTGGCAACTGCGTACTCACAGTGGAAACTGATTCAAACTTCACAAAAACGAGGGCTTTCAGTACTTTTTGGACTCAAAATCCCTAACGAGTAATCTTTAACGTAACGATTACTTGATTGATCAGGAATTATCGATCGCTTACCGAGTAATTGGTATAATCAAGAGTACATGAAAACCAGAGTGTGCAGCTTGGGGCCTTTTCTGCTATGGGTGTCTGTCACGGCGAAATTCCGTGATTACATCATATTTGGCCCAGATCTGAGGCGGGAAATGGTGTAGTGCGTACAACTGAGCTGCAGTTGTGCAGAAACAGACCTGCTTGAGACCTGCTTGAATCCTGCTTGTACGCACTACATCACTAAAATGATGTAATCACGGAATTTCGCCGTGACAGCAACCCATCCGAGCTGCACACTCTGGTTTTCATGTACTCTTGGTATAATCGTTTCATCCCTACTTTGTAATCATTGATCAAACGGTTATCCGTTTGTTTGGCCCTAGCGGTTAAATACAGTAATCGGTGTTTTTGTATTAACCATTTCAGCCCTAAATAATGCAAGGTCCTCAAAATAGTACTTTATGCATGTTGTACATCAAGGCGACAATGTGCTAAATTCCACTACACATCGCACCTGTTGTAGCCTTGTATGCGTAATGATGTCATCGAGCTGTATCCATAGCAACACAGGCTAATGGTTAACTGTACTCTTTGTGGTGTGCTGTGTTTTGTTTGTTCACCGTGATGCACTCAAGCTGGATGCTGATCATCCCGCGCCATCACAGTTCAGACGGCAGTACTCGGTTGCTAGCAGCAGCGATGACGATGCCGACAGCAAGCCACTCTTTTCAGTACATTTCGAGAAGAACCCTCCACACACGGTGTCCAACTGCAGGTTAGCTTGCTCCAGTACCACCCATTCAGTCGACGGGCATGTTATACTTTGCTTTTGGCATTTGCACATAACTCTTGTTGGCTATTGCATTGTTTTCTGCAAGTACATATTACATGGCGCTCCACATCATTTTTGATGTTTCTATTTTTTTCCCTGTCTTTGCTTGTATGGACATTGGTTACTATTGAAGTTATTAGTCTTGACTTCTAGTATTCATTAGTTGAGGGTATTGAAAAGTAGTATTATGTGCACATTTGTGCGTGTGTGTACGTAGGCTTACAGTTGAATGCCGATCCTTGGACATTGTCTACTATTAAAGTTATTTTAAATATTAGTCTTGACTTCTAGTATTCATTGGTTGAGGGTGTTGACAAGTTGTATTATGTGCACATTTGCTTTTGTGCACGTTTGCGTGTGACTGTGTGTGTGCATAGGCTTAAAGTTGAATGTCGCCCGTTGGACATTGTGTACCACCCCACCGCCGTGCACTCCATCACTCAGTTCTTCACCCCGCCCACAGCCGGCGGTGGTGCTGGCACATCAGCAGCTCAATATGCCTCGTTCCCCAGCACAGCACAGCCCAGCCAGCTCTCTGCGGCTGCCAGACGTCGCTACGAGCAGTGGAAGGACGAGACGAAAGCCGGTCTGCAAAACACGCTGGATGGATTGATCTCGATTCCTGAAACGGTAAGCACATTGAACGGCGTGGCAAGTTTGGCAGTAAAACCTGGTTTAAGCGACCACCCCACGGTGCAAGCAAAAGCGGTCGTTAAAGCCAGGTGATCTTTAGAACCAGGTCCCATGTGTAGAACTGTCGGTGCATGGAAAAGCGGTCGTTATGAGCAGGTGGTCGCTAAACACAGAGGTCGCTTACACCAGGTTTTACTGTATTTCTAGAGGTACTCACTGCCTAGAACTACTGGCTCAGCTCACTAATGCAGCTCGGCTTTCTAATCTCATACTGTAGTCTGTCGTTGTCTGTTCATCTCATCGACTGTTATTCAGTTTGCATTGCTGTGTGCTGGCTGTGGTGCAGTGTAGTCTACATTGTGATGTGTGTTGTTCTTCCTGCTCTTCTTGCCCACTGCAGAAAAGTATTCAGCGCTGGTCATTAGACTTTGATGTAGCCGCGCCGCAAGTTATAATTCCTGAGAGTCTGACTGATGAGAAAGCACCAATGGTATGGATGTGCTTCATTTGGGGCTTGATGCTTGAGTGCTGTTACGCATCAATGCTAAAATTCCTTGCTTGCCTTTCCATCCCAGAGACCCTAAGGCTGGGTGGTGGCCATCCACTCCTAGTATCTTGCAGTCCTAGTCTCTTTTACCTCTTGATGAACGTGCTGGTGTTAGCAAGGCTCTAAGCTGCTTGTTCTGCATTCAAAGTCAGAGAGCGCTCCTTTGTGTGTTGTGAATTCCCATGCACAGGTCGTGGTGGACCTAGGTCACCTGAAGTTGGAGACACTGGCCACCGAAGCCGTTGAGAAAACCGTAGTGGCAACAGTGGACTTCTCTGACTCTGGTGAGCGGGCCTTTTGTTTTGTGTTTTGCCGATGCTGTCCTGCTTGGACTGTACTACTTGTGCTGTGCAGTGTACTGCTTATGTTGTGCTGTGTAGTGTACTGGCACTACTGTTTATGCTGTACTGCTTATGCTGTAGTAGCCTGTACTGTTTGTACTGTACTGCTCGTGTTGTCCTGCAGCACCAGCTAGGATTACTAGTGGATTATCCCTGCTTGGCTCGATTATTTGTCTGTATCTATTGGTGGGTGGGCATGGATGTAGAGTATATCAGCAGAGATTCTGCACAGTGCATGTCACGCAGGTTCCGATAAGCTGCATGCTAAACCTTAGTGTAAATTCAATTGGGTAGTTTTGCTGGAGTTGCTGCAGCTGGAGCACAATGGTTTGATTGATGTAGTTGCTGCCCCAATTGTGATGCTGTGTGGCTAACATGTTATGGTATACAAATACAGCAGATGTATTTGCCAGGATGCTGCTGCGCCTTCCACGGAATGTTTTGAACAGACAAACTGCTGTACGGTGGAACTGGCATGGCGGTTTCAGACACAGGAGTTTTCTTCTGCGGCACCAGCAGGACCCGATTGTGCTTATGGGTTTTCTTGATATTTATCTTGCTATGTGTGTGTGTGTGTGTGTGTGTGTGTGCGTGCGTGCGTGCGTGCGTGCGTGCGTGTGTGTGTGTGTGTGCGTGCGTGTGTGTGTGTGTGCCCTCTTAGATGATGATGGTTGGGATGATGATGCCAGTGCCTTTGCAACTCCAATGTCAACCCCACCCGACTCGGAAACGGAAACTGATGCTGGTTTTGACAGTGACCTCTTTGTGACAGCACTACACGACTTGCCAGGCCTGGCAGCAGTGCCTGTGGATTCAAACAGCGCCCCGTACTCGCCGGCTTTCCCGCTAGCTGGCTCAGCTCCACAGCAGTCACGCTCAGTGGACCGGCTGTACGACAAGTACCTGGTGAACCTGTCTGATCTGCAGGTGATGGTCGGCCATCGGCACGACGAGTGGCAAGATGCGCACAGCCTGCAGCACAGCAGCCTGCACGTGGTCGATCGCTTCACCATCGATGTGCAGATGCATCGACGTGTCTCGCAGCATTGCGACCGTCGTCTGCCCGGAGCTGCAGTATCTGCCAAGCTTCCCACGCTGCAGCTGCATGTGGACGAGCAGAAGATCGCCGCGCTGCACTCCTGCATGAAGAACCTGAGCCAGAAGAGGCGCAGTAGTAGCGTACCGGAGTCGGTGTCCTCCATTCCGAGTGCACATCCTACACCGGCACCGTCTCCCTGTACGTCCATCATGCCTGTGCTTTGTTTCTCCCTGTACATGTATGTGTCATGGCCGTGCATTGTTTGTTTGTGTGCTCATTGCATGACAGTCCAAGGACACACTCACTACATAACTGAACGCAGCGAAAATGAGACTGGGTATCCCTTCAATGACTATGTCACCCACTGTTGCCCCCCCCCCCCCCCCAACACACACACACACACACACGCACACACTTGTGTATGATGACATGAATAATTTTACAACAGCCCTATCCTCGCTGTGTTCTCTAGAATTGAGAGTTAGGTGTATTCTTATGCATGCTATGTTCGTCCTCTGCTGTTGCTAAATGGCTTTGATGGGTGATCGTGTGCTCTTTGTGTTGCAGTTACGGATGGCTTTGACAGCGAGGACGAGTCACTACAGTCACCACAATCCCCGCCTGCATTCACTTCCCTGTCACCTAATGCAACATTCTACCCCACGTCTCCAAGCAAGCGAAAGAAGTGAGTGACATGCTTGTTGTCTTGGCTGTACAGAGTCTCGTTATGATCCGACAGATGTGTGATTTTTCCAATATGGTATCCCATGCGTAGATAAAGATTCAAAAGATGGCCTTTTTTGATGGATGTAGTGAATACTGGTGATGCAGTTGCGTTGCAAGGTGCTTTTTCTATGCAAAATCCACATACCTCCAGACACTGGGGTGAATAATGGAGTGTGGTGGTGGGTTGCTTGGTTGTATGAAAACAAATACAGTTTTCATTGGCATTGTGCTCTGGCGGTCTGAGGAGCTATACACTGTGACATGTACTTTCTGTGTCTGCCTGAGTTGGAATGCGCAGCACGGATACTTTGCATTCATATCCGTATGAATTGCGATACAGTGTGAAAACCTCCAGCATCTCCCTAGATGTTTAAAAATGCCACGTGTTTGGATCATAATGGCACCCAATAGACAAGGTTAACCCACTCGGGCACTCGCCCACTATAGTGCTTTGCCAGTAGACAAGGTTTACCCACTCACCCACTATAGTGCTTTGCCAGTAGACAGGGTTTACCCACTCGCCCACTATAGTGCTTTGCCAGTAGACAGGGTTTACCCACTCGCCCACTATAGTGCTTGCCAGTAGACAGGGTTTACCCACTCGCCCACTATAGTGCTTTGCCAGTAGACAGGGTTTACCCACTCACCCACTATAGTGCTTGCCAGCAGTGACCGGGACTGTTCAATTGCGGTGCTTGCTGGGTCTACATTGTTTCACAGGTTGCCAAAGAAGGCCAAAGGAACTGCTCCCATTGGTGTCTCGTTCGGTGACGTGTCCGTGGAAGGCATGCAAGGAATGACCAGTATGGAACCCAGCGTGTCTGCAAAGATGGAGGATGAAGTGGATCTGCGCAAGCTAGTCATACACTTCTCTGTCGGAGCAGTGTCGGTCGGATTGAATAGCAGAGGTGAGCAGTGCTTTCAGCGTGTTTTCCATGGTGATGTTATTCCTCGTACTCTGCTCGCAGGTGTGTACCCAGGTCTCACCCCATTCCAATACAGGACCGCCGGAGGCAGTTTTTGATTGGTGCGGCCATACCATAGCCTTTCATACAGTTAGTGTATGATATGGAGGGTAGTCACATGACTTTCATACAGTTTGTGTATGATATAAGTTAGTGGCTACACATAACATCCTCAGCAGTAAACATGTGTTGGTGCCCAACAAGTTGGTCCGGTGATGACCTGACCAACTGGACCGGTTCCGGCGCGCCTGCAATACTCTTGTATTTCATTTAGTCAACACGATGAAGGTTTGTCATAGCTGTAGAGTTGGTTCTCTTGTGTGTTGCTCTCTCTCTTTCTTCATTGGCTTGGCTTTGCTATGTGTTGTTGCAGGCCATAGCATCACGGAGCTGCAACTCAAAAATCTTAGCGCCGCGGTGATCATGCGGCCGTTTGAATCCTCATTGTCAGTTGTTCTTCATGAGTTGCTACTGGTGGATGCTTTGCAAAAGTTTGGCAGTGACTATGAGTTACTGGTGGCGTCTAAGACGACTTCGTGCTGCTTCAGAAACCCGCACGACTCCCCTCTCTCGACACAAGGTACTTGCCGCTTGTTGCCAATGTCTTTCTCCTCTTCTCTTTTTGTTTTCATTGTGTGTTTGTCTGATACAGTTTATCCTCTCACTTGCTGCTTGCTGACTCTCTGTTTGTTTCTTTCCCTGGCCCACCATCCAACTTCTCGTTTTATTTTTGCCTGCTCGGAATGAAACGTTCTCAAGGTGATTTTTTCACCCAGGTTGTCGTGGGGAGGGGTCTAACTTTCAGTACTCTTTTAAAAAGGTACTTGAGTATTTCATACTCGCATCCAATTGAGGGGTCAGGAACAGTCTGCACTGTGCTGATGCACATGAAGTGGGAGGTAGCATTCTGTATTTTCTTCTTGTAGTGCTGTTGTTGGCTCCTGTCACCTTCTGAAGCCGGAGTCTACAGCATGCCTCCCGTAAGGGCAGCCTTTATTACACCACAGCGTATTGCCTAGTGGTGAATAGACACACCATGTAACATTGTAGCTACTATCCTGGATGGATTTATACGTTATAACATGGCATTCCTTTTTATGTCTTTTGTTACAGAAGCTGAGAGCCAGTCCGACGAATCCCTGTTGTGGTCCAAATCCATAGTTACTCTTGAGGACCTGGTGTCAATGGAGGGTATAGCTAATTCCGGCACTGATGCCCTGATGACTCTGGAAGCTAGTCAGTTTGATGCCAACTACCCGGGACGTGAAGGCGAGGGCCCCCTCAATGTCATCACATTGAACTTCAGTGACCTGAATATCATTGGTGAGGATATATACGTTTGACATTTGTTGTCTCTGCCCGAGCTCTAGATGTGTGTTAGGTGCGTGTAAAGGGGTGGTCTTTGTAGATTTTACGCACACCGTATATACGACGTGTGCAGAATATTTTCAAGCAGCAAAGCACACACACGCGCACACACACACACACACACGTCATGCAAACACGCACGCACCTCCTGTAACATTCATAGGAATGTGAAAGTTGTGTAGTGAGGTCAGTGAAGTGTGCACACGTGTAGTGATCCTCACAAGTTCTGTGTTACTGGACTGCTGTCATTCTGCTTGGTCTGGCGAGTCCTCGGATAAGCTATTCACGTTGCCGTCCCCTACCTCTGCCCTCTCCAGCTAATCAAGAGACGATAGCTGAGTTGATCAGCTTCTCCAAGCGTGCCTTGCCCCAGGACTCTCTTCCTTCATCACCGACGGGTGTGTCTGCTGAGCCATCTGCAGCTCCGTTCATGGTGACGCAATCAGGAACGGTACGTCATCTTGTTTTACATGTACATGTGTGTGTGTGTGTGTGTGTGTGTGTGTTTACTCTTTTTATGTTTGTGCACCTTTTCTCTTCTCATTGCTTGACTGTTGAGTAAGTGGGATGGAGTTTGAGACTTACATTAACACATAGAACACCACTGTTTGGTGCTGTGGTCGTCATTGTTATTGTTCACCGTTGCAGGTGTTAGAAGCTACTTGTCAGCGACTCGATGACTGATTAGCCGAATTTGTGTGTCCAGAAAAACGGTGTAGTCGCTTTGAAATTGTTCGAGTAATGTCTGTTTGCTGTGTGCTGTGTGCTGTTGTGCTATGTGTTAATGTGTGCTGTGTGCAGCCGAGCAAAACTGACATCACCGCATCAGCCAAACAGGTCAGTATAGTGGTGGTGCGCGGTCGTGCCGACCTGAAGCAGCGGAGAGAACAGCACTTCCGCAACGTGTCTGGCCGCCAGGCAACGTCCCCGGCATCGACCCAGTCGTTACCAGCGTCGTCATTGCCAGGTAGCAGTGCGACATCGCCAACTGGTGTGTACACTGCTCCTCCGGTAGCATCCAGCGATGGGCCATCTCCACAGGTTGCACGCATTGTACTGCACGGAGCGCGCATTATGGGCTCGTTCAGTGCCGAACTGGAGGTGAACGGTGTTATTGGCGGTGTGTGCGTTACTGATCTCACACCTGAAGGACGCCTCTACCAACAGGTATGTGTGTGTATGTGTGTGTGTGTGTGTGTGTGTGTGTGCGTGCGTGCGTGCGTGCGTGCGTGTGTGTATTGGTTTTCACACGTATAGGTGCTTGACTACATATGTACAGACATTATATGTATGCATTTTGCATCTTAGGACTATTCGTTGATCGAACAGATTTTGTGTACATTCAGCAACAAGCTGTTACTGATACTTCCAGGCTTATCTTTCACTGTCATCTATCACCAGTTCGAGATGTAACTCCAGGCTGAAGGCATGTAGGCGTTAATATTAAAGTGCGGATCTGCATTGAATCGTTTGAATCACAATGTGCTTGTAGCTGCAAGGTGCTCGTGTGTGCATAGCTTCCATAACTAGCGTGGAACTATACTATTTACTTTGGCAATCGTTCTCTATCTGTTTGAGCGTTTTGCTTCTTGTCATGAACACTTATCTGCAGGCGGATGCTGTGATTCATTCATTCATGTTGTATATTCCATGTGTGCTCTCTCTCTCTCTCTCTCTCTCTCTCTCTCTCTCTCTCTCTCTCTCTCTCTCTCTCTCTCTCTCTCTCTCTCTCTCTCTCTCTCTCTCTCTCTCTCTCTCTCTCTCTCTCTCTCTCTCTCTCTCTCTCTCTCTCTCTCTCTCTCTCTCTCTCTCTCTCTCTCTCTCTCTCTCTCTCTCTCTCTCTCTCTCTCTCTCTCTCTCTCTCTCTCTCTCTCTCTCTCTCTCTCTCTCTCTCTCTCTCTCTCTCTCTCTCTCTCTCTCTCTCTCTCTCTCTCTCTCTCTCTCTCTCTCTCTGTCTCTCTCTCTGTCTCTCTCTGTCTCTGTCTCTCTCTCTCTGTCTCTCTCTCTGTCTCTCTCTCTCTCTCTCTCTCTCTCTCTCTCTCTCTCTCTCTCTCTCTCTCTCTCTCTCTCTCTCTCTCTCTCTCTCTCTCTCTCTCTCTCTCTCTCTCTCTCTCTCTCTCTCTCTCTCTCTCTCTCTCTCTCTCTCTCTCTCTCTCTCTCTGTCTGTCTGTCTCTCTCCCTCCCTCCCTCCCTCCCTCCCTCCCTCCCTCCCTCCCTCCCTCCCTCCCTCCCTCCCTCCCTCCCTCCCTCCCTCCCTCCCTCCCTCTCTCTCTCTCTCTCTCTCTCTCTCTCTCTCTCTCTCTCTCTCTCTCTCTCTCTCTCTCTCTCTCTCTCTCTCTTCTCTGTGTATGTGTATGTGTAACTGACAGGTCTTTAGTGTGGGCACATCCACCTCAATATCTCTTGGAATGAGCACTCTCCTGGATGAGTATGCCGGAGCTGAGGCAGACGCTCTGAACTTCTCTTGGCGCAAGACAGATCCTGCCGCCGCGCACCGGGCTGGCTCTGCGGATTCCAACGAGGCCGAGACAGCACTGACCGTGCGGCTGGCTTCCATGCGATACTTGCACTCGCCGCTGTTCCTCGACACACTGAAGAGGTGCGCAGCTACGTTTCAGCAGCATCTGGCCAGTATTGTGCAGCAGGCAGCTAAAGGCGTAGCACTCGGAGTGGTCGGGCACAGCACCAAGACCCTTGCGGAGCGCATAGACATGCTGTCCTCCTCGTTCATGGGTGCGTCTCAAGCCAACCTTGAGCCGGACATGGACGAGACGGATGCTGGTGTCCGTGGTGGCCACTACCTTGATGATGATCCAGAGCATCGCACTCTCATCGCAAGCAGGGAGGGTTTGAAACTGCAGATCTCAATGGAGAGTCCAGTCATCGCCATACCGCAGTCGAACAGCGATGGCCGTGTCATCGTAGCCAATCTAGGCAGCATGTCGATGCATAATTCCTTTGAGACGGTCACACTACCACAGCTGGACATGGCCAGAGGTCTGGAGAAGGCGCTGCACATACCCGAGACGGTGGAGCGGCGGCACATCCAAGTGCGCAACATTCACCTGGCCGCGTTGCAGCTGGACGTGGCCAAGATGGAAGACTGGTACAGGCAACCGCATGTCTCCACGTCCATGCCGCCATACTTCTGCACGAACGCAAACCCGCACGGCGCCATATCACACATACTGCACGACACCGAGGTGGCGGCTCTCATCGACTCGCCGCTCGAGACAACGTTCTCCGACGGTGATGCGGTGCAGCGCTTGTATGGTGATGTGAAGGTGGTGGGGGCACTGCGGGTCAGTATCTCTAAGTCAGTGTTCCGCCAAGTGACCGCCACTCTAGATGCTGTAGGCGGTAACAAACCAGCCCCGGGTGAGACCGACTCAGCCCCGGAGAAGCCAGCAGCAGCAGCAGCGTCGAAGCAGCCCTCTCACCCTCAACACCATCCGCTGCGGCGACGTGAGGATGGCATGATCTTCATGCCGTCACCCTCCACCAGCGCTGGCAGCGGCAGTGGGCCAGGCAATCGTAGCGACTCTGAGGATGAGGGGCCCACAGTTCCATATCCAGTGTCACGTGCCCATCTTGCTGTTACAACTGCGCACTGAGCTGCACAGCGGGGAGCAAGGCCTGGCCGATATCTCTCTGCACGACTTCCTGATGCAGGCAGTGCGTTGGCAGCAGTTCCAGACACATCTGGACATCTCGCTGCGCTCACTGCTAGTCGAGGATCTGCTTGAAAAGCACGACTCCAAGCACCGCTTTCTGATGTCGTCAGCCAGCTTGAAGTCGGTGTCTTCGGCTCACAGTAGCGGTGGTGTGCCCACTCACAAGACGCGTGGTGTGTACTCCATGTTCCCGGGCAGTGCTGCTGCTAGCAGTATCCCGCGACTCTCCGCCGTAGTCCCGCTTGTCGATGCCTTCTCACTGCCGGCCGCAGGTAGCAGTGGCGGTGTGCCCTTGCCGAGGTCTTCCACGCCAGCCATCCAGCGACACAACTCCATGCCGCCAACAGTGGCGGGTGTAGCAGCAGCGGCTGTGGTGAGTGACCATGACGTATGCGATGGTCCGGTGTACCAGGACGACTTTGCGGACGGTGCGGCAGCAACGCCATCGTCGTCGTCGCGCAATGCTGCCAGTACTGCTGGCGATGAGACGCTGGTGCAGGTCAAGGTCCGCCTGGTCGATAAGAATGCACCCACCTTCTTCTCCGAGTTCAATGGGGTAAGTCTCACTGGCATTGGACATGTATATGTGTGTGTGTCCACCGTGTGTTCGCCGTGTCTGTTCTTTTGCCAACACTTCTGCAACCTTCTGTCAGTCTTTTTGGCGACTGCTTGTGGAATAGGTGATGTACATCCATGATTTTATAAAGGTTTTTAAACCTTGTTTGTTCGTGTTGGTTTGTTCCATTGTGTGTGTGCAGGTGGATCGGTTTGTAGATGTTGACTTCAACTCCTTGGATACCACCGTCAATCAACAGACATGGGTAGGTGTGCTGGACTTCTTCGGTATCGGCGAACCGAAACCTGCATCGTCGGCTCAGAGCACACGTCTGCCGTCTTCACCAACGTCGCCGGATTTCTCCATGCCTACGAGTCCCGACCAGCAAGAGCAGCAGCCGGGTATGGAGGGGCAGACATCAGCAGATGCAGCTGCAGATAGCTCACCATCATCAGCCAGTGCGGGTGGACGACCCGGGCAGGATGAGCAGCCACCTCTGCAGCAGAACCAACAGGGCACTGGGCAGTCATCGGTGCCACAGCAGCGAGAGCCGACGTCGGACATTCAAGTGCGCGTGCACAGCCTGTCGTTGACGCTGAACAAGCCAACAGGCGCGCTAGCCAAGGCGTGCGTCGGTGGCCTGGACGTGCACTTGCTACTGGAGAATGGCAATATGTCAGTGAAAGGTAGTCTGAAGACAGTCTCACTGACCGACTTGACCCCTGCCGGAGCACTCTACAGAGAAAGGTGAGATCAGTGGCCATGTGTGCATCATTTTGCGGCTTGTACCTGGGTGTGCTGCTACGGTAATATGGCATGCATAAAGGGTTTACTCTTGAGGCACTGTACAGAGAAAAGTGAAATGAGTAGCCATGTGTGCATTAATTTGCCCATCATGGCAAGGGTGTGCCTGTCTGTTCGCTCTCGAGGCTTTAGTGTTTCAGTCACGTACCGGCTGTGGGGTGGTCACCAGCATCACATGCGCAGTGTGAGAGCCTGTTCTGCACGTCCTGTCTGCCTATGCTGCCCCCTGGAACCTTGCTGTGAACATCCTCTTTGGGAAAGGTTGTGAATCTGTCTTAGCTTTGCTCCGTGTTGTCGGTGTCATATGATTACTGCAGCTGCTGTTCTTTGCTTGACAGTGCGTCATTGTTTTGTTTTTCTTTCTCTTTGTATTGTGCAGGTTCACCACTATTGGCAATGAAGCTCTGGTATTCGAGGTCTTCAAGTGAGTGTACCTATCTGACTGCCAATTAGTGACTGCATTATGTTGTATGGGTGTGAATCACATCATTGGCAAGCGAAACAAAGTGCCCCGGTGCTACATGGCCTGAAGGGCGATTCCCTACACTGTGTCCATGGGGTGGGATTTATGGAGATCATTAGAGGGAGTAGATTGTTTTACCCATCTTGAAAGTGGTATTATGGTTTGGTGGGTGATGGCATCACCTTGTACGTTGGTTGTTCTAGGCATTTCAAGCATCTTCTACTATGCTGTTTTAAAGTACTTGATGTCCACCCATAGTGTTTGTGAGAGCACAACGGAAACCAGCACATTATTCTGGATTGGCAAGGTTGGTGAGGTGGTTGTCAGTCGTGTTTAACCAAACTTTCCACCTACTTGGTGTGTACTTTCTCCTTGTGTGTATGCGTAGATATGGCCCTCCAGACTGGCAGAACTTACGCGACTTTGACATGAAAGTGCACCTGAGAATGGCGTCGGTACGCTATGTGCACACCAAGCGCTTTCAAATGGAGCTTGTCGCTTTCATCCAGCATTTCACCCAGGTCAGTGGGTACACTGTACCCTGGTATGTACTGTGCATGTGTGTGTGTGTTGGGGGGGGGGGGGGGGGGGCATTTCACCCAGGTCAGTGGGTAGTACTGGGTACACTGTACCCGGCTATGTACAGTCTGTGTGTGTCAGGGGGTGGAGACTGAGAGGGCGATTGAAGAGGCTGTGTGTATGCAGTATGCACTACCAGTAGTGTCTCCTGCGGGTGTGCATAGAAAGGCTCAGGGGTCTGGTTTGCTTTTCTGGCAAAGTGTTTCTCATTTCTTGATTTCTTTGGACCAGTTTCCCTCGTATCCAGTGCCAAAGTATCTTGTTAATTTCCGTTGTATTTGGAAAAGGTCCCTACATGACACGTATTGTTACGTTCACTTGTGAATGAATGGTCTTTCCAGTCAGATTACCGACAAGCAGCTCAACATTGCTATGCCATGGTTTTCTCTACTTCTGGGCGTGTGTGTGTGTGTGCGTTTGTGTGTGGCCTCTCGTGTGTATATGTGTGTGTGTGTGTGTGTGTGTGTGTGTGTGTGTGTGTGTGTGTGTGTGTGTGTGTGTGTGTGTGTGTGTGTGTGTGTGTGTGTGTGTGTGTGTTTCTGTGAGCAGTCAATGGATGCTTTACCACGGATGCGTGCCAATGCTGCTGGTACCTTGGTGAGTTCTACTTCAGTACCCCCCCCCCCCCCCCTCCGCACATGGGTAGTATTGAATTCACAGTTCTGTTCAAGCTTTGTCCTATTTACTAGGAACTATTAATTTGATATAGGGAACGAACACGTTTGGTTCATATTTTTCCACGCTGTTCGTATGTGTGTATGTGTGTGTATGCGTGCGTGCCTTGACCGTACATGTATGTATGTGTGTGTGTGTGTTATAATTGTGTGCATGCCACAGGTGTACAATGGACCAACGCGCTCTGGCCGCATACTACTGGACATTGAAACGAGCAACCCCGTGGCGCTGCTGCCACGCTCGGCCAGTTCGCGTGACATGCTCGTGATCAACCTTGGCAACGTCAGTGTGCACAACTCATTCCGCTATGCTGGCACTGCAACCGGCAACTCTCATTCACCAAAGAACCCACAGAAGCCAAAAACCAATGGCAGCAGCAGTAGTGACTTTTCTTCCCACGCAAAGTCCACGACAGCAGGCGACCCCCGTTACTCAGCGCCATCGGGTAGTGCTGACCTATCGCATTCTACTTCCTCGAAATCAACATTGTTCAATCGGTCAGAGAGTCTTGGTGCAAGACCCGAGACACTGCTGGACTTTACCCCGAGCCCGCGTCACTCACGTCAGTCACGGCAAGGAGATGACATCTCGGCGGACGCAACCAGCAGACTGGAGGATTCCAAGTATGGTTGTGTGAAGTGTGAACGCTCAGATTCCTGTGTATCCTATTCACTTGTACCATGTTCATGCTGTAGATCTGATCACCCTTCTTCAGACAGTTACCAAGTCACTTGTATTGTTTGTACCCCCTACATGGTCACAGTAGATTGTTTGTAGAGATGTTTAGTAGAAGCCTGTCCTCGCCTGTTTGCAGAAGTGCAACCTTAAGGCTCCTCTCAAAATGTCAGCTGTTGTTTGCCATCGTTGCTGCAGCTGTTCCCAAGTTTCTGTTCTGTACACTGATCTGATGTCTGTGTGTTGTCGACTTGTGTTGTTGCTGCTGCTGCTGCTGCTGCTGTTGTTGTTGTTGTTTGAATTCTTTATTCTCACGATGGCACCATCGCCAAAAAGATATATTTTGTTGTTGTTGTTGTTGTTGTTGTTGTTGTTGTTGTCGTTGTTGTCGTTGTTGTCGTTGTTGTCGTGGTTGTCGTTGTTGCATAGACTGGCTAGCCCTAATTCGCAGGGTCAGATCAATGACGAGGCCAAAGCGTGGCTTAAGGCTGGACATCACATGTCAGGTCCCTGCCTGCTGGATGTTCTCAACATTGAGCTCAGCAACATGGATGTCTTCTCCGCCAAACGTGTTGATGGCCAGCGGCAGGCTGGATTCCCGTCGGCAATGCACGCCTCCGGCCTGGATGAAGTAGACGGGGCGGCAGAGGATTCGTTTACCTTCGAGCCAACGGTATGCTTGTGTCGTGTGGGTGGGTGTGTGTTTGTGTGTGTGTGTGTGTGTGTGTGTGTGTGTGCGCGCGTGCGTGTGTGTGTGCATGTGCATGTGGTTGGTACGTCTGTTGGCCCTGAGTTCCCACTTTCCAGCACCCAGTTGCCGAGGCTGGTTGGTAAACTAACTCCAATTTCACATCAAGGTACCAGTGCATCTTGTGTCTGCTTCTATCAAAGCAGCGTGCTGTCTATACTGGTTACCCCAGCAAGTGTAGGGTGTGCATAGGTAACTGTCTTGGCCGTCTTGTTCCAATGTACTCTATGTGGTATGTGGTGTAGATCAGGTGTGCATTGGGGGATCGATTCACATGGCTTCGCCAGTTGTGTGGATTAGACAGTTATCTGGCGCTTGTCTTGATCTGTTTCTTTCAGAATCAGATCCGCTATCGTTGCTATAAAGAGAAGATCTGTGGGTGCACATCCAGTGCATTTGCAGATTTGCGTGCTTCTCTTGCGACGGGCGTATACATGGTATATGGTGTGTGCACATCCCCCACGCCGTGTCCTCTGCCGTGTTATGCAACTCCCAGGTTCTAACTGCTGGTACTGTGGCGGGGTACTGGTCTCCTTTGCCTGTTGCTCTGTGTTGCTGCTGGTGCTGTGGCGGGGTACTGGTCTCCTTTGCCTGTTGCTCTGTGTTGCTGCTGGTACTGTGGCGGGGTACTGCTCTCCTTTGCCTGTTGCTCTGTGTTGCTGCTGGTACTGTGGCGGGGTACTGCTCTCCTTTGCCTGTTGCTCTGTGTTGCTGCTGGTACTGTGGCGGGGTACTGCTCTCCTTTGCCTGTTGCTCTGTGTTGCTGCTGGTGCTGTGGCTGGGTACTGCTCTCCTTTGCCTGTTGCTCTGTGTTGCTGCTGGTACTGTGGCTGGGTACTGCTCTCCTTTGCCTGTTGCTCTGTGTTGCTGCTGGTACTGTGGCTGGGTACTGCTCTCCTTTGCCTGTTGCTCTGTGTTGCTGCTGGTACTGTGGCTGGGTACTGCTCTCCTTTGCCTGTTGCTCTGTGTTGCTGCTGGTACTGTGGCTGGGTACTGCTCTCCTTTGCCTGTTGCTCTGTGTTGCTGCTGGTACTGTGGCTGGGTACTGCTCTCCTTTGCCTGTTGCTCTGTGTTGCTGCTGGTACTGTGGCTGGGTACTGCTCTCCTTTGCCTGTTGCTCTGTGTTGCTGCTGGTACTGTGGCTGGGCACTGCTCTCCTTTGCCTGTTGCTCTGTGTTGCTGCTGGTACTGTGGCTGGGCACTGCTCTCCTTTGCCTGTTGCTCTGTGTTGCTGCTGGTACTGTGGCTGGGCACTGCTCTCCTTTGCCTGTTGCTCTGTGTTGCTGCTGGTACTGTGGCTGGGCACTGCTCTCCTTTGCCTGTTGCTCTGTGTTGCTGCTGGTACTGTGGCTGGGTACTGCTCTCCTTTGCCTGTTGCTCTGTGTTGCTGCTGGTACTGTGGCGGGGTACTGCTCTCCTTTGCCTGTTGCTCTGTGTTGCTGCTGGTACTGTGGCGGGGTACTGCTTTGCCTGTTGCTCTGTGTTGCTGTTTCTCAATACACAAGTGTACATGTTGGGTAAGCGTATTGTGTTCTTGTTGTCATTGTTTCCATGTTCAACTTTGCCAGAGTGGACGCAGTCTGGAGAAGAAATGTACGCTGAGCCTAACCATCGAGCGAAACCTTCACCAAGACTTCTGCCATGACGGTGAGCGTGCACCTGTCCTCCTTGCATTGCCTTGATGTTGTTTAGGTGCTGGCTGTCCATTGTACAGTTTGACCTGTGACTGTGACTGTGTTCAGTAACTAATCCCACACCTCATAGAAAACCAGTTTTCGTAGACAAATAGTCACACAATGAACGGTTGACCTTTAATATATACAATTATAGTTGATTGTAGAAATGAGGTCCGGTTGCTAGTCGACACTAAAATACATATAGCCATGGCAGAACACGCCTGAGTGCGTGTACACACGGTTCTGTTTGCGTGTACACACGGTTCTGTTTGCGTGTACACACGGTTCTGTTTGCGTGTACACACGGTTCTGTTTGCGTGTACTACCATGTACCGAACTACATGTAAGTAGTTCAACTAACTTCAACCCAGCCTTTGTGTGGGCTGATAACATCCGTCTTTGTGTGGGCTGATAACATCCGTCTTTGTGTGGGCTGATAACATCCGTCTTTGTGTGGGCTGATAACATCCGTCTTTGTGTGGGCTGATAACATCCGTCTTTGTGTGGGCTGATAACATCCGTCTTTGTGTGGGCTGATAACATCCGTCTTTGTGTGGGCTGATAACATCCGTCTTTGTGTGGGCTGATAACATCCGTCTTTGTGTGCATCTTCTTTTCGTGTTGCGTTCTCTCAGTGCCAGACAATCGCTTGATTGGCCAGCTGTCTTCGGTGAACATCTGCTTGGATCAGTACCAGTTTCAGCTGGTGAAAGGCGTGCTAGCTGACAACTTGGGCGAGGACATTGAGGAGTTTGAGCGGCCGGAGACGCACATCCGTGACCCCATTGTTCAGGTGAGTGCCTTGTGATGTGATGCATTACTCGTCAGTGAGTGCAATGGCTGGTTTGATACCTTTCGGGTTGGTGCGTGTGAGAAATTATTTGAGACTAGTTGATACGTACACAGAGGTGGCATATGATATTTAGTTCTCTAAGGGCCTCAGGACAGGGCACCAGTGGTTTCCATGGTTTCAATGATGCGGGATTCGTGTGCACTTCTCTTCGCTTATGATCAACATCTCTGTACGTCTGTTTATGTGTGTCTGGGTCCATGCCTGTACACTCTAGACGAAGTTTGCATCGGTTTGGACTGGCCTTGATCTTCAATTACACCTGGTCAACGTCAGCGTTGAGTTGCTGTACCAGCATGCCAGCAAGTTCATACCACAGGCGTCGCTGGCACGCTTTGACTTCAAGCGCAGCCAGCTGCATTTTGAAGCTCGCTCGGACACGACGAAGACGATTGATCTCGTTTCCCAGGCTATTGTTGCTAACGATACTCGCTACTCAGGTGAGAACTACGTGCTTGCTCGGTGAAATCCAGTCCAGTCACTCAAGTTTGCGCCTTGCACCGTTTCGCAGCCCACTGTTCGCAGGTCTAGAGTAGCACAATGCTCGGCGCGTACTTGAGTGACAGGACTGGATTTCACCGAGCAGGACTGTAGTTGGTCAAGAATATGTGTGGTGCATCCTATCTCTTAATTTGCTAGATCCTATAGCAGTGCCTTGCAGATTCTTCTTCCTTTTCTCTTTCTAGTGAGAATCACACAATAGGCATTCACTTGCCGAAGAATTTCTCCATCTTCAGGTCATTTAGCTCACTGGCGTTTGTCTCCTGTAAAACTAGTTCTCCTTGTCCTTGATTTCTCTTTGTTTACTCTCCATCAACCACCTCACCACAGCTGCACTCTCCAGCCGACCTCCACACGTTGCCACAGCACACCATCAGCAAAGCAACACTAATCTGTACAAGGCTGGATACTGCTGCTGCTCACCCTCCCTGTTTGTTTGATTGTTTTGCTTTGTTTTGTTTTAGGCTTTGATGGCGACATGCCATCTAACGTATTCTCGCAGATCTTGCAGCCGCGTCACTTGAACTCTTCCAACAGTCTGCAGTTGGAGATTCACTATCGTACGTACGTCTTGCCGCATCCACGCCGTCAGCTTACCGTCTTACTCAACAAGGTCAGTGCTGGAGCTTTGGTGTTGTAGTTGAGAGAGTGGGTGACATCGTGCCTGAGTGGACGACTTTGGCCGTACCTGATATCTCTCCTGTACTATGCATGTGATTTGTAGTGCGAGGGCTTCTTTCAGAGAACAGAGAAATGGCTGTTTGCTTTCTTTGGGTGCTGTTCTCACTACCTGCAGTTGATGCTTGCGTCGTGTGGGTGTACACGTATTGTGCATGCTAGCATTCTCTTTGTGTGGCCTTTCTGTACGAACACGTTGCAGAATGTATAACCGCTACTATGCATGCTGCAGTACCGTAATTATGATGACATGGCGTGGCTCATCCTGTATCTCTCATGCAATCTGCTCTTTCCCGCATCAGGTCCGACTGCTTGGTGTGTTTGAGTGGATGCTGCAAGTAAAGGATTTCATCACTGGCAAGGGTGATGGAGACCAGCAGCAGCAGCAGCAGCAGCAGCAGCAGCAGCAGCAGCAGCAGCAGCAGCAGCAGCAGGAGGAGGATCCTAAGTCTGACACATTGCCCCTGGGTAAGGTCAAAATGATTGTGAAGCAAGTACCTTACTTTGTAGGGTATGACCCCGCTTGTACGAGCACAGCAGCTTTCTTGTTGTTGTTTAAAGTTTAGCTAGAATAATCATGAATGTAATGCCGTAGATTGCTGTGTGATGTAGAAATAATTGAAGTCATGCTCTTTGGTGTGGCACCTACTGGAATTTGACTAGCAATTCAAACTGTGTGTATGCACAATATGAATACCTCTTTACTACAAAGGAGTAAGTTTTGGCGAATTGCCGGCATTATTTGTGTTCATCCTTACGACTCTCAATGCTCCCTACTTCTTGCAGGTGGATTAAAACCACTGCCGAGCGGCGATAACATGGCTGACGAGAACGAAGAGAAAGAGGAAAAGCCATTGGACTTCCACCTCAACATGGCCGAAACAGAGGTATTGTGTTTTAATCGTCACTATTTTTCAAACTTGCTGGTGAGCTCTTGCAATTAGTTTGCGAATTGCTTGTGCGTTGTGCTTTGCATTACACAGGTGCTGGTTCTGGAGAATGCGTCCAACCCCAACACCAATGCTGTGACGCTGAAGTTCACGCTCGTCCTGTCGTTCCGCGCCCAGCTCAACTCCAGCCCAGAGCTGTCCTGCAGCCTGCAGGAGATAGAGGTACGATCGTGAATCATGCTGTTGCCTGCCTAGCATTCTAACTTTGTCAAAAGAAAATCCTTTTGGCTGTTCTTATTACAATACCTTCATCCCGTTTGTCTCTTCACTTCAGGTATTCTCATGCAACCTGGGCAGTGAGGAGGATTCGGCCCTGTCTATCATTGACCCACTCAACATCAACGCCGAAGTTCGACCTCAGGCTAATGGCTCCAGCTCAAAGCGGCCGACCAGCCTCGGTTCTGACATATGCACATTGCCTCCCCTCGAGGTAACTGCTGTGGATGTGTTTGTGCCGTAAAATCCCATCAGAGTGCCCCTACCTCCGTGACCCTTCCAGTAGGTTCGGGTGGGGAGGGGCGGATGGGCGAGTCCTACTTGCCGCATTCAGACACTGCATGAACAAGTACTCACCCTACGAAAACGGTGCGTGCGCCTTGCACACCGACCAACGGTCAAGAGCAGGGAGTCGTACAAACCCGTCAAAACCCAGGGTTTGTGCGATCCCTGGTCAAGAGGGTGTGAGCTGTTGCGTACATGTCCAACCGGGTCGAGCACGCGTCTGCAGTGCAGTACGGCATCACACTTCACAGAGTCAGGACGATCCGATGATACTATCACTTCCCTGACAAGAATTCAGGGAGGGGCACATGGGAGAGATGGGACGCTCTGGCGGGATTTTACAGTACTGGCCGTCAATGAAAGAATTTCATGCTTCATGACAAGTTATTTTGCTCTCGCAGAGATTCGAGTGTTGTAGCCGTGAATTGAAAGTCTGATATTGTTCTATGCAAGTTCACAACCTGACTACATTTGTGCTATTAGTGGCGCACTCTGTTACCACCCCTACTTTGAAATGAAGATCTTGTATCATGCTGTTTCTCTTGCCCATGGATTGCGATGCGATAAATGAGCCAACGCCTGGCAGTCGTCCTGGATCAGGAAGAAAAGCAGCGGGAGTTGAGATTGATTTGAAGTGTTATGCCATGAATTGGTTTGCTGCCTGTCTATCTGTCCGTCTGTCTGTCGCGTCAGACCTTCAGCCCCTCTCGGCCCGAGTACTGTGTGTTGTCTTGACACACGTGTGGTTTGTCTTCCACTCTGTTGTTGTGTAGATCTCCGTTCAGCACGTGTGCATGCGTGTGTCTTATCATGATATTCAACTCTTCCTGGCCATACTCAAATCACTACCCGGCCAGGCAGCAGCGGCCGGCTTCAAGTCAGCGTCGGAGTCGCAGCCGTACATGGAGACCTCGGCGTTTGAGCCAGTTGATGGTGAGTTCAAGGTGCTGCTTCTTTGTCACTCCATTGTGCTGTGAGCACATTAGTTATTTTGTTACAAATCATGATTTTGGTGTCCATTAGTGGCATTAATTAACAGGGTTTAAACTGTGAACATTGCATATCCTGAAATCAGCCCTGCACCAAAAATGTTTCTTTGTGGCTGTTTGTACCGGTCACAGTAGCTGAATTGGGGGGACATACATTGTTACTACTTCTCCTAGGTGAACTGAAACGTCTCGTCTTGTTGTCACTGTCAATTTCTGTGTATTGCCAGAACGTGTCTGCAAGCTGGAAGCTCTTGGTTATGAGGCACGACATTGCAAGTTCGCCCTGGATGAGTGCAATGGAGATCCGAACGCAGCCGCCAACTGGCTGGCGACCAATGCGCCCGCAAAGTCTGACCTGCGCGCTGCAGCGTCTGATAGTGGTAATAAGCTGGGGCCGCTGCAGATCGGCTCCATCCGGGTAGGTTTGTGACGAGCTCTGAAACACAGTCACAGTTTTCAACCCCACTATGCTGAGTGACTTGTATTACACTATATCCGTGCAGTGAAGGTCCAGTCTTTGACTAATCTATGATCATGATCAATGACTGGACTGGAATTGTGATCGTTTCTATCACCCATATCCAGTGATGCTTGTGTTAGTAGTGGACTGCAACACACACAGCGTCTATTATTGTCTTGGATACAGTTGAGTGTGTGGTATGCTCTGGAATCCACTGCAGTGCATATGCTGTGTAACAGTGTTTGTGGAGTTTGCAGTGCATATGCTGCTTATATGCTTAGCAGAGTAAGGGTGTGGTTAGCTGTTAGAGAGTTTACGCTTTCCATTGTTCAATTTCGAACGTGAGAAAAAACGTGCGTTGAATCGCTTTTTTTCACCGTGAGTTGGACCTCTGTCGCGTTGAAATCTCACGTTGCAACATGAGATGCGCCTTTTTGACCGTGAGATCTCACATTCGTATTTGAAGAAAAAAACGTGAAGCGTAAACTCTCTATTGTCTGTCTGTAAACTTGTGTGGTGTGTGTGTGTGTGTGTGTGTGTGTGTGTGTGTGTGTGTGCGTGTGCGTGTGTACGTGCGTGCACGCGCGTGTGCATGTGTGTGTGCGTGCCTTGCTGGCGTTGGCAAGTGTGGTGATTGTTTTGGTTGCTTATCCACTTCATACAGCATTGTTTGCTCTATTGTTGGTGCTTTTCCAGGTGACGGGTGCTGCTGTGACTGTTTGCCTGATTGACGACTGCTGTGGCCGTGACATTCCACTGGCTGAGCTGACGTTGAACAAGCCCAGCATCACACACCACCTGGTGACATACCCCGGTACCGGACATGCCAGTGGAACTCTAGTCATGGAGTACTACAACCGCGGCATTTCGGCATGGGAGCCTCTACTTGAGCCATGGAAGTAGGTTCCGTCTCGCTTTTTTGATCAGTGCAGTCAGACCTCGCATAACCGCACACATCCGTTCTCCACAAAATATCCGGATAGGCGAGGGAACCGGATAATCAAACACACGTACTGTATGTATGCATGGCATATGCTGTAAATCTGTAACCAGCGATTTTCTTCCGGATGGCGAGGGATCCGGATAAAAGAAGACCGGATAAGCGAGGTCTGACTGTATCCATGTATGTACATTGACGTGGAAAAATTGTTTACCATAGTAAACCTAGCATCTGTATCATAGTACAGGTGAAATCCTGATAATTCGAACCTGAAAATGCCAGGAAAAACTTCTAATTATCCGGACATTCTAATTTTCCAAACATGAACCCACAACACAATATGTATGTCAAAATGCTCTCATGGTCACGCAGAGTTGCGCTATGGACCTTAGACACACATTTTACGGACACTGAACTGACCGGCACAGCCTGCTCGTGCAAACTGAACTGACCAGTACAGTGTACAGTGAACTTTGAATTACACTTTGCTAACTTCGAATTATCAGCACAAATCCCACACATTTTCTATGTAAGTGGAATCTGTGGGACTTCTAATTAACCAGACATGTCGAGTTCAAGGTTCGAATTATCAGAATTTTGTATGTGGAAATCGTATTGATAGAAATCGGTCCTGGAAAAACTTCTAATTAAGCGGTATGTTCGAATTAAGCCATATTCGAATTATCAGGATTCCACCTGTACCATGCTTAAATTTATACAGTAATGCCTTGAACAAATACGGTAAAACCTGTTGAGGCAAGCACTCGGGTGAGGCAACCACCTGTCCCAGAAGACCACTGCAGCCAAGACCAAGGGATGTTATTTCCAATCAAATGGCACTGGATACGGAGACCACCTGGCTACAGAGACCACACTTTGAAAGTCCCTTGAGCCGTCGTCTTAGACAGGTTTCACTGTACTTTGAACATGTTTAAGAAGCCCAACACTTGTGGGAGCTTGAAGTGACGAGTGGTGGCGTAAATGGTCCAGGCATTCCATATTAGCCATTACGGGTGTGTTGCAAGGTCCTTCTACTAATATCTGCTCATTAATTCTCTTTTATTTTTCAACCTTTAAATCTTATTTCTTTGCAGATGCGGCATTTACTGGATTAAGGATCAGGCACCGGACAAGGATGAATTGACAGTAAAGATTGATGGTAAGAGGAACTTCTCCTAAACACTTTAAATAAGAGATTTACTAGCTACCTCTTCCTTTTTCATACAAATTCACTCCAGTTTTAGCAGCGGCAGCAGCAGTGGCAGCAGTAGCCTCTCTCACACTCCCGTGCCAAACTTTTACTCATGAGAATGCTACGGAATAAACTATGTTCTCACACGTTTTGTTGTGTTTTGTCACATTGCAGCAAGCGATCGTCTGGACTTGACATGTACTTCGGCCTTCCTTCAGCTGGTCAAGTCCACGCAGACCAGCTGGTTGGAAGACTACAACCGTGCTTCGGCCAACAGTAGCGAAGCAGCTCTGCATACGCCCGACTCCTCGGTCGACGAGGCTGCACGACTGCCTCAGCCGGTGGCCCCTGCCGCCAGCGGCACCTTGCCAACGTTCAACAACACGCGGCGTACACCGTTCACACCCTACGTCCTCCACAATAACACTGGATGTCGACTGCACTTTGCTACCCTCACAACATCGCCTTCAAGAGTAAGTCATAATCCGATTTGATGAACTACACTGGAGAAGCAGCAGTGAAGCCTGGCTTCACCCTACGTACAAATCCACATTAACATACAAATCCCCTTAGAATCTACGTAGTGCAGGCCAGAAATGGCATATGTGAGTACGATGAGAAATGCAAGCCCAGCACCCCTATGAACGGCACGTTTTACATTTTTCGGCTGAGGAGGATGCGTAACACAGCAAACTGGTTGAAACAATGCACCAGTACACATGAAAACGCCGCTGAATACAGTGTGAAAAGGAGGAACGTAACTGTCCCGTTTTTCCGTGGGAATGGTGTAGTGGGAAGCATGGACAGCCTGATTCAACTAACATTGTTACTTTAGGACTACTTGAAAGTCATTCCAGGTTTCTGCACAGGGTTGGGTATTTATTTATGTGCCAGCAAGGTTGTTGTCTTTCAAGACTCGCTGTTGCTGATACCTGCACAGGCGGAGTGCATACATTATGCTTTCTGCTTTACAGAATACCCATTGTTTACTTTGTGTGGTCCCACTAGTGCTAACCTATCTTTATCCTTTTTGTCTCAATGCAGGCACCGCAAATAGCCAACCTGACATCTAGTGGGGCTGACTTTGGTACATCTTCATCGTCTAGTTTGAATGACAGTGATTTGGCATCTGGTCTACCGTCTCATATCGCTCAGTGGCATGATGTGGCTGCTGGTAAGCAGGTTGCCTTCCAGTTCGACAGTCACAGGAGACGCCGCAACTATCGTGTAAGCATACACCACAGGCTTATGTGTTTGGTGTGTCTGTCTGTCTGTCTGTCTGTCTGTCTGTCTGTCTGTCTGTCTGTCTGTCTGTCTGTCTGTCTGTCTGTCTGTCTGTCTGTCCGTCCATCCTTCCGTCTTTGTTTGTGACAATTGTATTGATATCTTCTGAAGAGTATTGTTTGTCCTGCCCGCCTGCTTGTCACTAGGTTGATTGTGATGCTGTGTGCTGTGTGGATCTCAGTGTGTATAATGCATCTACTCTGTATATATGTGCTCAGTATGTATGTGCTGTGTGTGTTTATATGCCACCTGCACATAGGATACGCGTCGTCTGACAGTGCATCAGATAGTTGTGCACGTGGATAGATGGCAGCGTGTAGCACCCCTCAGTGTGGACCGTGTCGGCGTGTTCTTCAGGGACATGCTGCCCGAAGACCCATCGGTGAGTACTGAGTACTCTGTTTGCTGCCCTGTGTTTGCAATGATGCCTCCTGGATACCAGTAGTATCTGTACTTGTCTGCGTATTATGCTGTGCATAATCTGGCAACCCTGCTCTCCATACTGGCTCTGCACTTCAACTTCAGTTTGGATTTGATTGCTTTGACTAGTAGCTGTACTATAGATATGCATGCCACTTCGTACTGGCTGAGTTTTTCCCAACTTCATTTAACCCTTTAAGAGCCACAGGAAAATTTCAAAATTCTGCATTTTTTCGTGTTCCTTGGATCATAGCTTCAGTTCTACTCACTCGATCCTCACAATCTAGGGCTTCCTGGAAAGGTCTCCGTGAGAGGAAGAGAATGAGGTCGATCATGATAGCCAGCACACCGTCTATCCAGCGCTAGATCGCAGCGACAGTACGAAAAATGCCCCAAATGCGTCCAATTGCGTCCCGCTCCAGATATTTCATTTTACTCGATCGTGGAGTTCCAATTTTTTCGCTGTGTACTCTTGACAATATCAACAGTGAAACTCGTGCAAATTCGAGTAAACCAGCGTGACGAAAAGTCTCAAAATTATCAATACTAAAGTCGCACTGCTCGCTTTTGAAATTGCCGCGATCGCGGCTCAACTTACGAGTGATTTATCTCAGGAACCGTTGCTTGCAGCGTTTCCCGGATTGTTTCTCCCGATGGGTGAGAGTTTTCTCTTCGCCCTGAATATTTCGATCACTGGATTTGAGCGAGATTGGACTAAGTTCGATCCTTTGAAGTTTTGCATTCAAGTATGGGGCGGCTCTTAAAGGGTTAACAATGTAGTCTTCGTATGTGGTTATTGGAGCAAGGGTAAACTGTTCTCAGAGCCATCTTGTCCCACACGATACGAGTATCATACTTGACTGAGCACGCTCAGCATGCTGTTACTCAGGAACAAGAGCCCCCTCCTAACACGTGTTTTCTTGCTTGCTTTGTTCAGCTCCCAGCTGTACGCCTGGTGGTCACGATAAAGATCGGTGCGGATGCTCGCAAGGTGGTCAACGTCCGCTCTGCGCTGGTGCTGCACAATCGTCTTAGCGTCCCGTTGGAGGTGTGTTGCAGTCAAGGCTTGGACTTGGGAAGCTCGGATGAGATTGGTAAGCGTGAATGTGCTTCCTGCTCTGCAAGTCCCTGATTGGTTGTGTATAGCATGGTGGCATAGAACCTGTCACTGCAGGGATTGTACACATCGACATGACATGTGTGAGTGCTTTTTTTCTTGCAAGGCCTTGAAATCTATGATCCTGCATTGTTTTGAGCTTCTTTTGTTATAAAGTGCCATTGGTTGTTGCTAATTCTCTCTATATTGTTGGTTGTCTCCTTACTATCTTAATCACAGCGTCCAGTGTCGACAAACGCTCTAACCAGATCCAGTTGCCTGTTCTCATGCCGGGCGAGAGGGCAGCAGTTCCTCTGCAGTACACGGAGCTACCGCTGTGTGCACGACCACATGCCAGAGGCTGGAAGTTTGCACCAGATCTGCTGGACTGTGGTCCAGTCAGCCAGGATCTACCGGTGCATAATGTACTCGCCTCCTGCAAGGGAGCTGGTCACAAGAACGACATATTTAGGTACCGTACTGCTGCCGCTACATGTGTGTGTGTGTGTGTGTGTGTGTGTGTGTGTGTGTGTGTGTGTGTGTGTGTGTGTGTGTGTGTGCGTGTGTGTGTGCGTGTGTGTTTGTGTACACGTGTACATGTGTGCGTGTACATATATGCATACATGTACTTATATGGCAGTGGCGATGCCGTCAGCACTGCCTATCGTAGTCATGTCATGTCCTGTTGTTTTCGATTTCTGGAGTATACCTTACAATACACACACATGCCTGTGCAATAGATATGCTTTGCGTCTACGGGAAAGTACCTGCTTACGAGAAAGAGCAACGTTCACTCGGTGTGTACTGGTACTGCTGCTGTGTGCTTTTCAGATTCCTTGCGTCCATTCAGCGTGAATCCTTCCCCGCTAAGCCTAGGATGATCACACAGAAAGGTACTCTGAAGGACAGTAGTGAGTTGCGTATGTCCAGGAGAGACGTGTCCGTCAGTGTGGATGATATAGAAGGGTCAATGCTGAGTCAAGGTAAGAACAGACTGTGTTCTGCCTACCTGCTGTGTTTGAAGCATAGTGTGATGTATGCAGCTTTCCGTACAGTACTGGACGGTGTCGAGTGCTGTTAATTTTACCAGTGCTGTCACAGTGTGTGTAGGGCAGAGTGCACACTTTGTTTTAATAGTTTAATGTGTAGCTGTCTTCACTGAGGTGTTAATAATGAGTATAGTGCATGTAGCATGCCTGAAGGACTAACATGCTATCCCATTTAGCATGTAGCGACTGGCTCAAGGTGGCAGTTTCATTACGTTGTGTTATGTTTCGGCTGAAATGGAGGCTCCAAACCCCGAAGACTGCAATTCATCTCGGCATGCAATGCTGCTCAATGAAAGTCGATCAAATGAGTAAATGCCACGCCGGGCGCTGTGCAGCCCTAGACCCGTGAACATTGGGATGCGAATTGGCACATGGCGCAAACTTGATTCACGGGATCGGATATCATTGAGCAGCACTTTAGGATTTTCTACATGTACGTGTATATGCTTCTTTGTGTTTCAGGGTGTCCACGCTTCTGTTCCGGTTACAACATAGTCTTCTTACCAACAGTGACACTAGTCAACCTGCTGCCTGTCGACATGGAGTATTTCAACGATACCACTGGTCAATGTGGTGTTGTCAAGGCTGGCAAGGAGGAACAGCTTTTTGAGGTGAGCTTCTGTGTGTGTGTGTGTGTGTGTGTGTGTGTGTCCGTGTGTGTGTGTCCGTGTGCAAGCACGTATGCGTGCATGCTTGCGTGTGTGGGCATGTGCGTGGTGTGTGTGTGGGGGGGGGGGGGGGCACAAGGATGAGTAATAGTAACAACCTACCAAAATGAGGAAAACGATACAAAACGAAAGAAACCTTGTGTTTCCGTGTGTTTGGTGTTGCAATCCCGCTAGGTCAACCCCACAAAGGTACTGGAGCTCGGCATACAGCTAGATGGTTTCCAGCGTGGTGCTAATATCCGTGTACCACCCGGTGTGGACTCCGTTGACACACTGGAACTGCGAGATGCCAATCACCGCACTCTCAACCTTCACACTAAGGCCGAGTCGCAAAACAACTCGTTGACGGTAAGAGTTGTCACTTACACTGTTATGTGCATGCCTGGTGTCTTACTCTGCTAAGGTGGGTTTTCTTTGGTTTTCTTTGTTTTGGTGCACGAGCTTGTGCTTTGATATGAAGATCAGTGTCCTTGTGCTTTGATATGAAGATCAGTGTCCTTGTGGTTTGATATGAAGATCAGTGTCCTTGTGAATAGAGATGGAGATCAGTGTCCTTGTGATTAGAGATGGAGATCAGTGTCCTTGTGATTAGAGATGGAGATCAGTGTCCTTGTGATTAGAGATGGAGATCAGTGTCCTTGTGATTAGAGATGGAGATCAGTGTCCTTGTGATTAGAGATGGAGATCAGTGTCCTTGTGATTAGAGATGGAGATCAGTGTCCTTGTGATTAGAGATGGAGATCAGTGTCCTTGTGATTAGAGATGGAGATCAGTGTCCTTGTGATTAGAGATGGAGATCAGTGTCCTTGTGATTAGAGATGGAGATCAGTGTCCTTGTGATTAGAGATGGAGATCAGTGTCCTTGTGATTAGAGATGGAGATCAGTGTCCTTGTGATTAGAGATGGAGATCAGTGTCCTTGTGATTAGAGATGGAGATCAGTGTCCTTGTGATTAGAGATGGAGATCAGTGTCCTTGTGATTAGAGATGGAGATCAGTGTCCTTGTGATTAGAGATGGAGATCAGTGTCCTTGTGATTAGAGATGGAGATCAGTGTCCTTGTGATTAGAGATGGAGATCAGTGTCCTTGTGATTAGAGATGGAGATCAGTGTCCTTGTGATTAGAGATGGAGATCAGTGTCCTTGTGATTAGAGATGGAGATCAGTGTCCTTGTGATTAGAGATGGAGATCAGTGTCCTTGTGATTAGAGATGGAGATCAGTGTCCTTGTGATTAGAGATGGAGATCAGTGTCCTTGTGATTAGGGGACACACTATCCCAGTACACCTACTGACCTAGCTCATGTGTGCATGTGTTCTATGATGTGTGTGTGTGTGCGTGTGTTTGTGTGTGCGCGTGTGTGTGTGTGCGTGTATGTGCGTGTGCGCGCGTATGTGTGTACGTGCGCATGTGTGTGTTCATATGTGTGCGTCCATGTGTGCATGTGTGTATGCGTGCGCATACTTGCACCACCATGTCTCTGTACAGTTGAGTATCCTCTGCTCGTATTGGTTACGCAACCTCACCGGTCTGCCACTCGTCTTCAAGCAAGACTCTGCGAAGCATGAAGCGGCCGGACAGTCGGAAGCCCACGAGAATGCTCGCAGCCTTACGCCACTCCTGTTTTCATTCAGTGACCCGTCGAAACCGAATGCGTGAGTTGCTGCCCGCTGGCTGGCATGCCGGCAGAATGTAATACGTCATGTGTGGTTCTGATGGGTGTGTGTGTGTGGGGGGGGGGGGGGGGGGGGTGATGTGTTAGTGTGGTGTGCGCGTGCATGCATACATGCGTGCGTGTGGAGTTCAGTGTGCACAACAGTACAGTGGCTTATTTAAAGTTATTTTCTCTCTGCCTGTGATCCTATTACATGTAGAGTGGTATGTTAGTTTGTTGTATGCTACCTGACCTGCACAAAATCACCCCATTGATTTCCCTGTGTGTTATTCTCGTATGGCGAATCTGTGGAAATACTTCACTGTTCCTCTACGCACCCTGTACTCTGTGTGTTTGTAATGTTAGATCTAGCTCTGAAACAAACCTGAACTCTGTGTGCATGTGCTTACATTCTCCTGCTGTTGTTACAGCTGCAGTGTTCGCCTCGGCCGCAGCCCTCACATGCGTGGCACGCCTGCTTGGTGCCCTCGTTTCCGCCTCGATCGCAACAGTGGCATAGGCTTGAAGCTGGTGGCCGTGCAGGGGCAGAATGCACCTGACAGTGTGTATGAGATAGGTATTCAGACACGCCGTGGAAAGGGACGCTACGCGCACACGCTGGTGGTGACGTTTGTCACTCGTTTCCAGATTGAGAACCACAGCCAGTACGATATTGCGTACTCTCAGCGCCGCTTCATCAGCAACCAGGTCAGATTGTGTGTAACTGCGAGGGATTGTGTGTGTGTGTGTGTGTGTGCGCGCGCGTGCGTGCGCGTGCGTTGTTTTCAGGGTTCATATGCTTTTGAAGTATGCATTTTTTTACAGCGTCCAATGTTTGTTTTCTCTCGGGCTCTCCGCCTTCTCCGTGAATAAGCTGAACAGCAAAATAATAACTTTTGTGCTAAAAGAAGAAAAGAAAATGATAACACCCGAAAGCGCTAAATACAAACAGAAAAAATAGTGGACTCGGATGGAGAGCCAAGGATAAATTTATAGTAAAGAAAAAGGACCAAGAAACAAGTACTGTAAAACACGATATTTTCGGTGTAACTTTAATTTCGGTGATTTCGGTAGAGAAAACAAGCACCTAAATTTAGATTACAGCTAAAAGGCACCAGAGTATGCACTGTATGCGCAGGGAACGCTGGTCGCCTAATTTTAAATTACACCTGAAACCTGGCAGGTCCCTGACACCGACATTTTAATACACCTAAAATGACATGTTTTACAGTACGCAAGTTGGAAGGCTGTTGGACTGCGCATCCAAGATGTGCTAGAGCTGTTAGCCAGTTAGTTGTAGAACGTCAGTACCGTCGGTCAGTGTCGTGCAATGTTATCGCATGAGCTGATTGTTTAGTAACTGGTGGTGTTAGTGGACATTATAGCGTAACTTGTAGTTTCTTGGTCCTTTTTCTTTACTAGAAGAAAATAGTAAAAATCATAAGCCACATAGAGCTAAATTTGCATCAGATAATAATTTGAATGATAACAAAAACCGAGTGAAAAAAAACCAAGAAAATCATACAAACAAAACAAAAATTTTAATAATGATGAAAACAAAATTAATATGAGAACCATTTCAGGCCAGCTCACACTCCGCAACGACCAGGTCGGCTAAACGGTGCTGGACGATCGCTGTAGGGTGTCGATGACCACGATGACAACAGCGGGGTGCTTGTCCGACAGGATGTTGCGCACGGACTCTTCACCTCTGCTGTCTGTGAGCTTCAGTGCACCGTGTCGGCCATCCTTGGATAGCATGTCAAGTGCAGAGCCAATCTTCCCATCGTGTACAGCTGCGGCAAACCGCCGGGCATGATCGTCTGCATCACGGGCTCGTGCCATGGTGGACTGTCTGGCAAGCTGCTGCTGAATTGTTCTGCATTCAGTCAGCAGGGCGTCAAACTGGCCATCATTCCATAGCTGCAGACGTCGGGTCAGGCACTCCACGTGCTCTCTCCACTCTAGCGTCTTGAACGGTTGCTGCAGCAGGAGTTGTGGGGCTGCCATAGCCGTTTTGATTGCGATTCCCTCGTAAGCGCTTGCACTGCCAAAGGCGGAGAGCAGTCGTGTGAGAAGGGTGACAAATTTCTCCCCTGCCGTCCCAGTTGGCACGTTAAACAGGTTGCCTGAAGTGCACGCACTCGGCATAGGATGCATTGATGATCTGGATGGATTCCTCGCGATCGAAGTTGGCAATGCTGAGGTTCAGCTCAGCTGTCCTGAAATCCGGGAGGGCTCCAATCACCTCTGGACCTTGACCAGGATGGGGCTCCACGGCCGTTTCCGGCTGGCTGGCACTTGCATTGGGCGAACCGACCAGTTGCTGTTGGCTTTGGTCTAGTTCGGCTAGCAGCTGGGCATCCACTCCCAAAGAAGACTCAGGAGCACATATTGCAGCAGGTGGTGATGCTGTCGCTTCAGCACATTCCAGCGTATCCCACGCAAACTGCTGGGAGTTCGATACTGAGACATCAGCCGTTGACAGCGCCGCGGCTAGCGCAGCGGAAGTAATCTCCTCGGTGGTCGCTGCCTTTACTGGTACCGTGGTCGACGGCTCTGTTGATCTGTTCGGTGTTGCTGTACCTTTCCGTTCGTGTCGGTTTGTTTCTGTACTCCCTGTATGAGAGTACTCACACTACGTGTGGTACTACAACTATCCTCGACCGTCGGCGCTGTACAATCCCTCCTGGGTGGTACAGGTACAGCTAGGTAACGGAATTCTGACATTTCGAATTCCGGCTTGGTGTGCAGTTCGTGCACGGGCGTTTCTCCTTCACACACATACAATTTCGACAAGTGCCGCTGCCATTACACCGGCAGCATGGGCCCTTAGCAGCAGTCTGACCACCTGGTGGCCCCGTCATACTGTCTGCCATTCCGTCAAAACATTGTGCGAAAGAAGTGTCGCCAGGCTACTGAAACTGCAAAACCGCCGGAGCTCTAGAAAACACAACCTTGTTACCCGTGTACTCTGAAAAAAAAAGTATACATACCTGTTAACCATGGACTACTTCTGGCTAGATTTACTCTTGTGTGATTACGGTGCTAGTGAAGCTTATATCAGATCCACTCTGATCTAGCCACCCACACTAGTACTAGCAAGTATTACCTTCACTGGGGGCAGGGGTAAATGAAGTTGGATCCCGGGACAGATACCCTGATGCCGTCAATCCTTTTTCTGCACCTTGTCCTCACCCACTTACTGTGGTATGGTGAGCCCATAAGTGGGAGCTTTTCCAAGTCCACCCAAAGTTTGGCGATTTCAGGGGGTATCAGTCGTGGGGTGGTTCAGTAGTAGGGGTAAGCGGATTATGCTCGGCAAATGACCAGATTATGCTCTAGCGGATGTTCGCAGGATGCTTGAGAAAACAGCCAATTATGCTTTTATATGCTTCACCAAAAAGGACCAAAAGAACAGATAATAGTCATGAAAAAATGACTCAGACCATTGTCATGATGTGCACTGGTAGCTTTGTGGAAGTACAAGACAATAATATGCAAGAGGAATACCAAATTCACAAGCAAACGCTGAACGTTTGGGAGATGTCCTACATGTATAGTGGCTGCTAAAATATTATTCCAAATCGGCACTAAAAGCGCTATGTATGGTCCTTCAATAGCAGCTGTGTATATAAAAGCCTCATTGGGCATCTACCCTTGTTTTTCGGATGCCATTTTATGCTCCTCAAATAGGACCTGATTATGCCAAAATTATGCTGGCATAATCCGCTTACCCCTATTCAGTAGCCAATGGAGTCATCTTTCCAAGATTCCTTTTGAGTCTCTCTCCCCTCTCCCGGGGAGACCCACGTGACCAGTTTTGGCAGTGAGCAAGTGCAGTGTGTGTGTGTGTGTGTGTGTGTGTGTGTGTGTGTGTGCATGCGTGCGTGCGTGCGTGTTGTGTGTGTGTGTGTGTGTGTGTGTGTGTGTGTGTGTGTGTGTGTGTGTGTGTGTGTGTGTGTGTGTGTGTTGTGTGTGTGTTGTGTGTGTGTTGTGTGAGCGTTGTGTGAGTGTTGTGTGAGTGTTGTGTGAGTGTTGTGTGTGTTGTGTGTGTGTTGTGTGTTGTGTGTGTGTATGTATGTGTATGTGTGTGTGTGTGTGTGTGTGTGTGTGTGTGTGTTTGTGTGTATGTGTGTGTGTGCCTTTTTTGTTGTTAAATGGTACAATTGCGGCACGATTTACAGTGCATTGCATGGTTTGCACTGCCATTATCTTCGGAGGTGGGTCCCGGTTCTAAAAGTGTGTACATCTATATTTACGTATGTACACCTTTGTGCTGTGAGTGTGAGTGTGAGTGTGCTTGTCTTCGACTTGAAAAGTAGTTATATGAAAGGCTTAGGCAAAACAAAAAGTTATGCCTTTTGTGCTTCGTGTGTTGGTTTGCTTCTCTCCAACCAAAAATCTATTGAATGTGTGTGTGTGTGTGTATATGTGTGTGTACGTGTGTACGTGTGTGTGTATGCATGTGTATGTAGAACGTAAAGCTAACTCGGCCACCGGCACAGGTACCGCCAGGCTCTGTTGCACCGTTTCACTGGCAGCGCACAGACTATGACCAAGTCCTGTGTGTTCGCATTGCCAACTTTCCCGACTGCCGCTGGTCTGGAGGTTTTCAAATCGACAAAGAGAACTCCCTTCACATCATTATGAGGTAAGACCTGGGATGTTTGAGTTACTTTTTTTATTTTAAAGCTCGTGTGAAGTTCTGTGAACCCATGTCGCTTTGACTGCTATCAAGGAGAAGCTGCTTGATTGGTGTATGATTGTCAGGCGCGTAGCTCATGCATAGTCAGCGTAGTCTGGTCATCTCACCAGCAAATGGCCGTCATAGGTACTGCATAGTCTAAATAGTCAAAACGACAGCGATGAGGTTGCCGGTGGACAGCGGTGGTACATGGTCACCACACCACGGATGTGCTCTTATACATGGTCACCACACCACGCATGTACGAGCTATGCCCCTGGTTGTGGATACTCTGTTGAGTTCCTGGGAAGAAGTTAGCGCTTTGGTTGCTCACTGCAGTATCTGCTGTTGTTGCCATACCAGGGCGTATCCAGGGCGTATCTGTTGAGTACTGTGCAGCGGTAGCAGTAGTTCCCGATTTTGTTTTTGTTTTCTGTTCAGCAATGGCAGCGTTGACATGTAAACTGTGATGTGTACTGTGAACTGTGATGTGTACTGTGAACTGCTGTGCAATGAAGTCGCTACTTAGGGCATGTTCGATTGGTAAGGATCGGGATCGGGATCCAGATCTCAGATCCCTCGGATCCTTCAGATTCAACTGAACACTTTATTTTGGACCTTGACTGTTGCCATGTTGAAAATGGCGCTCACAAGGCACCCAAAAGGGTGAACGTCGTACTCATCGCGCGCATCGTACGAAAAGTCAACAAGCTCCACGTGTGCGTACCACAATGTGTACAAACATGATTTTTACCCGCCATATACGCACAAAGGTCACATTTGGATCCAAATCCGAAGGATCCGGATCCGGATTCGACCAATCGAAAGGGTGCGAATCCAGTGGATCCGGTGGATCGGGATCCCGATCCCACCAATCGAACATGCCCTTACCCTCCTGACATGATCCGTGTCCATAGTTTGTTGCTACTACTACTTACTGGAGTATATGGGAGCCATGCTGTCTTACACTTTGTGAATATCCATGTTGATGCTGCCGTGCTGTCTTGCATGCAGAACACGCAATGGTCAGAGTCTCTTCCTTCGCGTCGACGTTGTCCTGCGCAATGCTACGTACGTGGTCGGTTTCTACGATGCAAGGCAGTTACCTCCACCGCTGAAGATTGAGAACCTCTCGCCGGTAAGTATGATACTGGTACTCTATCTATTGATTGTCTTCATCCCCGTTGATCAGTATCAGCCAGGGAGTAGTAAGTTCATTGTGTGCCTGGTGTTGTGTTTTCCAGGTGCCGTTGTATTTCAGTCAACGTGGTGTTCCCGATGGCACGCTACGCACACTGCTCAACGCCTATCAATGTGGTATGTTGTTACAGCGCCATGTAGCCATGTACTGCACTGTTGAGTAGGAAGCCTTGTGCTCAGCCACGAAGTATCCGCCTGGCATGTAAATATGTGTAGTGTTTACGAGTTGGCATTGCATGCAACTACGTATCTAGTCGCTCCATGTGTTCATTTAGCCTGGTTACCTACTGATTACTCTAATTTCAGAAATTTTCGGTGCTCGATGTTTTCGGTATGAGGGCAAAAGGCCAGGTTAGGTGAACAGAAATTTTCGGTACAGAGAAGCAGTTCCCTATTGGATTATGTGTGTTAGTTTGTTCGGTGTATTGAAATTTTAGGTATGAAACAGACGCACCGAAAGTACCGAAAATTAGTGAAATTACAGTATGCCTCCTTTGCTCTCTTGCTCTCCCCTCTTTCTCTCCTTCCTTTTTCTTCCTCTCTCAGTTTGTGTACTAATTTGCTGGAGAGTTTGATCGCACCATAAATGAACACTATCAGTATGTGTGTACCGGAGTAATAGACTCCTGGTTAGATGAGCTCACACTCGGCCAAAACAGTATTTAGGATCACTACTGAGGGCAGTCGTTGTAGTAGTGTAGTCCTAGAAATGTGTGTATAGATTCTTGGCTGGAGGAAAGCAAATCAGCACACGAAGCACAGAAGCCATATAGTTTTGACTAGGCCTTTCGTACCATTACTGTCTGACCGCCAAAGTGCCGGTTATAAGGACATGTTTGCTACCTTGTAACTAGTAATCACCATTGTATTTGACTTGAAAAGTAACGGTACGAAAGGCCTAGTCGAAACTATATGGCTTTTGGGCTTCGTGTGCAACATAAACAATGTGTATGCATGCGTGTGTGCATGTGATGTACATATCTTTTTTTATGTTTATTTGTTTTGCTGACAGTGTCATATGCATGGGATGAGCCCATGGGAGGCCAGGAGTTCCGCATTGAGATTGCACACGGCGGCCATTACGGTTACTACGATGCACAGGAGTTTGGCGAGAAGGAGGGTCTGTACTATGACAACAATATCTATATCACAGTCAGCTGTAGCTCTCCACGGTATGTGTGTGTCTGTTGTGTGCGTGTGGTGGTTTGGCGCTAAAGTAGAGTTGGCATGTGGCAAATTAAACTTCGCAGGGAATAATAAATTGTTCTCAGTCAACTTCGGCATTGTCACTCTATTTTGAACACATTTGGTTAGTCTCTTCTGCATGCTGTAGCGCAACGTTGTATTTTTGGCATTGTATTGAGATTGACTACACCTTAGCTCAGTGGTTAGAGCATCGCTGGCCTCAAGCGAAGGTCCCTGGTTCGAATTCTGGTGGTGACAGTCAATTATTTCTTCAGACTTTTCCCGTTTGTGTCTTTCCCTCAAACCAATGAATGTTGAGATTGACTAAGCATGTTTGTTTGTTTGCTGTTTGTCTGCTTTTCCCAGTCACCCTCACCATGATGAGTATGCATGTGTGTCACGGCAAGCCTCTCCGTCAGAGCTGGTGCTTGACGTGCCCCAAGGCAAAGCAGTCATCTTCAGCAAAAAGGCAAGTAGTGTTTTTTTTAAATAATTGCAGTGCTGGAAACCTCTAATTTGATGTTCCTTCGTGGAGTACTAAAGGCTTTGGGATTCCTGACTTATGACTAAGTCAATGGCAGATGCCCTACAGCCTGACTGTCGGTATGCCATAGGTGATTCTGTACTTTAGTAGTGCTGTTGTAGAGCCCCTTATCTGCATGTACAAACCTCCTCGTAACCAGGTCTTGTCCAGGCCGTGCGGTGGACATCATTGGTATGAAGTCACCAGAAAGGGGGTTTCCCCCACTGGACTAAGAGGTGTGTTCTAAGAATGTCTCCTTCTCTGTTGTGGCTGCGTGCAGGATCCCAAACGGCGCACGCAGCTGTGGAGAGTAACGACCAGAGGTCGGCTGGAAAACATCGGCCTGTCTGAAGGTGTCAACACACCGCGCGGTCTGAACGCGGGCAATAGCACAAGCAGCAAGAAGCGTGTCAGTATAGTACTGGATGTCATGTCAGGTATGCTCCTGTCTATTGGTGTTGTGTTGCCCCATTCATAAGTACAGCCAGACCTCGCTTAACCGCACACATTTGTTTTCCACAACAACATCCGGATAGGTGGGGGAACCGGATAATCAAACACACATACTGTATGTATGCATGGCATATGCTGTAAATCGGTAACCAACGATTTTCTTCCGGATGGCGATGGATCCGGATAAAAGAGGACCGGATAAGCGAGGTCTGACTGCATTAGATATGCTCCTCTCTAGACTGCCGGCTTGTTGAAGTGTTGTTAGTTTTGACCTGCTCTTTTTCTTCCGATGTTTCCGATGTGGGGAGTGCGCTCTCGTGTGCCTGTGTGTCTGGCGTGTTTTTTGGCTTGCATTCTGACTGTAGTCGTGTGTGCGCGTATGTGTGTGTTCGTGTGTGTGTGTGGGGGGGGGGGGGGTGTATGTGTGTGCACGTGTGTGTGTATGTATATATCAGTGGGTGGTGCAGGTACATCCACCGGAAGAGTGTATAACCGTGCCAGTGCACCACTTCAAGTAGCAGTCGCTGATGAGGCTCGATCAGCCACACAGACATGGTCCTTCACTGAGGTAGGTGCATGGCATTGCCAGTACAGTACATGTATGGGCATACCTAAATGTACCAGAATGCCTCTTATACATGTATGCCTGGTGACCCTACCTAAAACTATACTAAATTGAAGAGGAGGCATCACTCCTTCATTCTATGCATAAAAACAGGGTGTCCATGGACTTTTCCTCCTTTAGGTGGGAGCCTCCTTAATTTATGTGTTGCCACATCAAGCTCAAAGGGGCTCAGACCCCAATCTTGTGATATTTCTAGTTTAGAAAAGCATGCAATGCTGCATCAGATTTGTGCTCCATGGTTAGTGTGTGATAATAGTAGGTTGAATGTACAAACGTGGTATGGAGCCATCCGTCACACTTTAGCCACATTGGAGGCAAAGTGGTCACTAAGCTCCTGTATTGTGGCCACATGTTTCCGTATCGATGGGGATGGACTCTGCCAGGCTCCTCCGAAAAAAGGCTCCAATGCCATTGTGGCTGACAGGCTGATGTAACGTTGACCCGTCTTGTGCTCTTGCATGCATGTGTGTGCGTGTGTGTGTGTGTGTGTGCGTGCGCGTGTGTGTGTGTGTGTGTGTGTGTGTGTGTGTGTGTGCGCGCGCGCGTGTGCGTGCGTGCGTGTGTGCGCGCGTGCGTGCGTGTGTGGATGTTTTCAGGATGGGCGATTGTCCTGTGGTACACTGTATGTACAACCACTGGATGGCATGCAGGGCTTGCAGCCAGGTAAGGATGCACTGGTACTTTGTGATTGTGCAGCTATGCTACCTGTGTAAATACATGTACTTGAATTGTGGATGCAAGATCCAGGTTGTGTACATGCATGCGTTTAGACGTGATGCTTACGGTGTCTGCTATGGAGACATGCAAGGAAATCATTTTGCTAAATTATCACTGCTGGTTTGAAACCCAAGCTGGATTTCGTCCAGGTCGCTCAACCGCTGATGGTGTATTTTACACAAGGTCGCTGTGTGAGCGGGCCTTGCTTGGCAACTGGACATATTCCGTCACCCTTCTAGATTTCTCTGGTGCTTTTGACACTATAATTCGCACCACAGCACTTGACAGGTTAGAGGAAGCAGATATCAGCACAACAACCATCAAGTCTCTACTTCCAACACGACAGCCAGGATCAAGCTGAGTGGCTCCCTGAGTCCCCCATTCCCAACTAACATCGGAGTGGTCCAGGGAGACCCGATGTCCCCTATGATGTTCATAACATATGCAGAAGGCACAATGCGCAAGATCAGGGAAAGATGCACAATTCGCTCACCAATGCCTGCTCCAACAACGCAGTACGCTGACGATACTACTCTGCATAACCGAAATGACGATGAGGCGAAGGCTCTTGTTGCTGAGTGTGAACCTATATTTAACGAAGACAACCTCAAGCTCAATACACAGAAAACTGAATATGTTGATGTTACAAGAAACAGCAACGAATGGAGATCAATCAAACTCCTGGGTTCTCTATTGGGCTCTGCAGAAGACGTGGACATGAGAATCTCAAAAGCAAACAGGGCGTTTGGTTCGATTTCTTGGAGACGGCATTCCTTTCAATCCCCACTGTGTATGTTTAACTGCCTCATAATGCCGATCCTTCTTACAATTGCGGATTGTGGACTCTGTCCGAATTGCTGAACGACAAACTGGACAAATGGCAACGGAGGAAGCTACGCGTACTGCTGCAGATTGTCTACCCGCAACGCATCACCAATAACAACTTATACACAGAAACAAAACAATCTCCAGTTAGTGCCACATGCCGGCGACGCAGGCTGCTGTGGTTTGGCCATGTGGTGCGAGAGGGTCCAGAATCCGCCTCGTTCCAAGCACTGGACCTATCAATCAACACAAACGACATAAAAAAAACGTGGCTGTCCGCCATTGCGGTGGATAGATACGATTCGGCACGACCTAAAGGCAGCGGATCTCTCCGTGGAGAGCGCTCTCCAAGCTGCAGGAGATAGACTAACTTGGCTTGACACTGTTGACAGATGCGTCGACTCTGCTCCTGTCTAACAGGTCCAGGGAAGATGCGAGCTGTGTTTATTATTATTATTATTATTATCACTGCTGGTAGTAACAGTTAATCTAGTTGCAGTGATTATTTCCACGACTCTTGTCTTGTGTGACTCGATTTGATGTTGTGTGGTGGTGAATTATATTCTTTGTTCTGTGTGTTTGCCCTTGTACATGTGTTTTTGTGTGTGTGTGTGTGTGTGTGTTTGTGTACATGTGTACGTGTGTGTGCACGTGTGTGTGCACGTGTGTGTGCACGTGTGTATGTCTCTCTCTCTCTCAGGTGCTGATGCCGCAGCCGGTCCTTCTCTTCTTCACGGGCACAGGCGAAGTAGCGGCAACGGTTGGGGCAGCGCAAGTAACCCGTGTCTGGACGATGGAGGACCTCCTCTGTGTCAGATGATGTCCGCGCAGCGCCAACTGCCTGGCTCCGGAGCACTTGCCATTCGCCTGCACCCAGCCGGTCCCACTCGCGTCCTGCAGATCTTTGACATGCAGGACAAGCGCTTGCAACGTGGCACTTCCAGAGAGGATTGGGTCACTATCGACACACAGAAGGTTGCGTCTCGCAATCTTGTTGTCGGCGAGTACAGGGCAGCAGCGGAAGCAGGCACGAGTGTGGATGATGAGCCGGATTCTAAAGGAACAGAACTCAAGGTAGGGGGACGTCGTCACATACCAAACTTTGATTCAAATGAAAAGTAATTTCCCTGTGCAGAACAAAACATTCAATCTCCGGACAGCTACTAAAGTTAGTAGCTGTTTCCACCTTGTCAGATCTCATCAGCGGAGCTCACAGTCACTGACCGAACCGATCACAATGAAGTCTTGTGAACAAGATTTTAAGATAGGTTCAAAGCATCAAAATCAGAATGCTCTAACTGCGAGAAACACAGCAAGCTTCGCTTGAGTCCAGGTAACTTTCACGCTGCAGATTACTACTAAGTTTAGCTGCTAATGGAGATGTACGTTTTGATATTACACTTGCAGGTTATTGTTCGACTTGCTGGTGGAATCGGTGTTTCTTTGGTCAATCGGAATGTGGATGAGCTGTGCTTCCTCTCCTTGCTTGGAATAGAGGTGAGTGCAATGGTTGTGTCACTTGTGTGCATGCCTGTTTGTGTGTTCAAGTGTGTGTGTATGTGCAAGTGTGTGCAAGTGTGTATGTGTGTGTGCACGAGTGTGCAAGTGTGTGTGTGGGGGGGGGGGGGGGGGGGGGGGTGTATGTGTGTGTATGTGTGTGTGTATGTGTGTGTTTTTTTTCTACAAAATCCACGGATGTCCAGACACTGTAGTGAACAAAGGAGTGTGGTGGTGGTGGTGGTGGTGGTGGGGCCCATTAATAGCTTGATAGACGCACCAAAGAGAGATCGGGTGGAGATCGGGTGGGGAGAATTAAATAAAAAGATTGTATTGCTCAGTAAGCAAAACACTAAGTTGAGTATTGACGCGAACACTTTTAGACTTATTTCAAGAGGAGACTGACTGGGAGGAGAGATGCTGTCCAAGCTGGTTAGGTGACTGTACGCTCTTAATCGCGTATTCTGTGGGTGGCCCAGTGCCAGTTCGTTCTGAGGAGATAGTGATAAGCTGCTGTCTTGAACTTTTGGATGTTCTTTGGGTGGAACGGGTGGGGAATACTCCATCACCGGCCAGACAAAGGCATTCGAAGTCGGGCAGGAATAGTGATCAAGCGAAATGCCTTGTGCAAGTCTCCAAATCTCTGCGTTGCTCAGACTGCAACGGTCCTGAGATGCTAGCTAAATTTTAGCTGTTGGTCGAACGTGATGCCGAGTACTTTGATGGAGGGCTGCTCCTCATTTGGCTGACTCGAACAGCACTTTCCAATCGGAGCCCCAGCGGGACACGAGGTCAACAGCCGCCTGGAGTACACTAGCATTGTCAGAGACAGCAGCCAGAGTTGTGATTTCGGCGTATAGTGTGGTATCGTCGGCGAATGAGACGAGGTTGGAGCCGATTGGAAGGTGGCCTTCGAGGTCGTTGACGTAGATCAAGAACCAGGTGGGGCCCAGGATACTGCCCTGTGGCACACCAGCCTTAACTGGACGTCTGGCTGATGTCTGGCCTCAGATGAGGACTTGGAGTGAACAGTCGCAGAGGTAGTCTTGGAGCCACCGATGCAGGTGTCACGAGATGCCATAAACTTCAGCCTTGTGCAATACACCAGTGTGTGACACCCGGTCAAATGCACCAGCAATGTCAATGACCAGCACTCGAGAAGCCCCCTTTCTTGCCTGCAGTGTACACCCACTGGTGTTGGAGAGCAGTCAGCAGGTCTGTTGCACTGTGGCCACGACGGAAGTCAAATTAGCATTCTGACAGGAAGTGATTTGTCTCCATGAAGTTTCTGACTGTCCTGTTGACTATAGTCTCCATGAAGTAACGTTGCTGATTGCCCTGTTGACTATAGTCTCCATGACCTTGGATAGGATGCTCAGTAGCGATACTGGTCGATAGTTGGATGGCGACGATTTTGACTTACGCTTGTGGACTGGAACAACGTTTGCAACCTTCCGCTGTGGTGGCTGGATGCCGGTGTGAAGACGGCATGTAAAAAGCTTTGAGAGTGGCCTTGCCATTTCTGCAGAGCAAGCTTTCAGGACTCGGGCAGAATTCCCATCTGGCCCAGTGGCCTTGGTGGGGTTGAGCTGGCAGAGGGTTTACTCGACTGTGGTCTTGCGAAACCGGACGGTGCAGAGGTTGCTGTCAGTGCGTGGTCGGGCATGGGGAAATGGGGCAGATAGGTCGTCAGCCCCTTAATTAAAACTGCATTTGTTGGCGAAGTGTTCAGCCATGCACACTGCTTTGCTGTGGTTGGTGTCATGCTCGGTACTATCAGTGTGTGGGGGGGGGGGTGTGTTGGGTGTGTGTGGATGCGTGCGTGTGCGTGTGTGTGTGTGTGTGCGTGTGTGTGTGCGTGTGTGTGTGCGTGCGTGTGTGTGTCCTGTGTTCGTATGTGCATATCTTACTCTTGGCGGTTGTACATTATGTTGCGTGATGGACTACCGGTGCAAATATGGGCATATGGTTTCCATGACTGGTTCATGCCAATACAGTCATGTAGAAGGTTTGGAGCATACTTGTACCAGAGTTGATGTGTGGATGTACGGCTGATGCCCCCTGCATGGTGCCATGTTTTGCGGCTGATTCGAATGTCACCTTTTAGGACGAACTCCATGTTATAAATAGGGGTTTAATGAAATCATCACACATTTTTAATTGTGTGTTGCTCCCTACGTGGGAGCCCATGCTTTCCCTGCCAACTTGAATTCTCATGTAGGGAGCAACACACTATTCCTCTAGTATTTCCGGAGTCGCCGCAACCTCTTCTACACATTTTAATGTCTTACCCAATGCTGTAGACAGCAAGCTGTTGCGGCCATCTAGGCCTCATCAGTACAACTAAGAGATTTATGTAAGCCGAGCTACCAGCCATGGTGCAAAAGTGGGACCACAGACATTTTAAAGATAGCCCGTCGTTCTAGCGCCAGAGTCCTCAAACTAGAAAAAGTAGCGAGCTGTGCATTTTTTAAGTCTTATGAAGTGTGTGTGTGTGTGTGTGTGCGTGCGTGCGCGTGTGTATTCATGGTGTCCTTGTCATTCTCCTTGTCGTCGCTGTTGTTGTGATGTTCCTTGTAGGTTGATGTCATGGCAACCAAGGCAAGACATTCTATTGAGGCGTCAATACAGCAACTGCAGGTAGGTCAGGCCAGACAAAGGCATAACATTGACTTTCACAGAACCCATGTGTACTGCGTCGTGTGGAATCAATGCTTCTACTTGCCTGCAATGCTTCACAACGTTGACAATACTTTGAAGTGCAACCAATGAGCTGCAGGATCTTCCGCAGATGCAGAGTGGTGGCTGTTGCACGCATGTAGCTCGCGTATGCAAGGCTGCATGGCATCTCGGCCTCTGCTTTTCTTATAATATACTTCAAGTAACACTATCTGGATATAGCGCTGGTCACTATTTGTACATCCCGTCTCTTAACGCATCAACATGTTTAGTAACATGATGTGGAGAGGTCCATGTACTTCTAAATCTTCCATTGTTGTTCTTCTTCTGCTGCCATTCCTGTTCAGATTGATAACCAGATGACGTCAGCTCATCGTCCAGTGATTCTATCACGCACTTCACAGCCAGATAATGATAGGAAAGGGCCACTGCAACCGTGCATTCGCATCACAGCAACACAACTACCCAGCACGTCTGCATGCACACAGCTGTTCGAGGTTGGTAATGGTTGTGCGTGTGTGGGTGTGTGCTTGTTCCTCTGTGAGCAGAACTTACATATGCATGCATGTGTGTGTGTGTGTGTGTGTGTGTGTGTGTGTGTGTGTCTGTGTGTGTGTGTGTGTGTGTGTGTCTGTGTGTGTGTGTGTGTGTGTGTGTGTGCGCGCGCGCGCATGTGCGTGTGTGCATGTGTGCGTGCGTGCATGCGTGCATGTGTGCGTTTCATTGTTTTCTGGTGAGGCGTATCTAACTCATACTTTGTGCACTCCAGAATCCACATCAGCTTAATTAAGTGTGCACTGTCACCTTGGTTGTGTGTGCGTTGTTTGTACTGCAGAAAGCAGAGGTTGTGGTGCAGCCGCTAACCGTGGTCCTGGAGGAGCGTCTTGTCCTTGCACTCGTTCAGTTTTCTGGTGCCGCGGAAGAAGTAGCCGACAAGGAAACGAGCGAAGACCTAGAGTTTGAACGGTTAGTGGTGTGTCTTGATAGCGCCACCTCTACTTTCAGTGTTTCTCAACACTATTGTGTAGCCAGCTGTAACGCAGACGTGCAAACTTTTTACTTTAAAAAAATAGATATTATGGGATATGAGTATATCACGAACCAAGTTCTATCTCAGGGGCGTCGGACATGCTGCGGTCACTGCGATATTGACCGTACCACTATATGCCCTGGGCATGGTAGATCTACCCTGTGAATCAATAAAAGGCACTGATGTGTGTGTGTGTGTGTATGTGTGTGTGTGTGTGTGTGTGTGTGTGCACGTGTGGGTGTGTGCACGTGTGGGTGTGTGCACGTGTGGGTGGGTGCTTGCGTATGTGTGTGTGTGTGTTCGCGCGCGTGCGTGCATGCATCCGTGTGTGCATGTATGTGTGTGTGTGTGTGTGTGTGTGTGTGTGTGTGTGTGTGTGTGTGTGTGTGTGTGTGTGTGTGTGTGTGTGCGTGTGTGCATACGTGCGTGTATTCGTGTGCATGTTTATGTTTGGTGAACACAGGAGTGTACCAATCATCTCTGCCACTCAGTCAAACAACAAGCACTACTACTTTGCTGACCTATTGCTCATCCTGAGTCCGTTGAAGCTCAGCCTGCTCACCAACAGCCGGCTACCTCCAGACTTGAAGAAGATCAAGAAGAAGAAGATTTTCATGCCGCTAGCTCAGTTTGAAGACGCCATGCTCTGGTTTGGTAAGGGACTGGACCTCATGCCTGCGAGGATAATATGTGCATGTTGTTACCAAGTGTTTATCATAGCCACTCGCAGTTATAGTACCGGTAATACCTGTCCAAGTGACCACTCTGATAAGGCGATTACCTGTCCCACAACCCTGTATAAGAAGACAACCTGTACCTTTCAGGTCTTTCTTGCTAATCTGCCGGCCATGTTTTGCTTTTGCTTCCATCTGTAGACCCTCTGAAACGCGAACATGTGTTTGAAACACAGGCAGCCCACATCAGCTACATGGTCGACTTTTACAAGCAGGTAAGGAAAAGGCGCTGAGTGATCCGGACAATTTACTGACAGTATACATGTAGTAATAATGCACATGTACAGAGACTCCCTCGATTTAGGCTAAGACCTGTGGAGAATCCATAAATACAAACACAATACAATAATAATATCCACTGAAATCTGACTGCTCACTTGAGAATTGCACTATGATTTTCATGGTGCAAGGTGATGACCTGGATATGAGTGTCCCCCCCCCCCCGGGTTTTGAAATTGATCTTTGGTGCATAAAGCTGGTAGGTGTATCCTCCTGCTACGCACGGCTACAACAGAATTATGTTTTGTTGTTGACATTGTTTCAGTACATTGTGAGTCAAGCGCCCAGCATTATTGCATCATCGGATCTCCTCGGCAACCCACTCGGCCTGTACAATGACTTCACGTCGGCTATCTCTGACATCTCCAAGCTGAACGTGGCCAGTGGGGTGTCGCATCTCACCCATGGCCTCAGTGACGCAACATCCAAGGTCAGTTGTGAACTTGCAATGCATGACGTACTTTCGAGGTAGTTGTGTGCTGTGTTGCAGACTATACATCATGCAGAGTGTTGTAACGGCTACCTCAGTCACATTCTGACCCAAACAAGGCTACAACGTTCTTTTCAGTGACTTCTGTGTTTTATGATCACCTGGATGTCCAGTTGGAGGCTTCAGGCAAACGTTTCAAAAACCAGAGTACTGTTTCTAACAGATTCTGCCTCAATGTTTAAGTTCACCTTTCCCAATTCACCCACAGAAATTCAGACGGTAAAGGAGCACAAACACCTAGGGGTAATGTTCAATTCATCCATGTCCTGGTCGGCTCATGTAGATTACATTTGTAATAAAGTCAGCCGTGCTCTTGGCTATATTAAAAGTCATTGTAAACATCTCTCTATTCCGTGCCGTTCCGCTATATATATAAAATTTATCTCCTTCCATTGTTTGAATATGCTGCCACAGCCTGGTGTGGCCTAGCTAAGGTCTTATCCGATTCCATTGAAGTTCATCATAAGAAAGTTCTAAAAAATTTGTTCTCGAAGAAACCTTCCTTTCCCTCCAATGCGTTGTACTTATTAGCTCAGACTACTCCGTTAGAGCAACGCCGACTAACTTGCCTCCGTATATTGGTTCATCGAATGCTCTTGGGTTGTGTTCCTGAACATATAAAGCCTTATAACTGGTTTGTTTCGGGCCGCTCAACCAGAAACAAAGTGTCTCTTCCCAAGGCCAAGTCAACGCAATTCACAAGATCGCCATTCTTCCAGGGCTACTGTGCATGGCTACAACTTCCCGACTCAGTGAAGACTTCTGCATCATTGAAAGAATTTAAAGTGAATCTGAGGGCCTGCTGATGACTGAGTGCACCATAATAATAATACTTGCAAGTAAAAACTAATCAATATAGCTTTTCGGCTGTTTCCTTTTCATGTATATAATCTTCTCCTTCTTTTACCATGGTTGGCTATCACCCACATCTTCCCGTTTTGGCTGCCATCGGAAGCCATAAGATGTTGAATAAGTAAATAAAATGATAGCCTGTAGCGTCAAAAGCTACCCAAGCACATTCCTGAAGCTGCATTGACGATGACAATGTGTTCCGTTCTTTCCTCGTTTTCACATTTTCATCTTGCAGCTTACTGGTGTTGCGTCGGATGTCCTCGGCCAGGTGACCATGGATAAGTCCTACCAAGATGAGCGTTCACAGCTGACTGAGAGCTGTCGCAGTGGCAGTGATCACTTGGCAGCTGGTATCGCCGGACTGGCACACGGTGTCATCGGTGGTATCACCAGTATTGCGCAACAGACCTACCAGGGCAGTGTCAACGAAGGAGTCACGGTCAGTAGAGAGCACTGCTGTGTACACACGCGCGTGTGTGTGTGTGTGTGTGTGTGTGCGCGCGCGCGCGTGTGTGTACATGTGCATGTGTGCGTGCGTGCGTGGGTGGGTGAGTGTGCTTGCGTTCTTTTTCTTGTCGGCCGGCCGCGTAACTCAACCAGGGAGCAATAGAAAACTAGTAACTGTCTCTTCGGAATGGACGTGGTGCTTGCACAATTCTCCACCTCATGATTCTGATCAACACTCCCTAAGTACTTTACACCACTAAAAAGAACATATCCTACTTTTAACTGGTTTAAAACCACACAACACTAGTAGAATTCTAAAAGCCAACTGAATTGAACGCGTGTAGCTTCTGGCGAATACTTGTAGGACGTATGTGAAGTGAAGGGAAGTCCAATGCTGTAGAGAAATATTTGGAAACGTGGCCAACCTGGGAGAAATGTTGAGTCTCCATGGCTGTAGTTTAATTTTCTTGATCTCCATTGATGACTGCATGCGCAGGGCTTCATCTCCGGCTTTGGCAAGGGTATTATCGGTACGGTCGCCAAACCTGCAGCGGGTGTGCTAGACTTGGCCAGTGGCACAGCGGCCGCGCTACGCCAGACCACCAAGAGCTCGTCGTTGTCTGTACCGCCCGTACGCCAGCGCCGCTGCCTGGCAGGCCTTGGCGGCGCGCTGCCCAGTTTCAACGAGAAGTCGGCGATGGGCCAGCAGCACCTCATGCAGCTGAACAACGGAAATGTCGATGAAACGTACGTGTCAGTATACTCAATACGCGTGTGCAATCACTCTGTCAATCGCCCTGTCGCATTGATTATTTTATTGTGAAGTGTGAAATCGTCTGTTTAATGCTCTGTCGCAATATTTTATTGTGAAGTGTGCAATCGTCTGTTTTAATGCTCCTCGTGTACATACGTACTGCTTACAAGAGTACGCTATGACTGGACACCTTGACAAAACTGTTGCTGCTGCTCCTCCTCTGTTCTGTTCCTCGTTCAGGTTTGTGGCAATGGAATGCTTGCGCAGTACCAATCATGACAGAATGTCGGCTATTATTTCCACTGAGCAAGTGTTCTTTCTCGGCAAGAAGAGTTCACAACCTGAATCCATTGTGCTGCAGGTCCCCATGGCTGATTTGAAGTACGCACAACCAGGCTGCATACAGGGAAAGGGTACGTATTCACCTGGGAACAATGCGTTCCATGTGCGTATGTGTGTATAGTTTGGGTGCATGTGTGTGTGTGTATATGGGTGTGTGTGTGTGTGTGTTTGTGTATGTGTGCATGCATGTATGTATGTGCGTGTGTGTTCCTTTGCTTGCACGGATGCATGTTTGAACCCACGCATATGCACCTGTATAACACTCTGCAGACAAACAAACTGAACTGTGTCTTCCGTACTGGTTTGTGCAAATGAGTCAAACATGCCAAATTCATCGTAACGGAAGCATTTCACTTCAATGCAGACAAGACTCATCCGAAACTGATCACAAGCTCAAGGTTTCTCACGATCAAGAAATAAACATCCCTAGTGGTTCATATTCTCAGGGGAGATTTCTTTGCAGGAATACGGTATGCATCATTCAAACTGTCTCGAGTGCTTGACACTGACTGGTTGCTTGACACTGACTGGCTGCCTGACCCTCACTCTGGTTTCTACTGGTGACTGATATGAAGATGTGTTCCGTGTACATGTAGCTGGATGCCAAGCTTTGCTTGCGGTTGTGTTTGATCCTCTGTGTGATCCTATGTGCACAGGCGGTACATCGACTGCATACTATGTATGCCTGTACCTGCACTCTCCACAGCAGCCGACTGACAGCACAGGGATGGGTGGCTCCAAGTCGTCAGCAGTGTCGGCATCATCGTCGTCGTCGTCGTTGGCATCGAGCAACGCCGCCCGAGTGCCTCGCGTCCGCTGCTCTCAGGAGAAGCTGGCCAGCAAGGTACTGTTTTCACCAGTTTCTGTGACTGTTTCTCACCACGTGCATGTGCGCGCACGCGCGCGCGCGCGCGCGCACACACACACACACACACATACATACCTGATCCTGGTCCTGGTATACACTGCCATGTAGGTCACGTGTTTCTCGTTGAGCAAGACGAAGACGAGAGGAGGCATGGGCGCTGGTGACGGGATAAGTCGTTTTGCCTTTTGAAACGCCTCTGGCAATTTTTGACATTGCACTGAAACTTGCCCCTTTCGTCAGCAGTTGGGCGCCTGGTGGATCGGTTTCAGTCGTGGAGAGCAAAGCCCCGGATCGACTTGCAGCAACGTTCACAAATGGGACAGTGAGCGGTACAGCACGGTTTCCGAATACATAGGCGCGCAGGTGAAGAGCGTACAGGTGAAGAGCTTGTGGTCTTAGCAACATTCGGGGCAGAACTGGATTGGGCACAGCGATGGACTGCAATGCCACCCGCACTCCGAAATCATCGGTGACACTGGGAGCACTGGCGGCTGTTGGCTTGCTGCTGGACTGGTTTATGCCATTCCATGATGCACTTGTGGCACGCGATATCTTGCTGCCGAGCAAATACACGATGGCACACCTCACAGACTTTCTCCCGGGTCGGTTTCTGAGCTGGTTGTATTGCTCGATAAGCTTGCCGCCACTTAGATCGTTCCTGCGCTGTGTCAAGCCATGACTCGTCGGCGATATTTATTCGTAGCAGATCGACCCTAATTGTGTCTCGCCATCGTTTCCGCGGGCCACACGCTGGGCGTGGCGGCAGCAATGTGCCAAACAACAACATCTGCGGCATCCGCTCCTCAGACATGCATACCACGTGCCCAAGGCAATCCAGTCTTCTCTGGCATATCCAGTGGGTTTGCTGGATTCCATGTTTTTAGGATGGTGTCCTTGGCTATCTTCAAGTCCCACACATCCCGCTCTGTAACACTCATGATAGAAAGGAGCGACCGGTAGTACAGTAGAAAGATGTGATCTGCTGCGCATCGCTTTGCAGTGGCACCCACGTCTCCGCACAATAGAGCAGTAAGGACAGAACACAGGCCTTGAAAACCAGACGTTTCGTGCGAAGAGAGAGAGAGAGATTGTGGTCATTGAACACCGCATGACGGAGCGATCCAAAAGCATGGGAGACAGATGAAACACACACACACACACACACACACACACACACACACACACACACACACACACACACACACACACATTCACACATGTGCTCACACACACACGCACATACACGTCGCACACGTGCACGCGCAAACTGCAAAGTATCTTTGTCCCGTCCCCTCTCTTTTGTCCGCCCCTGTTGATCTACTGTCTGCCAAGTGCTTCAGCATGACTGCTATTTGTGCCTACAAGTAGGTTTGAGTGTGTGCATACAGCCTGAAACAAGGGATGCTATCTTTGGGGCCATCCGGGATACTGTTGTTTTTTTGTTTTTTTTTAAACGAAAAGTTGTAGTATTTTCAGCCCCACCCATTCTGCAGGTAAAATGAATTCCTACAAAAACTGATTTGAATCTTCGTCACCCAGTAGTAAATGGGCATTTTCCAAGTGCATTCAAATTTTAAATTCCAAAACGGAACTCCTAAAACCCACCCACCCCAATTCGTTTTGAAAATACTGTTGGTAACCTTGGACGGCCCCTTATCATGTGACTCCACGGTACATTGTACATGTATTATTATAACTGTACCGCTTGCAAAACTCCTTACCACTCTTCGGTGATGATTGGAGTCTGAAAGGCAAAGAGAAAGGGATAATTTGTGTACGAACAGCAATGCCTAGCTTTATTTTTGCTGTTGGATTTTGGATTTTTTGTGGGTAATGCTCCCCATTCTATTGTTGTTGCTGCTGCTGCTGCTGCTGCTGGTGTTGGTGTTGGTGGTGTTGGTGTTGGTGTTTTAGGTGGCCCAGGAGATCAACTATGCCAAGTCACTACACCAACAGCGCATGCTCATGGTCCCACTCTCCGATGCATCACCAGACATTTGGTGACAAACGTAACGTGCCTTCTCTGGCTTGTTTGTTTCTTTTTTTGGTGCTGAAATGTTTGTTGCCCTGACAACGTAATGACTGCAGTCCACTGTTTTTATGGCTGGCTTCTTTGAGGTATACATTCTTGAAAATTTTGTTTTTGATACTTTTCTTAGTTTCATCATGAAATATTATGGTCCCTACTCCCCTAGCCTGCACAAAACACAACTGTATGAAACAGATTGCTTTGCAAGTTCCAATTCCAATGTCCTAGTGCATTCATGACAGTAGAATCTTCATGGAACTTGTTCTTCCAACATTGGATACTCATGACATCTGGTCCTGCAGTGCAGACTAGTTTTTAGCTCTGGATTCCTCTTCGTAGGCCGTTGTTTTCTTTTCTTTTCTTTTTAACTGGATGAACTCATTTTTTATTTTCTTTCATGTTGTTTTCATGCTGCAGGTTGTACTTTCCTGATCTTAATGCGTGCGTTATTTAATTATGGATTCTGTCTGCTGTTGGCCTTCTTTTCATGCCAGGAAGACTATCAGTTGTGTTCCTTCGGGTCACGCTCCTCAAGTATTGACTCACCTTGCTATGACATTCAAGTATACAATCATACTCTCCACCGTGGCATGCTTCTCGGGAAGAACTTGTTATACGGTAATTGCATCCACATGTACTGCTACACGCACAGCACAGTACTACACGTACTGGTATAGAGTACTACTGTCAGGGGCAACGTCGGAAGGTAATTTAGTGTGGTACGGTCAGCCATCTGAAGTACAATTTACTCGTGTGTGAGGGGTGGCTGAGCCGAAAATTTGGAAAATTAGAGCCCAAATCAGTGCATGATATTGATTCACGGGTTACTTGGGTCAAATAGTGGTGCGGTCAATACCGTAGTGACCGTACCGTGTGCGACGCCCCTGACTACAACTCGTAGTGCAGTCAGTCATTTATCAGTTTATTCTTGCTGATACCCAAACAGTGTCCGGTCCGGGTGTCCTTAGTGTGCCCGGAATACTCGGAAGTTGGCAGTTTGGCTGGAGCGCCGTGTGGTCTCGTAAGGTCACATGAAAAGCCATTACAGTCGTCCCATAATGCCCTCTTCGTGCTGTAGCACTAATGGTGTCAGATCATAATGGGACCACTGTACTGTTATCAGCTGGGTGTGGGAACAATCATGGAAGGAGCCTAACACATTCACTCTCATTCAGAGTATAATAAGGACCGGTTGTTATGGCGGTAAAGAAATCCAACCTCATGAATAAAATAGCGGCGGGCGAGCACTACGCAGCCCTAGCATTACACATACATGTAGTGGTCTGTGCACTCGAACACGGCGCTCAGTACTTCATTCATGAGGTTGGATTTCTCTTGCCGGCACTGTAACCCGCCTGCAATCTGCATAGGTGGGTGATAGGTTGTGCCCAGTGCTAGTGATGAGCCTCGCCGGCCTGAATTTGTTGCCAACTTCTGATGCTCCCCGTTTGCAAGAGTACATGCCGTTTCAGGCGAGTGCTCGGCGATGGGCACGGGGGGCACGTGCACCCCCCAAAAATGTTCAATGTGGGTAATTGCAATTGTAATGTATGCAAATATGCTCTAAAATTCAAGAAAGGTTGCAAACAAATTGCAGAAAATTGCCGGGGGGACTCCCCTCGGCTCCCGTGCACCCCCCCCCCCCTAGTTGGGGGGCCGAGCACGCCCCTGCGTTTGTAATACCTGTTGTCATGACACCTATGGGCCCTGTGATATGATGTCCCCCTTCTCCTTCTCTCTACCTTACTTTACCGATATAATATTATTATTCTGTGCTGCTTTAATACTGTCTTTGGCTATGAATAAGTCCGGTGAGTTAGTGTAATACTGTACAGTCAGACCTCGATCGGTTAACCGCACACATCCGTTTTCCACAAAAATATCCGGATAGGCGAGGGAACCGGATAATCGAACACACATACTGTATGTAAGCATGGCATATGCTGTACATTTGTAACCAACTATTTTCTTCCGGATGGCGAGGGATCCGGATAAACGAGGACCGGATAAGCGAGGTCTGACTGTACCTCCAATAATTACTTATTTATTTCAATTTGGAGTGGAATAAAGAATCTTTTAAAATAATGATGTACATGTAGGTGACATCATGTACCAGAGATGTACCCTGGCCTTGGCTGCAGTCAGAAGTCCATTGGCGATAGCGCCAATGGCATCCTTCAAGTTATTGTTAGCCGTAGACACAGAGGTACAATAACAATATAGATCAACTTGAAAAAAGTCAAAAAGATGAGGCATACATGTATGATAATGAGGTATGATCACTGGAGACGACAAGAGTATCTACAGACTACAAACACAGTGACATGTTGTACATGTTATGTGAATATGTCTCACAGTACGGTAGTCTCTGACTTCATTATGACTGACCATGCATTGACCATGTTGACTGATGAAAAAAATACCATCGGACTCATACATTTTGTGGCCCAATGTCACAGGATGAGATCTACTACAGTGCTGGCACCTGAAATCCGACCCCCTTGGCGGGGCGGCGCCCCGCCAAGGTTGTCGGATTTCAGTTGCCAGCAATGTACATGTTGTCCCGGTACTGCCAGTCCATCGTCGGTGGTGCATGACCCGGTTCGCTTGCGTAGCTACGTATAGTCGTAGATCTACGAGTCGTATGTTTAGATCCAAGCTGCAGCAAATCGTGCATGCTCGCTAGCCCGCTATCCGCCCACCATTATTTTCGTCACATGCAAGGCCAGCATGCATGGCGCATGGCAGCAATGCCCATCGATCGCGCGCGATGCATCGGATCGGAATCGCGTGCAGAGTACCGCGTCACGGCCCTCAGGCGCATGCGCACAAGGGACAAATTTCTCTTCGCGATCTCTCTCTTTCTCTTTCTCTGTAACCGTGTGTGACGAGAAGAACGTTTCCAAGATGAGTGACAGAAAGCTGACCTTCGCTGAGAACTTCGCCCTCAGTGGCGTTGCTGCTGTCGTCTCAAAGACGGCTGCTGCACCAATTGAGCGTGTGAAGCTGTTGGTGCAGAATCAGGATGAGATGATCAAGACTGGTCGTTTGGACAAACCATACAGTGGTGTTCTCGACTGCACCAAGCGTACCTTCCAGAGTGAGGGTGTGCTGCCCTTCTGGAGAGGAAATTTGGCCAACTGCATCCGTTATTTCCCCACCCAGGCTCTCAACTTTGCCTTCAAGGACAAGATTAAGGTCATGTTCAAGGCCAGCAAATCTGACCCAGGTTACATGAAGTTCTCCAAGAACATTGCATCTGGTGGTGTAGCTGGATCCATGTCTCTGTGCTTCGTCTACTCACTGGATTACGCTCGTACTCGTCTTGCCAACGACAGCAAGTCTGCCAAGAAGGGAGGTGAACGCCAGTTCAATGGTCTTGTTGATGTGTACAGAAAGACCATGGCCTCTGATGGATTCGTCGGTCTGTACCGTGGATTTGTCATCTCCTGCGTGGGTATCTTTGTGTACCGTGGATGCTACTTCGGCTTCTACGACACCCTGAAGCCTCTGCTGCTGGGAGACAACGCTAGCGTAGTCCTGTCCTTCGGTCTTGGATATGGTGTGACCGTCTCATCTGGTCTGCTGTCTTATCCCATCGACACTGTACGTCGTCGCATGATGATGACATCTGGCGAGGCAGTCAAGTACAAGGGATCCATGGACTGCTTCTTGCAGGTAGTCAAGAAGGAGGGTGGTATGTCTCTGATGAAGGGAGCTGGTGCCAACATCCTCCGCGGTGTTGCTGGTGCTGGTGTGCTGGCTGGCTTTGACAAGCTCAAGGAGTACTATATCCTGTACACATCATAGACATGTCTCTGGTGGAATCGCCGATTGTTGTGTGTAGACAGCTCGCCTTAGCTTAGACCCAATGCCGCAAGCGGTTCTGGTCGTTCGGATTTCATCCTTTGTGCCCCGCCCTGTACAGTTGTGGCCCATTACAACTAGTTCTGTGTGGTGGCTGTCGGTAGGTCACCATCTGCTACCGTCCTTTCTCGTATCCATTTATTTTTATTGAAGTTTTTGTGTACCATTTTCACGCGCATTTCTACTCTCTCAGTTTACCACTGAGTGTGAACAACTAGGACAATATTATATTGAACACATAAAACTAAAGTCCAATGCGACTTTTTAGTGGTTGGTGTGGAGAATGGAAAAGAGCCAAAAATCAACATCCCTTGTTTGTGTGCTGGTGTGGCTTATTGGGCACCCATTTCATGCCATTCCTGGCTTTGTGTTGTTCTTTTTAGGATTTTGGTCAAGAACCTCTCCTAGATCTTTTGGTATATCACTTCGGGTGATTTTACAATCATGCCCAATAGAAAAAAACTGGTGTGCCGTTGTGGTACACTTTCTGCTCTGCAAACTGGTTTCATGATCTTGTCGCCGGGGGATACTTGTAACTAGATTGGCCTTACGATTTGTAGACACAGCTGCTAGCTGGACCTTTTGGCTGCATGATTGTATTCTGGACTATTTTCTTCAATCTTGTAGTTGTACAGATGGAAAAGGAGATGTCTTTTGTTTACAGGTCGTGACATATCACCCTTGCCTCCTCAGAGTCCTGCCCTGTTTCATTTTTGCAGTTCTATCATGTACAAAAGCTTCATCCTTCAAAATAATGCCAGCTAGCTAGCTACATGTTGCGCAATAATGGATGTTCTCACCATGGCGACCATGATGAGCGGCGCCGAGCTAGCTCGGTGCATGATGAGCACGTGCTCGTCATGACATCACGTCGACAGGCTCAAAATTAATTTTCGAAACGGCATGGATCAAACAAGTCCTGGTTTCGGAGCTTCTTCCACAGCTGTACAGGCATTGCAGCTTTGGATGCAGGAAGGCAGGACGAACCCAAACGTTGCTGCCAGGCAAAGTATCATTCTGGAGGAGGTGCAGGGGGCAAGACATTAGTGTTTCTGTGTATGCAACCTGTAGTGTTTGAACGAAGCGCGATCGTGAGCGCGAGCACTCTTGGCATAATACATTTTGTAACTATTTTCCCAATTTTCAATCATTTATCGATATATCTCCTGCAAGATACTTTTTCTTCTTGTATCCTGATTGGCTTTCAACCTCGGATAAGAGGTACGTGGGAGTGGAAGAATGGCTACTGCTGAGGATAAAGCGGCGCAGACTGCGGATTCTGTGGAGGACTGTGCTACCCTGAATTTGTTTGACCATGCTGGACAGGCCGTACCGTTCTCAAATCTGTACAAGGAGAAGCGAGCTGTGGTGATCTTTGTTCGACATTTCCTCTGATTCGTGTGCAAGGAGTACGTCGAGGACCTAGCTAAGGTTCCCGCCTCGTCACTTGAGGAGGCGGGTGTGAACTTGGTCGTGGTGGGATGTGCTCCGTTCAAATACATCGATGAATTCCGAGAGCTTACCCATTATCCATACGAGATCTATTGCGATCCGGAGAGGAAGATTTACCAGTCTTTGGGACTTCCGCATACAACTGCCCTGGCTATGGATAAAAAAACTGAGCACGTGAAAACGAGTCAGCTTCGTGGTACTCTGCAGAGCACATGGAGAACTTTGAAATCTGTCGGATTTCAGGGTGATGTTAGACAACAAGGTGGATCGTTTGTCATCGCCACTGATGGCACGGTCGAGTTTGCTCATCGAGACAGTGGATCGTTGGGTCACGCACCAATCAATGATGTCCTTGCCAAAGTCGATATTGCACCAGTGGATTTCAAGTCTGCAGCGTAATGCTTGAAGTAGGTGAGACATCGCAGCTTTCAGTGTGCGGGTACACTTGCCTCTGATAGGCTGCGCACAGGCTTGATATGATGAACCTGTTGCTGGAGATTAATGACGTGGGATGCCGAAAGCAGTACCTTCTGCTGGCATTGTCTGCTGATAAACACTCTCTGGACAGTGGTGATCATTGATATCTGCGCGTAACTATACATTGGTGAGAACAACCGTCGCTGTAACAGTTATGTTTAAAAAAGATGTAAACCATACATGATACAACTGAGTAGGATATTCATAACACACAGCAGACCATACATAATACAGGTGGAATCCTGATAATTCGAACCTCCAAATGCCAGGAAAAAACTTCTAACTATCCGGACATTCTAATTATCCAAACATGAACCCGCAACACAATATGTATGTCAAAATGCTCCCATGTTCACGCAGAGTTGCGCTATGGACCTTAGATACAGATTTCACGGATACTGAACTGACCAGTACAGCCTGCTCATGCAAACTGAACTGACCAGTACAGTGTTCAGGGAATTTCGAATTACACTTTGCTTACTTCGAATTATCAGCACAAATCCCACACATTTTCTATGTAAGGGGAATCCGTGGAACTTCGAATTAACCGGACATGTCCGGTTCGAGGTTCGAATTATGAGAAAAGTTTATGTGGGAATCGTATTGACAGAAATCGGTCCTGGAAAAACTTATTCGAATTATCAGGATTCCACCTGTACAAGTAGCGTTATGAAGTGCATGCACATTCAAAAGTTTCAATGTTAAGATACAAATAGTGCTCCAGTTCTTACTACCGGCATACTAGCTCTTGTCCTTTTCTGCCGTTGTCTTTCTCATTACAACGCACCTCCGTGTCCATTTGGATCTGTGTAATTTCACGTCTAATTTTTATTAAATAATTTGCACAGTATTTGGATTTTATTCGCTGCCATGCCACTGACCAGCACTGTATAAACTAGGGCTGAAAAGATTATACCGAATAATTGAGTACTCGTTTGATAACTCTAACGATCGAGCAATCGTTTTAAATAAGGCATGTTCGATTGGTAAGGATCGGGATCCAGATCTCAGATCCGTCGGATCCTTCAGAGTCAACTGGACACTTTTTTGGGCCTCGACTGTTGCCATGTTGACGAAGTAATAAAAAGTCGTACTCCCCGCGCCAGTTGTACAAAAAGTCAGCAAGCTCTATCTCGATCCACGTGTGCCTGCCACAATGTGTACAAAAACGATTTTTACCCGCCATATACGCACAAAGGTCACATTTGGATCCGTTGGATCCGGTCAACCCTGCTCCCCGAGGTGGGTTGACCGGATCCAAAGGATCCGGATCCGGATTCGACCAATCGAAAGGGTGCGAATCCGGTGGATCGGGATCCCGATCCTTCCAATCGAACATGCCCTTAGGGCATGTTCGATTGGTTAGGATCGGGATCCAGATCTCAGATCCGTCGGATCCTTCAGAGTCAACTGGACACTTTTTTGAGCCTTGACTGTTGCCATGTGGACGAAGTAATAAAAAGTCGTACTCACAGCGCCAGTTGTACAAAAAGTCAGCAAGCTCTATCTCGATCCACGTGTGCGTACCACAATGTGTACAAAAACGAGTTTTACCCGCCATATACGCACAAAGGTCACATTTGGATCCGTTGGATCCGGTCAACCCTGCTCCCCGAGGTGGGTTGACCGGATCCAAATCCGAAGGATCCGGATCCGGATTCGACCAATCGAAAGGGTGCGAATCCAGTGGATCTGGTGGATCGGGATCCCGATCCTATCAAACGAACATGCCCTTAGATTACGATTATTTTGCGTTTTTTTAATTTTTAATTTCTTATACGCTCAGTGCATGCAGCGCAGAGTATATGGTACACAGTACTACTCACTGCACGCGCTGCGTTGCAGCCGCTCAGGACGTAGTACACGCAGCGCGAGTTCAAACATCGAGTACAGTCCTAGTGTAGTACAGTGCGTATCGGTTATAGTGTGGTCGTATACAAGAATATGCTGTCTACAAGAATGAACACTCATTTTTTCATAATCATAACACCTATTTTATGTGTATATTTATTCTTACAAGCAGTATTATCGCATAGTAGAATATATCGGCCCTAAGAATGGATTTTGTGTAGCAAAATATGCCAGATTAGTGCAAAATGTATCGCCTGTAGTAATAACATCTGTGCTCTGTGCATGCTCAATACAATAATATTCAACACAAAAAGAGAGTTATGTCCAACTGAGCATTGGAGAATCACTTTTTCTGTCCAGTCGGACTCTTTCTTCCGACTTCTCTCCTATCTGCTGCTCCGCAGTCGTCTAGCACGACCGCGAGTCTGATCCGTGTGTATCATGATTGTGTAGACCTACATGATTGTACGTGTCCACATGCCAAACATGTATTATGTCACACGTGCATATGATATGTCACACGTGATTTAGCGTGTGTAAGAAATATCTGCAATAAGAATCAAATGTCGTTTTTCAAACACCCACGCTATAACCGATACCTACTGTACAACGAAGCTGGAACATGAAGGTCGAGGTCGCGTCCAGTCTACATACGTAACACTTTTTGTGCAAAATTTTGTACATATTTCCACTTTTGGCCATTCCACGTACATATTCCAGGTGCGGCCTCTTTTAAATACTTAGTAGACCTGCACTCTGTATAAAGATCTTGTAGGGCCAAACTAAAGAAGGTGTGTGGTTCGACTCACCCGACCGACCGTACAATTTCAGCCCGACCGTAACTTTTTTTCGGCGGGCTGTCGTGTGACTGACGTACGTGGACTGAACACGTCCACGTCTACGTGCTGTGCGGCGTGAGTCTGCGGCCGCAGGCGGCTCCTTTTGGACTTGACTTGTAGTGGTACTGCAGTGCAGTGCAGTGAGTGGTACGACTGCTGCCTTGTGCTGGTAGTAGAGTCTACTCGATACGCGTATACAGTGTATTTACATGTACTAAAAATATATATTAAAAAAAAAATCCGCCCGCCCGCCCGTAAAAAAAATGTCCATGTTAGTCGAACCACACACCTTCTTTAGTTTGGCCTAGTTTAAAAAAATAAAACAGCGAGCCCTAGTAAAGTATGCAAGGTTTGCACATCTGCGGCACAAGTCATTTGAAATACAATACAATGAATATCGGGATCAGCCTCGGATGCAGCATGAGGAACACTGTACTCATGCATGTGTACCGCGATTTTCACCAGGGTAGCACGCTGGGCACTTCGCAGTGCTTTGCATGCAGACAATAACAAATTTCTCTGGGAGTCTTGGGATATTGGTTTAGAATACTGCTTTACCACATAGTGGTACTTACTGAGTGCGTTCGATTATGCACTTGAATCGATTCATGAATCCATTCGCATGCATTCAACGGACAAGTTGTTCGATTTTCACGTCATGAGCCCTGGAATCAATCCGGAATCCA